TTCACTTCAAATATAAAATTAACCTATTACCATTTTATATCCCATACGAGACATACTCAATCTTTATGTTAAATTTCATTAAAATTCCTTTATACGAAATTTTAATGAATAAATTAACATATAGGTACAAAATTTCACATGCAAATTTTTATAACGATTGGTATCTATAACTAAAAAGATATCTGTGAAATTAAGTTTAAAAACCAATATAAGAGATTTCGACAACTCAATAAAACTTGACAATTCGTACGTAAAAGTTTAATACCTAGAGATATGACTCCTATGGGATGAGTCTATGTCAAAAAAGTTATAAGCAGAAAATTGAAAGTTCTTCACTTCCACGAGAAATAAGGAATCGGAACGATTGGAATTCAATTGTTTCTGCTTATCCGAGTGAGAGAAATGTATATGTTATGTACATAAATTTATAAGCATGAGATTATACCCCACATATAATTTTAACTATAAAATCAATCCTTAATTTTCAAAAACCTTCATTACATCACAAACTCTGAGTATAAAATATAGGCTTACTTCATTTATATTACTATTATTCCTTATATTTTGTTGATCACTTACATTCTTATTGGAGTACAATAATTTAAATAAAAAATAAAAAGAAGAAGAAGAAAGAAATAGGAACTCGTATGCAATCTCTTTTGATTTCCCACTTACTTTACCTAGAATATAACATAATGACATAATCCGAAAAGTTTTAATCATAAAAAATAATTTGTGCCTGTATGTTGCGTGTAGCAAATTATAAGAAGTTTTAATGTTTTTATAAAATAACTTATATAAACATATTTTGCTACTTATTTTCCTCGGTATTATTTTTCATCCTCCTTTCAGAAATCACATAGCAAATAAGTGTACGAAAACATTTAATTTCAGTATAGAACACCTTTGTTATGTTATCATAAGCACTAAAAGCTTATTTTTATAAAAGATGTTTAAAACATTTCATTCGAAATTATTATGAAAATAGCATTTGAAACTTTCGTGTACAAACTGCGCGATCATCAAACTTCAAAAATCATATATTTCGATTATAATCTCTATATAAAGTAATACAATTTAGTTTTCATGTTTTAATTTACTCTTGTATTGTACGTATAAATAATACCTATTATAATATATCTCATCTAAAAATAAATCCGGCAAAAGTGAAGACGTAAATAAAAGTGATTTCAAAGTAGATTGGTAGGACGATACGCGGCCAAATTTTTCTTTTTTATTTAACTAACCTGAACAGAATACAAAAAGATGTAATCGATGCATTTATTCTACACAACGTTCCATGGCTTTGGTGGAGTGCGAATTAAGGTGTATAGGTTTCTATGCCAGGACCATTGTTTTGCAGATTTTTGAAGCTTTAAAATGCTACAAACGCTTTGAATGCTTACACGTTATGTCCCAGATCAAAAAACAATTTACTTTGATGTTTGTCTTAACTGAAAAGTACGTGAGGTTAAAACAAAAGGCGGCAGTGAGTGAGGTTACGATCATGAACATCGGACACGCTATGGCATAAACTATACATGCTAAGAATATCAATAGCCCACAAATTCGGACTGACGAATAAGTGGATTTGATTCAACTGAGCTGACCCAGTTCGTTTGAAAGGGCACAGTTGATTTTATTCCATGTTCTACTGAACTCCCTACTAACTACAAAAGTTTCTAATGCTAAATTTTATCATATATTAAAACTTTTTTTAACATTATTCGAATTTATTATAATATAATTTTCTTATTTTAATAGTATTTTCATATGTCAAGTCTCTAATTATGCGAATATAAAAACAATGTTATTAACATTGCTTTCAACGACTACAATATTTCATTATTTAATAACATACTTAATTACACTATAAATTAATTAATACAGATTCTTTCAACCTTGTCATAACATCGCCGCGATTACATTTCTGTGACGACCATAATGAAGGATATTGAATAATACTTTTTTATTCAAGATCATCTCGCCTAATCTAATGATAAATGATGATAAAATTCAATATGATTTTAAGTGCGGCGCAATTCTTCTATCGAAATACCAATTTGCGTCATTTCTCTCTTCACTCCTAACTTAGTTATGTCACCCAACGCATTCATTTTACATATCATACCCATATCATACCATGTCAAATTATTAAAAAATTAATGTGATTTTTATTAAAAAAAGAAGTATTTTCGTACATCTTAAGAGTTAACGTTTCACATTTATATAATAATTTACGCAGCTGTCTCCTTGACAATTTTACAACTTAAACTACGATATAGATACAATATGTTAGGCGTTTTAGCGCTTTAATATGTCGTAAATCCTTTTCACTCCTAAATTCCCAATAAAGACAACAGATGTGTCTACTGCGCATCGAATTTTAGCCCAGACAGACTTTAGGTATTTTATAATAAAATAGTCTCTAGCTAGAAATGATAGCTTGCTTAAAGTACCCTACAATAACAATAAAAGGCCAAGTTATCCTTGAAATCAGCATGTAAACTACATTTAAATAGCAAAAAGTAAATAATATAAAGCAGACCGTATGTACAATAATAATAATATCTGTTCATTTTTTAATACAAATAAAAAATCCTTCTGTACTAATTCATGTAAATATTATGTAGTACAATTATCTACATATATATTTACTAATATTAATAGATTTAAAGTTGTGCGATGAGAAAACTGTAGAGGGTCATTGTGAAAATAAATATTTTTAAGAACAACAATATACATATATTAGCAAATATATTTTTGTAAGTACAAATACAAGGCATGAAAAAGACAATTTGAAGGAAAACAAAATACAATATGAAAAATAATATCCACTTATTGATATGGTCAGACTTCAATTTACATATTGATTACAAAGAAATTTCAATAAGAACCTGTGATCCGGCATAATTAGCTAACTACTATTGCCTACAAACTACGTTCTCGTAGTGTTTACAATGTAAAATTCTTACAAATGAATACATAGAAATTAAAATTTAACAACTTTACTTAATAGTACACTACCAATAAAAGATTCATAATCAAAGCATAAATATTTATCTCTTTACAAACGCCTGCACATCGCAGATTGCAATATAACTTTCGGCGCAATAATTCTCATTAGGCATACCACATTACAAAGGCAATTTTATACAACAAATTATTAAATGGATTTGTTGTTAAAGTAAAACTCAGACAGTTAAAAATACCTAAAATAAGACGACAATATGAAAATGACTACTGAAATCAGCTATTATTCTCCCTATTGAGCAAATCAGTAACAATAACAGTAATAATAGGGAGTCTTGAACCACTCAGTTACAACTTCATTGTTGGAAACAAACTCCTTGACAGTAGGCAGAGACCGACGCATGACTGAAATTATACTAGTAAATACAGCGTATTTACGGAATTTGACGACCTACGTGATGTAGCGGTTCAACACACTGCCTTTCTTTTCGATGGTTCCGGGTTCATTCCCCACACAATACTAATATTATGTATTCGTGAATGGATATATATCCATGCATACATATATATGTCTGTACTAGATTTTGTTTGCGGCTTCATTCCCATTTGACATTCGATTTCACGCGGGAAACACTTATCCGGCTTAATACCAAATTATGAAATAAAAACGTTACTTTATCTAATAAATTAAACCTAGTTTTCAAATTACGATTGTAACTGCATTCGGAATTTAGATATTAGATTTTTAATTATTGTTTTAAAACGTCACCAAAATGGCGCAGCTAGAGAAATGAGACAATAATATTTAGAAATCGATTGTGTAAAATGCTCCACCCAACAGACAGATTGAGTAACTCATATTCAGAAATAGACACGACGACACTGATGCATTGTGTCAATATTACTATTGCTATTCAGTATTCGGGTATTACATACTCCTTAAAAATCTAAATCTTGATTTTATTTCACAAACTAGTGTTTGAGTCTGAATTGACCAGAATAAAAAGTAGCCTATGTCCTTCTCCATCCCAAATAATACGTGTACACCGAAATTTCATGACGATTGCTCGATATATAATTTGTATTTTTTTATATTATAATATTAATATGTTAAATAACAAAAATGAAACATAAAAGATAACACAAAATTTTAAAATAATAATAATAAAAAAAATTAGTGTTAACTACTACCACATCGTCATTCATAAGAAAAATAATTATAAATAAAGTACGTATAATAAAATTAACTAACATGACGACAGAGATTTTTTATCAACTTTCAAAAAGAAGAAGATTCTCAATTCTGTATTTTTTTATGTTTGTTACCTCATAACTCCGTCAGTTCTAAATCGATTTAGGTTTTTTTTTAAAGGGTATACTTACAAATTGGTCCCACAATAATTATCAAATTTATCAAAATAACTTCAGTAGCTAATTTTTATAACTGTTATAATTGAAATAAGTATTTTTTTTTGTGGATACAGATTTTAAACATTTATTGTAAACATTTGAAGTTTTCCTGAAGAGTATTTTTTACTATATTTATTACTACCAAATCCTAAACCAATATTGTTTATCGTACGTTGTTCACTTAGGATCTATCCCACTCCTCTATACAAATTGCACATAAATCTGTCGGTAAATACAATTTCATTACAGTACACATAAGGAAGAATAAGACGCCAAACATCGCTATCTTATTTCTACTCATACAATTCGTAACTATAATAAATCAATCAAAAGATTCGTTTGCTATTTCTCTAGGTAGACAGTTTTGACATGCAAATAAATCGCACTAATTATTTTGTCCTAAAACTAGAACACCCTGTGTTATGAGGAACCAGGCGACGAATAAATGTATGCAGAACCCAGAACAGAACCGATTTGAAAAAAATTTTTTCCTATATTGGCCGGACCGCGATTCAAACACAGAATCTCATTTGTGCAAAGCAACATGCGTACCACTGCATCAGAGAGGTCAACAATCTACATTATTGGTGTTTATAAATGTAAATATTTCTTTACAGGTGTCGCTGATGGTAGCTTCAGCTACCGAAGCTCCACCAACAAAGGACAAACCAGAACCGACAGAGACACGACAAGGCCGGCAGTACGAATATAGTCCATATGCGCAAGGGAAAGAGGTTGTAGTGGATATACAAGACGATGAGAAAAATCAGTACTACGAAACGAATTACGATACGAGTTAGTATATAATAATTTTAAGTAATATATAACACGATATTCGTGGTGGTTCACTTTCCATTAAGTAGGTTGTTTGCCTATTTGTCATTCTAAGGATTAATTATTAAGAAATATTTTTTTATTATTATTTGATAGAGGTGTAAGAGACGACTAAGGTAATTAATGTTCGAGGAATATACAGCAGCGTCTCTCTTAAAACATCATCAAAGTCTAATTGCAGTTGCCAACCCGCCTATTAAGCGTGCCAACTATTGGCGAAACTACCCAATAAGGGAAAGCCTATGCTCGGCAATGGAAAGTTAACGGCTAATATAATAAAATAAATATAAATTAAAACAAAATCTGTATATAACTCACATACTATCTGAGGACACAGCAGTACCAGCATCGTTTAAATCGCTTAATAAAGCAAACATAATAGTACTTTTTTCCATTGTTGTCGTACGATTAAAAAACGCAATGTATTTTATTCTTCTATCCGAAAACAATTCAAGTTAGATAAATATGACAGTTAAGGTTATTGTTAACTGCTAAATTTACGAATCAATTTGAAACGACTTTCGTCTTTTTGACTAATTTCACAAATTAGATGAAAATAGTAAGTAATAAAGATTTTATTATTTCCCAGACGCTTACGGTTTTGGATACGACGTTGGTCCAAATGGTCAATTCCATCACGAAAACCGCGGGCCGGATGGTGTGACATACGGCTGTTATGGTTACGTTGATACCGAAGGATTCCTCCGAGCAACGCATTATGTGGCCGACAGCCACGGATATAGAGTAGTGGAGCCCGAAAAACCTGTAGAAGTATACCCGGATCAGAAATACGAGTATGACGAACAGTAAGTTGAAACCTTATACAAATGTATTTTTTAAAGAGTTGCTCATGGTTTACCTACGCAATAAAAATACATAAGTGATTTAGTAAAATAATAAGAATAGAAAGCACATAATCAATTGTTATATTAAATACTCAATCCGAAGATTTTATCTAAGAATTAATCTTTCGCATTCCAATTTCATACCAAAACTTTTCATTTCTCCACCAAACTTTCATTTTCACGCACAATTACTACGTTAATCTGACAAAAGTTATGGGTATGATTACCTATGATATTTCTTTTCCTCCCGCTGTAGCAAGTTAATTAGCTAGCAAATTAATCATATAGATTCCTCCTTGCTTTTATTTATATTCAAATAAAAGTAACCTTTCTGTCCTGTCCTGTCCTTTTACGAATGAAATAGAAAACATTTTTCAGACGGGGATGTATTGTATAAATAATCAATCGACTTACGTGTACGAGTATCGTAAAACCCGTGCGAAAACCAAATAAATACACAATGTACCTATTTATTTTTCGTTCAGTATCCTGAGTTATTTTATTTATACTAACTATAAAATAGTACCCAACCGTGAACCGTGTTTAAGCTACACAGTAAATATAAATTCAAAATAAACTTTGTCATCGCTAAGAAAAATTTAATCAATAAAAAGGTATTAAACGTTAAATAAAAGAAAAAAGAATACTTATATTGCATTAAATATTCTTAATTAGGTTTATATTCTCTTACAAAACTATAATTATTTTACAGATCTCAACCAACGGAGAAAGTACCAGGTCAAATTATAGCATGGGAAAAGTTATACTTCCCTAAAGGTTGTGGACGCACTCCAGGCGGAGTCCCGGCAAAACCTTTACCCCCGGGTCCGCCAAAACCACCGCGACCACCCACCGATAGCAGTGGACAGACGAGCAATCCTAAACCTGGTGTTATAACCCCTGGCGAAGGTATCTATTATTACGGAATATTATATTTAAATTCTTCACTGTTGCATACTAATAGAATAAGTTTTTGCAACTAAAATACGTTGGATAGAAATGGCATATTGCTATCAATATATATTTTTCAACTATTATTTCTCACCTTCAAGGAGTTGACTCTCCCGCTTAACCGTTGCTGACAATCAACTACATAAAAATAAGACTACAAACATGACAAAATTTCAAGCAAAAACGACGATTGATATTTTTGAGACTTATGATGAATTAACAAAAGAATTTTATATGTTAGCTCATAATAATAGCAATTTTACGCCCCTAGGCTATTTTCTTTTAAATTATTTATTTGGCAATCGGATAAAAAAATTAAACCACTTTTTACGTAGTATTTATATAAAACACTGTCGTTCTAAATTTATTAACATTATGAAATTAACATAATGAAATTATATTATTACAGGCGGTTCGGGTGGTGCCGGTGGTGGTCCCGGTGGTCCCGGCGGACCAGGCGGCCCTGGAGGCCCTTCCGGACCAGGAGGACCCGGTGGACCTAACGGCCCAGGGGGGCCCGGAGGACCAAATGGGCCTAATGGCCCCGGAGGCCCCAGCGGCCCAAGCGGACCAGGAGGTGGACAATGTATGTCAACATACAACTTAAGCACTCAACCAATTGTCCATTATATGTGGCATCATACATGTTATAGATGAAAAAGTACATAGGTTACTTTTTATCTCGCTCAATGAATTTTTTTTTTTAATTAACACAGGCACTCGATCTAAGTATTCAATAATAACTAGTTATTAATAATAGTAGTGTCATTTCAGACTCTCTAAACCGAACTTTAAAATGTAAAAATATTAATGTAAAAATTTTTAATATTATAAAAAATAGATTAAAAAAAATAAACCAGATAAATAATAGATAAATAAATTTTATCTGGGAAATGAGTTTACCTGTAATTGTATTCAAATATTTGCTATATAGCTATATTTCAATCTAAAAATACAAAAGATTTTCTAAGACCTTATATTTCATTCAAATAACTGCGGTTACAACCGCAATATACAACAAGTGGGCCTAACAAAATCACAAAAACTTGATGGTTATATAGATTGGGACAATTTATAGTGACCATTATTTATTTTATACCATTGTCGTGTAAAATAACACTTTTACAATCGTTTCACGATTCAAACGATCCCAAATACAATACCGTTGCCCTAAAATTCCTAACTAATCAAAACTAAAAAAGAGGAAAGATTTAATTTTTTATTTGTAATAGATAAACAAAAATAATACCTAGTTAACTAATTATTAAAGTTCTTTCATCTGTAGAAAGCTACATTGTCAGCGAGTGTCATAAGTAGACAAGTAAAGATTTATTTACATATTTATAGGATAATTTTGAATTAAAAATAATTTCTAATTTGCCATTTTAAATTGAATATTTAAAATGGCAAATTAGTTGGCGCTTATGGACATGAACAGTATCATGGACATATATAGATAGATAGATAATTTTTATTATCGGTAATAATATTGAAAAAAAAAATCAACAATAAAAAGAAAAGAAAAAACAATTCATTTTGCTGGTAATAGGAGCTGTTGCTCTATATGTACAACTCCAGCGAGATGTACCTATATAACACTGATTTTCAGGCGGCCTCTTTATATAAAATTATACTGTGACATATAGATATATGTTTATTATTTTTTTTTTTTAGGGCAAGGTGGCTATCCTGGATCTCCAGGTACGCCCGGCACCCCAGGCACCCCCGGCTCCCCCGGAACTCCAGGAGGACCAGGTATATATGTATATTATGTTTCCAATATAAATAAATTTACCCTTACAGATTAGTATATCAATGAATATATATAGTCCTAATATACTAGTCAAAATATACATAAATGACAGTTATACTTGTGTACAACTATAAAAATTATTTATATAACTATTACTCCGAATAAATACGCATATATGTATTTAGAAGGGGGACCGCGTGAAAACCATTTCTGAACAATTTTTTGTAATTATTTTTCCAATTAATTTTTTACACAGCAATATCTACTTGTTTTATACAATTTAGTCTTCTGCCGACTACTATCTACCTACTCTTTCTTTACCTTGACAGCATAGTTTCTTAAATTCCCTTTTTTATTTTCTCAACTGATAGATTAATAACAATATAATATTACCTCAGGTGGACCTGGCGGCCCCGGTAGCGGTGGTTACTATCCTGGATATCCTGGTTCCTCGGGTACACCTGGAACACCCGGCTCTCCTGGGACACCCGGGTCTCCCGGAACACCTGGTACTCCAGGTTCTCCCGGCACTCCAGGCTCTCCTGGCACACCAGGCACACCAGGTCAACCCGGATATTATCCTGGACAAAGCGGTTCACCAGGTGGCCCAGGTATTTTTGATATTATCAGTTATTATTATTCTATCACTAAATTGTTACGACGATTACTCACCAGCAGTTCCCTGTGCAAGCTAGTCCAACAGATTTTCAGGTCAAATTCTTTGGAAAGCATGAAAATAATAAATAAAATGTAACACAATCACTACAATCGCTTAATCCTGAAAAAATATACCAAGTTATGATAAACCATATTCTCAACCGAACATTTAAGAACACAAACCTAAACAAGCATGCCTGAGCGAATTTAGAAAAGATTTTATTTTAAATTGAACACAAATCGAACACAAAACATCACTTAGGCGAAGCAACGATCCTACTATACACCAGAGGTTGTCAAAATATCAATTCCTAGCTATAGCTACGAATATATTTTCAAACGCGGAAGCGTGTCAAGCCAAGTACTGACGACGCATCAGCCGTGTGGTTACACAAACACACATTTGAAGCCGCTTTTCACCTCTTAATAACTCAAAATCTATTCAACATAAAAAGATTAAATTTGGTTTATTTATTAAAACCCTTTACATTAACTAGAACCCGAAATATCATAAAAACAGCCCAAACGATTATTCAGTATTTTTATCATTGACTGACTGACATATAGATCAAAAACCCAACCTATTTCCAAATGACCTAAAAAATTTAAATATGGTAACCAGCTAGATAATTATGTGTATACAAAGAAAAAATCAGATCACAGTAAATTATTGATTTGAAATATATTCCCATTTACGTTCTTTTTAAACGTAGCGCCTATCAAAATTACAATAGCAAAATTTTAACATGTTTCACACCATTTTGTTAAAGTTATGTGTAATTAATAATAATAATCATTATTATAGTCGTCGACGTCAGAAAAATTTAGAAATTATGCTGGCTAAATTCGTCCCGAATACGGACCACTATCCAAATTCGCGCCTCACACGGTGGATGGCGAACACAGAAATGCGAAGCAGGGAAGGAAGAAAGTTTAATGAGTAAAAATGAAATAGTAACCCCACCTGTATTATGAATTAGCCATACAAATATACGCTGATAAGTGAAGATGAAAACAGATCAGTTAGCCCATCGTGACTAATTCCACAAGAATTAACTGTGAATGTTTCCAAAAGCAACCGCCTGAAAGTCAACCCAATAGCGTATCTTGCCAGCAATGGAGCTTTTAGACCCCGCTACTAATATTGCTTTTCCCCCTGGGAAGGAAAAGTAGGTGAACCGACCTTATAAACGCAAGCGTCCTCATTCTGTCCGGTTGTCTCTCGAAATTTTACCTATAAAATGTCAATTATACTTAATCATTAATTTATTAAATTTGCAGATCATTTCTGAAAGTTGAATAATTCTAATTTCTTAACAAAATTAATGATATCTTCGAAAACGTAAATGTGAAAAGGGGAACCAATTAAATATTAAAAATATAACTTCTTATTTGAACAGTTGAATTATTTACATAGAGCAAATAATCTAAAATAAATTGAAGCTCAAGATTTGACTTGGCTAGTTTTAGTTAATTTTAAATAGCAAACATTGTAGTAACAAAAAAATAAAAGAAATTGTTTTTTTTTTAATTTATTTTAGTATATTGTAACTTTATCAATAAATGTCAAGATTATCTATGGAATTGATACTCATTTAGGTTGCAAGTTTTTTGTCAGTAAACTTGACAACCATGCATGTTTTTAATAGTAAATTGCCTCCCTTTTCATATTTATTTTTTGTTAGGATATTTAGTAATTAACAAAATTCATGAAGGGTGCATAAAGATGTATTTTAATATAGTTTCTTTTAAGAAAGTTGTTCAGTTTCATCAACACTATATTACTACTCGTTAATCGAAACTTTATATTTTAAAAAAGCAAGATATTATTTTTTGTTTGTAATAGATAAACTCACAAAACTCTGGACCGATTTAAAAAATTCTTTCACATATTGAAAGCTACATTATCGGCGAGTAACATGCACTATGTATATTTTATTTACAAAAAAGAAGCCGGAGCGGGTCATTAATTTAATAATAATAATAATTTAATTTGCAATAATTTTGAGTATAAAACATTTGATCTTATAAATTAAAAGTACCTTACAAAGTCTACTTAGGTCAAGCATGTAAATATTGAAAATAAAAATTACAATAATTTAATTTAAACAATTTTTGTAGCATTTAAACATTACGAAATTATATAATAATAAAATAACATTAATTAAAATATTAAGGAATGTAATACAATTTAATTTATTCAGTCGATTAGTTTAAATAGTCAAAATAAATAATATAACAATTGGATATCAGATGGTCAACAATAAAAATGAGATGTACTAATATAAAATACTTCAAATGATATACTATTAAATTTTTAAGGAGGTCCAGGTGGTCCTGGTGGACCCACTGGCCCGCCCGGCAGCTACTACCCAGGCCAGCCCGGAACTCCCGGCTCACCGGGTACACCTGGCACACCAGGCACACCAGGCTCCCCAGGCGGCCCAGGTAATTTAAATAACATGTTAGTCTGAACCAACTTTAATACGATCTTGAGCCTCAATAGAATAATATCATAGCCACAAATATACAGTCACAGTGTATTTTGTGATATCCATAAAGCTATTCATGTCTAATGGCAACAATTACCACTTTTCGTCGAATGAGTCAACAGATTGTTTGTTTGTATTGTATAAAAATTGTTAATACATAACTCTAGAGTTAATACTAATGTTATAAACTGAAATTGGTTTTCAACAAAATTTTGTTATTGTGTTTATGGACCGATGCACGAACTTTATTTGCACTTATCCATAGATTATATGAATTGTATGAATAACTTTATTACCAGGCGGTCCAGGCGGCCCCGGCGGACCTGGCGGACCTGGTGGTCCACCAGGCAGTTATTACCCGGGACAACCAGGTACTCCAGGCTCTCCAGGCTCTCCAGGTAGTCCCGGAACTCCAGGTGGTCCAGGTGATTAATTTTATTGTAATGTTATCCTGGTTACGTTAAAATATGAATGTTTTTAAATGTAATAAATTATATCCTTAATTTATTAATTATAGATACTCTTGTTAGTGCATAATTACAAACTCATAATCATCGTTTGTATAGACACTTTAATACAATACAATTGAATTTAATGACTTGTGAATTCGCATCGCTGGGATATATTGATTGATCGTTATAAAAAGTAAACTGCCCTTCTACAGAGGGAGACTTTGTACAAAAGTCGTTTGCTTGGGTACCTCTTGGGACAGAGGTATCCAAGCAAACGACTTTCGTGTTTCAACCATGAAGCAGTTGTGTTTTCATGGCTGTGTTTCGGTTTGAAGAGTGGGATATGGCGTGAATTTACAGGGTACAGAGGAATAACACCTGAGTCCTCAGAAATGGCAACGCATGGGGGGTATCATGGACGAATCAGTATACTCTGTTATGTCCATGGTACTGCTCATGTCTATAGGCGACGGTTACCACTTTCCATCAAGTGTGCCGTCAGCTTGTTTGCCATTCTAAGTCGTATAAAAAAAATACATACGTAAATACTAGAATAAGTGTATACATAACAATTGGTCGTGATATTAAGGCACTAAGAGGTCATTAAGAAAACAAACTCACGTTATCTTTATATTATCAGAATAATATTATAGAGTGTATAATATTATCAGAATTTATATATAAAAATATTGATAAAGATGAAAATCTTATCCTTACTAGGTGCATACAACTTTTTATAATAATTAAATGTTATATAATATTAAATGTAAGAAATACGAAAATTGTATGGATAGATGTTTGTTACTATTTCACGCAAAAATTACTAAACGGATTTAAATAAAATTTGGTACGCGGATGCGTTATACCCTTCCTAACTTAGCTCACATTATGGACTGCTTTACGTGGGCGAAACCGCGAGTTACAGCCAGTATAATCATAAAATATATACACACACATAAACCATGTCTCATATATAGCAAAAGTAGTATTAACAAAATATATCCAATCCAGGCGGCCCCGGTGGCCCCGGTGGTCCTGGAAGCTCATCAGGCAGTTACTATCCCGGACAACCAAGCACACCAGGCTCTCCCGGCGGCCCCGGTGGACCAGGTAAACTATATTTTTTATTATCATTAACATAATAAGTTAATGAGGACAGAAGATGCTCTTTTAATCTGCTCTCGAAAACATTCAGTAATTAACTTTCGTGAATGTGTAGTGGAAGAGAATTCTAGTCGCATGAACCGTAAATGATCTAATATATCATTTTCTTCTTTTAACGTGATAATTTTAGTTTACCAGTTCCATACTTCTTATTAAAAGGTAAAACTGTTAATTAAAAATATTAGATACGGATATTCATTCCCTTATAGGAGGTGCTGGGCAACCAGGGCAACCAGGATATCCTGGTCAACCAGGATACCCAGGGCAGCCAGGTCAACCCGGTAGGCCAGGACAACCAGGCCAGCCAGGATACCCCGGACAACCAGGACAACCCGGTGGACCAGGACAGCCAGGGCAACCAGGTCAACCCGGGGGGCCAGGACAACCAGGGCAGCCAGGATACCCAGGACAGCCAGGCCAACCAGGTCAACCCGGTGGGCCAGGACAACCAGGGCAGCCAGGATACCCAGGACAGCCAGGCCAACCAGGACCCGGTGGGCCAGGGCAACCAGGCCAACCAGGTAAACCCGGTGTGCCAGGACAACCAGGCCAACCAGGCAATCCCGGTGTGCCAGGACAACCAGGACAGCCAGGATATCCAGGACAGCCAGGCCAACCAGGTGGGCCAGGACAACCAGGCCAACCAGGACAACCCGGTGGGCCAGGACAACCAGGACAACCAGGATACCCAGGACAGCCAGGCCAACCAGGTGGGCCAGGACAGCCGGGCCAGCCAGGGTACCCAGGACAACCAGGACAACCCGGTGGGCCAGGACAACCAGGGCAGCCAGGATATCCAGGACATCCAAGCCAACCAGGTGGGCCAGGACAGCCAGGCCAACCAGGGTACCCAGGACAACCAGGAAAACCCGGTGTGCCAGGACAACCAGGACAGCCAGGCCATCCAGGTGGGCCAGGACAACCGGGCCAGCCAGGGTACCCAGGACAACCAGGACAACCCGGTGGGCCAGGACAACCAGGACAGCCAGGATATCCAGGACAGCCAGGCCAACCAGGTGGGCCAGGACAACCAGGCCAACCAGGATATCCAGGGCAACCAGGACAACCCGGTGGGCCAGGACAACCAGGACAACCAGGCACACCCGGTGTGTCAGGACAACCAGGACAGCCAGGATATCCAGGACAGCCAGGCCAACCAGGTGGGCCAGGACAACCAGGCCAACCAGGACAACCCGGTGGGCCAGGACAACCAGGACAACCAGGATACCCAGGACAGCCAGGCCAACCAGGTGGGCCAGGACAGCCGGGCCAGCCAGTGTACCCAGGACAACCAGGACAACCCGGTGGGCCAGGACAACCAGGGCAGCCAGGATATCCAGGACAGCCAAGCCAACCAGGTGGGCCAGGACAGCCAGGCCAACCAGGGTACCCAGGACAACCAGGACAACCCGGTGTGCCAGGACAACCAGGACAGCCAGGCCATCCAGGTGGGCCAGGACAACCGGGCCAGCCAGGGTACCCAGGACAACCAGGACAACCCGGTAGGCCAGGACAACCAGGACAGCCAGGATATCCAGGACAGCCAGGCCAACCAGGTGGGCCAGGACAGCCAGGCCAACCAGGGTACCCAGGACAACCAGGACAACCCGGTGGGCCAGGACAACCAGGCCAGCCAGGCTACCCAGGACAGCCAGGACAACCCGGTGGCCCAGGGCAGCCAGGACAACCGGGCCAGCCTGGAAAACCAGGACAGCCAGGACAACCCGGTGGCCCAGGACAACCCGGTGGGCCAGGACAACCAGGCCAGCCAGGATACCCAGGACAACCAGGACAGCCAGGGTATCCAGGACAGCCAGGTCAACCAGGTGGGAGGTCAGGACAACCAAGCCAGCCAGGATACCCAGGACAACCAGGACAACCCGGTGGGCCAGGACAACCAGGACAACCAGGATACCCAGGACAGCCAGGCCAACCAGGTGGGCCAGGACAACCGGGCCAGCCAGGGTACCCAGGACAACCAGGACAACCCGGTGGGCCAGGACAACCAGGACAGCCAGGATATCCAGGACAGCCAGGCCAACCAGGTGGGCCAGGACAGCCCGGCCAACCAGGGTACCCAGGACAACCAGGACAACCCGGTGTGCCAGGACATCCAGGCCAGCCAGGATACCCAGGCCAGCCAGGACTTCCCGGTGGACCAGGACAACCAGGCCAACCAGGACAACCCGGTGGACCAGGACAGCCAGGGCAACCAGGTCAACCCGGTGGGCCAGGACAACCAGGGCAGCCAGGATACCCAGGACAGCCAGGCCAACCAGGTCAACCTGGTGGGCCAGGACAACCAGGCCAGCCAGGATACCCAGGACAACCAGGACAGCCCGGTGGGCCAGGACAACCAGGCCAGCCAGGCTACCCAGGACAGCCAGGACAACCCGGTGGCCCAGGGCAGCCAGGACAACCGGGCCAGCCTGGAAAACCAGGACAGCCAGGACAACCCGGTGGCCCAGGACAACCCGGTGGGCCAGGACAATCAGGCCAGCCAGGATACCCAGGACAACCAGGACAGCCCGGTGGGCCAGGACAACCAGGGCTACCAGGATACCCAGGACAGCCAGGCCAACCAGGTCAACCCGGTGGGCCAGGACAACCAGGCCAGCCAGGCTACCCAGGACAGCCAGGTCAACCCGGTGGCCCAGGGCAGCCAGGACAACCGGGCCAGCCTGGAAAACCAGGACAACCAGGACAACCCGGTGGGCCAGGACAACCAGGCCAGCCAGGATACCCAGGACAACCAGGACAAGGCCAACCAGGACAACCTAGCGGGCCAGTACAACCAGGTCAGCCAGGATACCCAGGACAACCTGGTAAACCAGGACAACCAGGCCAGCCAGGATACCCAGGACAACCTGGACAACCAGGTGGGCCAGGACAACCAGGCCAGCCAGGATATCCAGGACAACCAGGACAAGGCCAACCAGGACAACCTAGCGGGCCAGGACAACCAGCTCAGCCAGGATACCCAGGACAACCTGGTAGGCCAGGACAACCAGGCCAGCCAGGATACCCAGGACACCCTGGACAACCAGGTGGGCCAGGACAACCAGGCCACCCAGGATATCCAGGACAACCAGGACAACCCGGTGGCCCAGGACAACCAGGACAACCAGGATACCCAGGACAGCCAGGCCAACCAGGTGGGCCAGGACAACCAGGCCAGCCAGGACAACCAGGACAGCCAGGACAACCCGGTGGGCCAGGAGAACCAGGACAGACAGGACAACCGGGCCAGCCTGGATACCCAGGACAACCTGGTAGGCCAGGACAACCAGGCCAGCCAGGATACCCAGGACAGCCTGGACAACCAGGTGGGCCAGGACAACCAGGCCAGCCAGGATACCCAGGACAACCTGGTAAGCCAGGACAACCAGGCCAGCCAGGATACCCAGGACAGCCTGGACAACCAGGTGGGCCAGGACAGCCAGGCCAGCCAGGATATCCAGGACAACCAGGACAAGGCCAACCAGGACAACCTAGCGGGCCAGGACAACCTGGTAGGCCAGGACAACCAGGCCAGCCAGGATACCCAGGACACCCTGGACAACCAGGTAGGCCAGGACAACCAGGCCAGCCAGGATATCCAGAACAACCAGGACAACCCGGTGGTCCAGGTCAACCAGGACAACCAGGATACCCAGGACAGCCAGGCCAACCAGGTGGACCAGGACAACCGGGCCAGCCAGGACAACCAGGACAGCCAGGACAACCCGGTGGGCCAGGAGAACCAGGACAGCCAGGACAACCGGGCCAGCCTGGATACCCAGGACAACCTGGTAGGCCAGGACAACCAGGCCAGCCAGGGTACCCAGGACAGCCTGGACAACCAGGTGGGCCAGGGCAACCAGTCCAGCCAGGATACCCAGGACAACCTGGTAAGCCAGGACAACCAGGCCAGCCAGGATACCCAGGACAGCCTGGACAACCAGGTGGGCCAGGACAGCCAGGCCAGCCAGGATATCCAGGACAACCAGGACAACCCGGTGGTCCAGGACAACCAGGACAACCAGGATACCCAGGACAGCCAGGCCAACCAGGTGGGCCAGGACAACCGAGCCAGCCAGGACAACCAGGACAGCCAGGACAACCCGGTGGGCCAGAAGAACCAGGCCAGCCAGGCTACCCAGGACAGCCAGGACAACCCGGCGGGCCAGGACAACCTGGTGAGCCAGGACAGTCAGGCCAGCCAGGTTACCCAGGACAACCAGGTTACCCAGGACAACCCGGTCAACCGGGGTACCCAGGACAACCAGGACAACCAGGTCAACCAGGATATCCAGTACAGCCAGGTCAACCCAGTAGACCAGGTAAACATATATTTTTACATCTTTATATAGAAACAAAAACTACTAGACGGATTTTAACGAAACTTGGTACTATTATTCTTCATACTCCTGGGCAGGTTATAGTATACTTTTCATCACACTACGATCAGTAGGAGCAGAGCAGTGAAGGGAAATGTCAAAAATGTCCACCCGTGCGACGCCGGGACGGACCGCTAGTTAACAGTATTTTATAACATCACCACTGTTTATAAACTGAAACGTAACTAAAAGCAGCAGTATTTCGGTGAATCATCTAATTCAGATGTATTTAATATTATATAATGACATTATATAAATGAATAACAGTAAGAATCACTTACTGTTATTCTTTATTTACTGACAAAATATTTGTAACTTCTACACGCTTATGAAACTTTTGATCGAAGGTAATACAAGAAAAAAACAGTAAAATTAAATTTAAATTTCAATTATTTATACCCACGTCGTCATCCTTGTGAGCGGGATGCGTAACTGACCAAGATAAAAAGTAGCCTCAATACCACATAGTACATGTAGCATATGTCAAATTTTGTAACAATTAGTCAATCCGTTAATGTACCAAGAGATAACAAATAAACAAATTCACTTTCACATATGGGTATAATGTAAGAATTCATTATTTATAGATCACTGTCATTTAAAAGTCGCCTGTTTGTGTTATCCCACGTTTCCATGTCTTTTTATTTGTTGGAGGATCGTGCTATATTACGTTTGTATCTATGGGGTCGTACTTGTAAACTTCTCTTTGTTATTATGGGTGTCGTTTTCTTATTTATTCCAAAAACTTCATTATTTATAGATCACTGTCATTTAAAAGTCGCCTGTTTGTGTTATCCCACGTTTCCATATTATTTTATTTGTTGGAGGATCGTGCTATATTACGTTTGTATCTATGGGTTCGTACTTGTAAACTTCTCTTTGTCATTATGGGTGTCGTTTTCTTGTTTATTCCAAAAACTACTAGCTTGAATTTTTATAAATTTAATAGATACTACCTGAGTTAATTTTATTAATTTCATAATTATACTAATATCAGTTTAGTACACCCATTACGACTAATCGAGCGTTAAAATTGCTATAAATTTATTTCTAATAATAAAAAATCACAAGACTAAGAAAATAACGAGTGCATCGTTATTTTCTTACATTAATTATTTCAATATATTTTTTCAGGCGGAGATTCAGTCGGCGAACCTACTGGAGTCCAACCGCCAAACCAAGTCCCTCCCGGTAGTCAAATGCCACCATTCCCTATCTACGTTATTCCATATCCATTGCCGATCGTGCCAAGTCCTGGATCATGCCCATGCTATCTAGTAAACCCAGGAAAGAACGATTCTACTGCAGTCGCACCAGGTCAAGGAGGAGGAACAGGTCAAGGCCAAGGTCAAGGACAACCAACATATGCGCCATATGGAATAATTGGATTTATCCCAGTAGTATTCGTACCATACTGTCCAGGAAATGGCTCAAGCATGGACACTGCTCAGCAAAATTTCCCTAACGCAGTGCCTGTGTCATACAACTGCGCCCAATGCCAAGCAAATAGAGATGTATACCGTAACTTAGGTAGATGGAATGGTGCCCGAAGTTCAAACTTCGGTGATTTAAAAGTTATAAAGTCACTAAGTGAATTAGAACATCTTCTTAAAAATCAAATAAAACCTAGAAAAAAAGATGTTACTAGAATAAATATGCATCCTAGAATGTTGGATGATAAGAGTAGAACAAGCAAAGATCTGAAAATCTAAACGTCAATGTTTCGTTGTGACACAATGAGATTATAAAAATGGTCGTATTAAGGAATTGATATATAATTTTGAGATTGTCTGATAGCAATTCTTGGACGGTCTCAAAATTTCTCGACCCGTTTATTTATTATCCTGTACGTTTTGGGATGTTTATACATTAATATACTTAAAATGTTTTTATATTGACGTAAATGCGCAACAGTATGTAATATTTACAATTGTAATTTTTGCTATTACAGAAATAGATAAATAACTAAATTTTTATCTCACTTGTGGTCAATTATAACTTTATAAGAGAGAATTTGTTGCCATTGTAGGAAATAAATGAATAAATAAATATTGTCTTTTTATTGTGCTTATTATTATTTCATAAAATAAATTTCTTTCATGAAGTAAATCGTGAATATTTTTAGAAATAGAATTCTAAAAAGAGTTATGAAGAATTTTAATCCAATGTTATAGATAATTATCATGTTAGTATAAACTATCAACCAATTCATTTCTTCCTTTAAAGATTGAACTTATTCAAACTATATTAGCTGAACCTACATCAGAAAATTTTGAAAATCAGTTCTATAAATTATTGAAGCTCATTAATTTCTCTTTCTGTGAGTAAACAAAGTACAAAGATAACATCTTATCTCAAAAATCAATTGAGGGTACCAAAGGTTAATTATACCTAAAGAAGATTTTGAATTTTTAAAAATAAAAGGAAGAATTAATATTTTAAAAAATTTAATGTATGAGATCGTCTAGTTACAATTCTATCATATTATTAAGATAATAAGATAAGCAAATACTTGTCCGTTAATACAATATTGGCTTCTAAAAACATGTTGAATACATACGACGCGGCCATGACTCAAATGCGTCGTCACGGGTCACCGCCATACTCATTAAGAACCTCTACTAGTGAGATGTCAACTTGTAACGTAGTATCACAGATAATATAATACTATACTGGTAGTAATATGTACTTGTATCTAGAGTTGTATATACTTTCTACGTAGGACTTAATTGCTCTATTGGTGTTGACCACACCTAAAAACTATCGACCCACATTTTATAATCACAACAACATTCATATTAATCATACTTTTATAATAGATACATCAATTTAGATGACACAATATAATGGGGTTGAAATTATTAAGGATATATAACTAATCAATAAAAAACTAGAAATGCCCAAAAGATGACTGGCAAATAACACACATTATGTTCGCCTTTTGTACAATAATTATACTTTTTGTAAAATATAGTCACTAAAGAACAAATAAATAGAACTAAATATAATACGAATAGATACGAGTACACGGTTTGAAGGGTGGGATATGGCGTAAATTTACTGGGTACAGAGGAATAACACCTGCGTCCTCAGGAATGGCAACGCATGGGGGGTATCATGGGCGAAACAGTATACTCTGTTATGTCCATGGCACTGCTCATTTCTATAGGCGACGGTTACCACTTTCTATCAGGTAGGCCGTCAGCTTGTTTGCCATTCTAAGTTGTACAAAAAAAAAATGAAAGACAAATGAGGTTTTTTCTTATAGTTAGTTATTTTGCATTTTTTTTTTTCATGATGTATACTCGTATTGTACACAATATTTACAAGTCATAGTAATAAATAAGGGCTAATAAATAGAGGAAGATGAGTCTAACAGTAATTCTTTTTACAATCTCCGATTAGAGTCAAATTCAAGTGAAATTGTAATTTAATAATTGTATTTAATTCTCTATCTCTAAAATAAAAATTTCTATTTGATATTAGAGAGAAATAATTATTCTAGGGACCAGTATAAACTAAATTTTGTATACAATTGCGTCAAAACTGTTTTCCATTTAATACATGAATGAAAATTTATGAATTGGTATCTCAGAATCGGGATGCATCTTAATGCACGCACTTATTTAAAAATGACCAGCGTAAACTCATTGCGCCTTGCCCACTACAGCACAATATTGTCTCATAAATAAAGAACGTTGGTATGGGTCAGTAGTTTGAACAAGAATTACGTTGGTTTCCTTTTCCCTTTAAGTAAACCTCTCATCGTAAAACAACAGCCAGCCTACTTATTACAACACATTGAACATTATTACTTACTCAATTTTGACCGCGAGTGGAAACGCTACATGGTAAAATGTAAGTTTTAATAAAATTTAGTTGAAATCATTATAATAGTAGGACGGTAACATACACATATGTAATAACACTTTTGTACAATATATATCTAATTTCAATATATGTATTATACCTACTTAATATACATATATATATATATATATATATATATATATATATATATATATATATATATATATATATATATATACACTCCTCGCAAAAATTAAGGGAACATAAAAATTTTTAAAATTTTTGGGTGATTTTCAACAGGCTGTATTTCAGTGAAAAATAATCGTACAGGAAATTTAAAAAAAGGGTTTTGAAGCTTGAAAACTCTAGTTTTTAGATTTTTTGGTGAAAAAATTTTTTGAGCTCCGGTTTCCATGCAATTCTTAAACAAAGCTGAAAATAAATTTTTTCTAAATTTTCTAGGTTTCGTTTTTCACTCTATGGGCATGGAAAAATTTTTTCGAGCTATTCCATTATATAAGTCTCTTAGCGTGTTTATTCAGCTTCAAAAATCGCTTTGGATGGCTCAATTACGACCATTTGTCTCCGAGATATCGAACTTTGAATGCAAAAGCATCCTTTTCCATTCAACTGCTAATATCTCTGGAACTACTGGTCGCACAGCAAGCGGGCGCCGAGTTTCTTTATCTGCATAAAATTTCCAATTAAGCACAGTCAAGAGTTAGTGAAGAAAAAAACTTTTTCCACCTCTAACATTGAATTGAAAAAAGTGACTTTTTCTCCTTTTTTGGTTACTTGGCTGTATCTTCGCTAATATGGGCGGGAAAGCTAAGGTTTGAGGAAAATTTTACAGTCTGTTGTTCCTTAAAGAACCCCCTAAATCCCTGGAGCGATCGGTTCTACGGTTTTTCCCGGACCAATTGATTGAAATTTTGGAAAAAATAAGGGAACAAGGTTTTTGTCCCTTAAACTCACCCTAATCCATTCAAAAATCAATAATTTCATTTGTTTTTCACTTTTTACTCAATTTTTTGTTTTTTAAAAATTCATTATCAAAAAAAATCGAAAAAAATCACGACGAATCCGACCGTGCAACCTCCACGTGGTATGCTTTGGGTAACGTTAATGCCGGCGGTAAATCGATCATCAATCAAAGTTTTTGTCAAAAACTTTGATTTCCTTAAAAACGAAAAAAAAAATTATTGTAAACTTTTTTCGACTTTTCAAAAAAAAATTTTTCTTAAAAATTTTCTTGATTTTTTTCGATTTTTTTTGATAATGAATTTTTAAAAAACAAAAAATTGAGTAAAAAGTGAAAAACAAATAAAAATATTGACAGCCAAGTAACCAAAAAAGAAGAAAAAGTCACTTTTTTCAATTCAATGTTAGAGGTGGAAAAAAATTTTTTCTTCACTAACTCTTGACTGTGCTTAATTGGAAATTTTATGCAGATAAAGAAACTCGGCGCCCGCTTGCTGTGCGACCAGTAGTTCCAGAGATATTAGCAGTTGAATGGAAAAGGATGCTTTTGCATTCAAAGTTCGATATCTCGGAGACAAATGGTCGTAATTGAGCCATCCAAAGCGATTTTTGAAGCTGAATAAACACGCTAAGAGACCTATACAATGGAATAGCTCGAAAAAATTTTTCCATGCCCATAGAGTGAAAAACGAAACCTAGAAAATTTAGAAAAAATTTATTTTCAGCTTTGTTTAAGAATTGCATGGAAACCGGAGCTCAAAAAATTTTTTCACCAAAAAATCTAAAAACTGGAGTTTTCAAGCTTCAAAACCCTTTTTTTAAATTTCCTGTACGATTATTTTTCACTGAAATACAGCCTGTTGAAAATCACCCAAAAATTTCAAAAATTTTTATGTTCCCTTAATTTTTGCGAGGAGTGTATATATATATATATATATATATATTACGCTAAACAGAAATAACATTATTCTAATAGTCCTATATGAATAATATTAATTAATTACCATTGTTTTTCTCTGACTCATAGTATGATGAACTGCCTGCATACGTATATTTAAATAAAAATGAAATGAGGGAATTTTCTAAGAAAGTAGTTTTATACGAATATAAAAGAAGTCCTTTTACATTAGGTTTCGTTATATAACATACATAGACATCCACTGTTTTAAAATATCCACAAGCAAAATAGATAATAGTTCTGAGTAAGCAAAGATATCTCATTCTCCATAAATATAGACTTGATACAGTTATAAAAATATAATATCACATTCTATTTCAATAAAACTTAAATTGAACTTAAAAGATAACCAAGTTTTAATGACACTGGGGTCGATTCTGAGACGACATTTAACCTAACCCACCTCGAAAATTAAAATTCAAATCTATTCTCCCTAGAGTACTATATTCCCTGATTTCAATTTAATATCACAGAGAAATCTTTACTTCAAGGACCAATATGAACTAATTTTCTTATAATTTTAAGTCAATTCTTTATATATATATATATATATATATATATATATATATATATATATATATATATATATATATATATATATATATATATATTCAAAAGTTTTTGAGTGACGACCCCGTAGAGGCAAAAGCAGCGTGTGTGCTAGATGTAACGACGACCTCAAATGCATTGTAGGGAGTGAGTGGATGCAGGTGGCTCGGGACTGATCCTTATGACAGTTTATGGGGGAGGCCTATGTTCAGCAGTTGACAGACGGACAGACGGCTGAAATGGTGATGAGTTTGTTACTATTCTTCGTTTATTTACATTTTCATTAGTTTGTGTTGAAACAGACCATAGGTAATATTACATAGAGTATAATGTAATTTTTAACATTGGTTCTAATAGCTGGTTAGTAGTAAACGGCAAGGTTAAATTTGAAGCCGTACTTGGTCTTAAAGTTTTATGGTCATGGTATATTTAATGACTACTTATAAGACGCCATGCAAATGTTGTCATTATAGAACCAGGAAAATGGATCTTTAGTAAGTCTGTGGACCTTCTCATAAGATGATAGTATTGTAACAATAGTTCCTTGGCATACACAGTTATCTGTTGAAAACCTTTCTTTCCCCTCAAACTTCACCAAGTGATTGATTGATTTTATTTAATGATCCTTCGGACTGTATAATGGACGATAGGTATACAGTAAATAAACAAATAATAATAATTATAAATAGATTTATTTTCTCTCCACAATTCATCACAGTAAAATATAATGAGACATACTTATATTAAGGTAATCAAATTATAAATATATATGTGAGAGACTGGTGCCTGAGATAGGTATAAGAATACCTGTATTACAGGTCACTAAGGCCTCACTCCGTAATATATTAATATAATACAATAAATAATATGTTATACAAACTTAAGCTCTACCAGAAGTAGACTTTGTACAAAAGTCGATTGCTTGGGTACCTCTGTCCCATTCGTGTTTCTACCGTGAAGCAGTTGTGTTTCGGTTTGAAGGGTCGGATATGGCGTGAATTTACTGGGTACAGAGGAATAACACCTGAATCCTCAGGAATGGCAACGCATGGGGGGTATCATGGGTGAAACAGTACACTCTGTTATGTCCATGGTACTGCTCATGTCTATAGGCGACGGTTACCACTTTCCATCAGGTGGGCCGTCAGCTTGTTTGCCATTCTAAGTTGTATAAAAAAAAAGTCATATATTGTAATAACAATAATCCATTAAATCAAAATCAATTTTGAAACAATCTCATCTAACCTAATCTAGCGATGAGATACAACGACCTCTACGCCATTTTCTCTAAAAATCATCGTAGTTAATTTTTGATAAATTCATCACGTTTTGATAATTTCATCAATTCCTGATGTCGCGCCAAAATATACGGATAGCCCAGACAGAGTCGTTATTTCATTTTCACTCATCATCATATCAGCCGTGAACTGTCTACTGCTTAACATAGGCCATCCTCAACTGGAAAGGTTTTGCCAGTGGTTGGCATGCTTGGCAGGCGGATTGATAACGACAGTTAGGATTTATTTTAAGGCTATACTTTAAGAGATACGTTGCTGCCCATCCATCGACCATAAGTTCCGTAAGTCGCTTCTTATAACACCCACTCAATAAATAAAAATTTATCGAAACTAAGAATCGCAAAATCTATTTTCTCTTTATATGTTTCTCTATATATGTAAAACTAGTATATGCATGAAATGCATGAATCGGAAATTTGGACTGTACTAGTTGCAATAAATTTTCCCTGCTGAATTTCAATTTGATCTGCAGTATCACTGACCCAAAGTGCAATCCACACACAATTTCTAAGCCTATACATACTCGTATTATTTGTAACAATGGTTTTATTTAGCATTGTCCAACCCATACCTTCTGACGTGGTTAAAGGCTTATAACAACTTTAAAATGGTCGGTACGATTTTGTAACATTGAATGCCTATACAAGTGTGCAAGGCAATGCCTCATTCGCGGCAGCTCTACCATTTTACCTTCGATAGTGACCATAGTAATGTTAAGGTAGTACGTAAAAATATTAGGGATTACTGAAAACTTTCTGATGAATAAAAGATCATATGAACAAATTAGATCATCTAATAATACTTACTCGTATAAAGAATTAAGGCAGATGATCATGAAATTCTAAGGCGATTACAAAGTCTGAAAAACTTTTCTGCAGTAATATAAAAAAATATATATTTAAACCTTTTAAACCAAAATGATCACATAAAGACACATTTCAAAATTAAATATACAATAAATATTTTCCTATTAGCTGTATACCACGACTTTACTAGCGTAAATTACGATAAATTAATGTCCTACATATTAATCTGCAATAGTTCATATTTGTCCAAAGAATTTAAAATCCATTCAAATGTGATACACAATACCCAAACTACAAAAAAATATAGTTAAAATAAAAAAAAAAAAACAAACATCTTCACAAACTTTTACGTTTATATTTAGTAAGAAGTTAGAAAAGAAATTTAAGATTTCTACTTTGTTTCTTGATGAAAGTTGTTCAGTTCATGAAACTGCCTCAATTTTACCTATATATATATATATTTTTTATGACTCGCCCTGTATAAAGCTGTAAAAATAATTTTATTACTCTTCTTCCCAAATATATGAGTAACTGAAGGTTTTAAAGATGCAAACTGCGACCTTGTAAAGCGACCTCGAGTCAGCCGAGCATGAGAGTAATTTGAGACGTCACCGTAATCATTTCACCGATAATTTGCCATACCTCACACGCTTCCGTCTAACATTACGACGGCACGAATAATTGTAAGAACAATTTACTAACTTGCGTAGAGTAATTCAATGTCTTTAAGACCACTGTTATTATTCTGTGCCCTATAATTGTCGATGCATCAAAAAAAATCCCTTTATACATTATGATATTCCCACGGTAAAGCGTATAAATGCACGCACCAATGTCACATAGGGTTTTTCATGACACTACATAATTTAAAAAAAATATAAGCTTCCTGTATTGCGTTTCCTATTTTACAAGTCTAATGACAAATACTGGATATTATATTATTGATATATGGATACAACATTACTATGATTAGGCAGATATTAATCTGTCTAGAGTACCCACCATAGAATAGATACTCCATTATATCAATCAATACAAATAATAAAATCGTGACTGGTGCTGTCTGTACATAAAAATATACAAGAAAAACGATTATAGGGGGTTTTATGAACGCAATAGAACCCAAAACAATGATTTTTAGAATTTGTGTCTGTCGTTTGTCTGCACGTTTGTGCACGCTATTCTCAGAAACAGCTTCACCGATTAAAATGCGGTTTTATTAATACGTTGCAGTTTGCTTCACTTAACATTTAGTGTTTGTTTTATATCAATCGTTATAAAAAGTTATATCAATAGTATATATACAACTAGTGTATTATTATATTAACTTTTATCTGCAACTTCGTCTGCGTGATCAGGCTATGCTCACTAACTAAAATAAGAAGCCACCCCGTTTATATTTATATGCCAAATTTCATAATAAATCGTTAAGCCGTTAAGACGCTAAGCGATAACAAACAAACTCATGTTCACATTTATTAGTAAGAATAAAAGGAGTTTATTTGTACATCCAGAACCAATGTTATGTGATGTAAATATAATCAATAAAAATGTAATAAAAGTAATTTAAATACAAAACCCTTAGTGATCTGAACCTGACTCGCACTTAACAGATTTTTTTTATATTACTATATCAAAATGAATATGCCTGTTCCCATATTAACAAAATATATAAAAGTATTTTTAAAGAACTGAATGACCAACAAGCCTATTCGATAGACAGAAGTAACCATCACCTGTGTCTATCATGAACATCACAACATAACCTCTGTCGTCCATAGTACCTCTCACTGGAATACTAGTTCTGAAGGCTATGTTCTTATATGTTTATGTTCTTATGCCCCCGTAATTTAAAAGAGGTTAATAGTTTAATACATATTATTAGGATATATTTATCAAACGGTATCGAAATGTAAATAAAATGGAAGAACAATTTTCCCCTTTTTTTTATTTTGATTAATAATATCTAAACAAATTTAATATAGCTGAGTGATTTTCAGCAAGAGCGATTTCTGTCTAATTTCGACGAACTTTTTTGGTTTCGAGTGTTTAGTAAAATTGATGATCAAAAAACATAGTTGAAAGGTCCAAGGAAGTTAGACATAGATCGAATATACTTAAAATCACCCAGATTTCATTCATTTATGGAGTACGTTAACCTATACTAATATATAAAGCGGAATAGTTATTTATTTGAACACACTAATCTCTAGAACTAGCAGTCGAATTATTCAACATTTAACAGCTCATTTCTTAAGAAAGACTATACCAATCTAGGCTATTCGAGTAATATTATCTATTATTAATCCATGTTGTCGCACTGCTGAGAAATGTCTCTCTCATCTCCTTCTAAAAGTTCCTATATGGTTTGAGCTGAAAACCAGTCTCTTTTAAATGCATCTCAATCGTTACGCCAATCGTTACTTCCTCGGTCGGCCTCGGCAACACTGTCCATCTGTAGGCACCCACTCAATTGCTTGGGTACCTCTGTCCCATTCGTGTTTCTACCGTGAAGCAGTTGTGTTTACATGGCTGTGTTTCGGTTTGAAGGATGGGATATGGCGTAAAATTACAGGGTACAGAGGAATAACACCAGAGTCCTCAGGAATGGCAACGCATGGGGGTATCATGGGCGAAACAGTATACTCTGTTATGTCCATGGTACTGCTCATGTCTATAAGCGACGGTTACCACTTTCCATCAGGTGGGCCGTTAGCTTGTTTGCCATTCTAAGTTGTATAAAAAAAAACTTGTAAAAAACCCATACAGCTAATGTGATCCGCTCAATCCTACTTATGTTTAGCTGACTTCTGACCTACCTTGTAAATTATTTCAAAATTATTTTTATGAACGACAATTTACCAATTAGAATTAAATCGTCTAAGAATAAAGGCGCTGACAACCAAAACATTCAATGGCAAATAGCAATTAGTTGCATGCATGTGTAACCTAGGCTCACATTTCCGTTGATTGTGGCGTAGTGTGAGATCACATAGACCCCTAGAGAACAAATCCGTTGACAATGAGTGCGAGCTGCGCTCTGCGTCACAGCGCCTCGGCAGAAGGACGGGTTGCCTACAAACGGACTCATTACCTCTCCAGTGACCATTGTCAATTATAAGACAAAAACTCCCACGGTTTATAAAGGTTTGAGCGTACGTGTGCGCGCACAGAGCGCATCTTCGCTCACAACACACAACCTGTGTTTGTGCTATTGTTTGTGATTATACAATATAGTTTTACGAAGTAAGTACCTAAACAGTATTCATAAGTCACTCGACGTAATTGAAGGTAATTTAAGATTTTACTCGCCAAAAAAAGACTTCTTCAGTCGTGACGAATTTAATATGGAACTAACATAAGAGTAAGTCCTATCAATTGCAAAAAATATCAATATTGATTTAAAATTCATGAATTATCTCGTGACATACACACTAAAACAATTTATAATAATACAGATGTATTTAAAACCACCCCTTTTTAAAGTTGCTTAAAATAAGTAGGAAATATGTAGGAATTATTTTATATCAGATGCTATGTACTTTATGTATAAAATGTATAAAAATCGTAAGTCTATGAATAGTATTTATGGAGATTAAACAAATTTCCCCGAAAAAGATATGACAAGGTATAAAAAAAATTAAATGATATTTTTTATATAACTTAAAAAGGGATAGGTTCTCAATTCGTATGTTACCCAATATACTCACCAATTCCGAATCGATTACGATAATTATTATTATAATATTTGTTCCATTACCCTTTAAACTTTAAGGTGACGTGCATTACCGTAACTGTAATCCAATTGTTCGTATATATGTATTCACTCATTTATCTATTCTTAGATTTAGAATACAAAATTTATCTGGTTGTAATATGTATATTACAACCAGATAAATTTTTTATTCTAAATTTTGTCTAATACATTAGACAAAAATTATAGTGACAAAGAAATTGCATATCATATATTTTTATCTATTGTATTTATCAGATTTGAATAGAAAATAGCTGTTTTTACCTAATCAATTAAAAAATATTGTGCAACCTCAATCATTTTTATTAGTTAGATATAGTGTAACTCACTAATGCCTATATACTAAAAACTATGAAGTTTCTTAACAATTTAAATCTATTATCAATTATTCAAAGTTAATTTAACCTAACCTACTACATGTATAGGTATTTATAAACTATTGAAATATAGCCAAGATGATTACTCTGTGCAATGATCGTTCCTAAATACCTACTGTAAACATACAACCTATATACTTGTTTTAAAAATCATTCAATATCTGTAGAGGGTGAAATCAAAATCATTAACATATTTTCAAAAAAGTGTATCATCAGCAGAAATAAACTTTTATCCCAAAAAAACATGGGTTGAATAATGGCAAAAAGTTTTATGCCTCCGTCCATACTAACACGGTGCATACAGCTGTGTTAGTACGGGAGACTGGGCAATCAATCACTGCAACGTAAATGGGCAGGGTGACTCGGTCCTTTTTGTGAATTATTATGAACATAAGTAATACTTATTGTGCGCAATATTTATTTATTTTTTAATAATTTCAATAGGAATATAAAAATATCGTCTTTTCTTTTTTTTTCTTACTGCTGCACTTATAAACTCGATAGACTACGTGTCGTTGTGTACTTACTACTACATACGCAATTTTATACTAGCAGCGTTATCACTCTACGTGGTAGTCGGAATTAATTCAATAACTATAAAGTAACTCTGCTAAGACACTACAGTGATCTAATTTAAATAAAACATTCATCAATTTTCAAGTTGGACTAACTTACCTATATGCTTAATTATAACATTTTATTTGAATCTATTCAGCCGTAATAATTTCACAAACTGACAGATATATTTCCTTAACTAATTTTCATAAAAAAAACTCTTCACGAATTTTTAAAATCGAAGAGTCACAAGTATGTAAATTAGATGTAAGTTACATACTTGTGACCCTTAGATTTTACTATAGCGTATGTATAGAGCATTTCAATGTGTGTGGAAACTGTGTAGAAAATGAAGAGAGAAAACGTAAAACTAAATTATACATTTTCTCATAATAGGCTTCTTCGATAATTTATAATTAATGCAATATTTTTGTACCTATATAAGTTCTGAGTTCTGCAAATAATCTTCTTTCTATAACTTCTGTTTTCGAAGCTTATCTCAATAGAAACACTGTATAGTATATTACATAAATTTGCTAACCGTACAGTGTACTGAAGATAGACATTATAGTAGCAATAATTTCAGGACATTTAATATAATACCTATCTACACACCCTACTGCTAAAAAGCGCGGCTTTAATACCACATTAGCTACCCGTTTTATAACATTCATAATATTCTTTCACAAAATCCATCTATCTTCTTCAAATCGTCCTCTTTTGTTACGCTCTGATAAATCCTTACTAATATTATAAATGTGAAATTGAATTAATTTTTTTTGTTAACTCTTGACGCTATAACGAATCTTCTTGAAATTTGATATATACCAATTACGCGTTTTTGGATAGATAAGGACACAGGCTCTACTTTATCTCGATCACAGAGCAAAGTGGTGTGTATAAAGTATTTTTTAAAATGTCACAAACTACAACAATTACTTCCAAGGTGGATTATTAGTATCGGTCTGGAGTTTCGTCCTATACTAGCAATATGCTCGGTTAAGTCGACCTCCACACATTCCCCCCTGAAAATCATCGTGGTTAATTCATGGTGAATTAGTCATATTGGGCCAACAAACTAGATTTCATTCTCACCTTTCATCCCTCACTGCTATCTCGCCCGCATAGGTATACCAACAGCACAGATGGGGTGACCATTACAGTTTCATTTAAAACAATCCTAAACACACTAGGGGGAAAGGGATTGTTAGTAATGGAGACTGAGAATCCCATTGCTAATAATATACCCAACCAGGTCGACCTCCTCGCGGTTCTCCCTGGAAACTATCATGGTTAATTCCTGATGAATTCATCACGATGGGCAAACTGGCCCGTTTTCATTCTCATCTATCACCCTTCACTGGTGCTCCGCCAGCGTATCCCGTTAGCGCAGGCGGGATTTTTTTTTGATGGGTGAAAATGGTATGATAACCCCATCATGATGCCATACCATTTTCACCCATCAAAAAAAATCCTAAACACACTTAGCCACATCGGTAGGTCAAACCATTAACGTGAGAACAAACTAGCAAACTGACGATTATTGTCCGAGGGTCGAAATAGATTTTACTACCTACTTAGAGTCTAACTAAAGTTAAGTCATATTACCTTCATTTACTAATGTTAATTATAAATAACTACACAAAATAGGTAAAGTGTTTTGTGAGTAGTGGCGTTGTTATCAGAATTTGGCCAAGGTAATGTTTAAGTAAATAAATACTAGTTTAGCCCGTAACTTCGTTCATGTGACCGGGAAATATTAAATATTAATTGGACAAAAAGTACCTAATCCTTTTCCATTCTAAGTACTACAAGAACCTTACACTATATTTCATGGTTAGGTATACATCTTATCAATATAATATAATAAAATTGAAACTAGACGATGTATATACATAAACTATGGGAGATATGTTAGAAAAATTGTTACGAAAGAACTTAATAAAGCCAATAAAACCCATTTTTGTTTAGAAATTTTGTCTGTTTATATATTTGTTCAAATAATTCTTTATTTTACAATGAATAACGTTTGCTCCTGTGTTAGTTCCATAAAAGATTTACGAATAAACGGATATTATCACTGGATTTCATCTTATACTCTTTCAGTTTCTACAATGTAAAATATCATTATTAAATGTTTCATACTCACATTATATTTTAATGTAATAACTACCGGTTCAAGTTACGAGTATTATAGTTTTTTTTTTCTTTCAATGAGTGATAATGGAATAATAACTCCGCCCGCGCTATCAATATACGCTAACGGGGCACAAGTGAGAGAAAGCTCGGCTGGTTTTAGACAGTCAGGCTCGCACTTGCTCACCGCTCATGACCAAGGTCCCAGATGGTAAAGTAATTAATCGAGCTCTCTTGACAAAATACACGTAAATTAAACCAGTAGTTGTTACATTGAAATAAAATGCAAAATTTCGTAATTTTAGTACCATTATTTTAGATTACAAATTTTTGTTTGACTTAAGTTTATATCATTTTTTATTCATGAATTAACTTTTAACCCACGTATTCCTTATTTAAAATTTATCCCTGGACTGGCTAATCTGCACTGAATTATTATATCTCTTACACTCGCGTCGAATTGCCCAACCGGGAATCTACCCTAGAATTATATTGGGTACGATATTTACACACTATACAAATTTACACAACATAAAATTCTCCTTAAACGACTGCCTAACAATGAGAGCAATGTTTCAGTTCTCATATATGTTTACATATGTCCACCTTCTAAATGCCTGAGATATTTTTTGTATGAGGTAGACTTATAATCCTTACATCAATCCAAATGACACTGGTAATTTTTTTTAATTGTTTTTTGGCAGGATAATCGAGTTTTTCCGAGTAATTTGGAATAAAAATATTCTTATTATGGAATACTTCGACGAAATTTGCTATAAACCTATTTTTTTTTTTTTTCAGAAAACGCGTAACTGGATCTTATCAAATTCGTAATTTTTATTTTTATTTATAGATGGCGATACATGCATTATCCCTCCTGGTGGTAATACTAGGATATACGTGTTTTACTGCAGAAAGCGAAGCTGTGAAAAGAACAGTATCTTCAGAACAAATAAATAAAGATGACCTGAAAACAGACGCTAGCACATGTACGAGTATAATTTTTAAATATTATTATAACTTTTCGTTGTAATCCCTATCAGCCATTATACCTAGATTCATTCTCCTTTAAGTATAAAATTTTACTATTTTCTTTAAAATATGCTAATGTATAACTACAGTAGCTTATGAGTACCTGAAATACTGGACCCTGAAGAAACCATAAAACGCCCTTTTATTTAACCAGAATTCTCATACTGTAGTTTCTAAGACAAAACTTCAAACACATACATCAACACACAATAAAAAAGGAAGACATTTTTACTCTCACCGAAATTTCGTATGGTAATAAATACGGAACTTCTTTATGTACTGATTTTAATTCATTTTTGATCGTATACTGATTAAAATAAAACCTCTTTTTTGTAAAATCTTACACACACTCGTAATAAGTACATAATAAAAATTGTTATGCTCGTGGCGCTTGTACCCAAGATTGGTTGTTAAAATAATGACGACTAGTAACAGTATAATAATTCACCTGTGTTTCAGATGGTCGTCGTTATTATGACTGGGGCGGATACCCCAGTGCCAGTGGCTACAGTGGTTACGGCGTAACTGGACATGGTATTATTGATAACAGATACAATTCATTTTACGGAGGTGGCTATGACAACACATACGGGTATAGTGGTGGATATAACGGTTACGCCGGTAACACAGGTTATGGTGGTTATAATGATTATAATTACAATGGACACAGAGGATACGGAGGATATGGAGGCTATGGTTTGAGCAGTTTTGGCGGGAATGGCGGATACGGAGGCTACGGCGGAAACGGTGGTTTGATCTCCTATTACGGTTACAACAATCCTTACAATCAAGGCGCGTACCATCTGGGATACGGCTATTACAACAAGAAGCCTGGCAATATATACAACAGTGGCATCACCCCTAACTTAGTTACGGGATATAGAGGCTATTCTAGAAGATAGATTCTAAGCATATAAAAATAACCTTGCGTAGCGCTAACAATACCATACTACTGTAGATTTCATCTGATATGGTATATTTTGTTTAACATATCCATAATATATAAAATATTATATTCAAAATCGATGACACTGTCTAATATTTATTAGTAATCAATATAATTAGCATTATATAACCATTTCTTGAATAATGTTCAATTGAAACAGCTAAAACATTATTATCAGGAATAATTAGATCTCATTTCTTATGCAGCTTAGAATGGCAAGCCGACAAACTGGCGGCCCACATTATGAAAATGTTGGCCTATAGACATTAGCCAAAATTTAAACATAAGTAAAAAATTGTCAAGTGGATTTCTAAGATTTGCCGCATATTGCCAACTCTAAACAATATATTGTTAAAAATAAAATCATAATTTGTAACAATAGCATTAAAAAGTCAAAAAAATGTGTGCTGGTAATTGCATAAATAAATTAAATATTGGATAATAATTTTATTAAATTTAAAATCGATTTAATATTTCTGAAGATTTGTTATAAGAGTATTTATAAAAAGTAAAAACTTATTATAATAAATAATTATTAGCGTCCAATCATAATGATCGTAAATAAATAAATGATCGTAATTGCAATCGTTATAAAAGATCCCGAATACTGCAAACGTTACGAATAGATGACATTGAGAAACAAACTTATTAAGTGTGAAAATTAAAAAATCCCATATCACTACTTGTAACCTCATAATCTCTGCATTCTTTTCTCTCTGACCGACTTGAAATTGATCAAATATTTTCTCTCTGAACAATACAACTATTTAGTAGGTCCGATAAGTTTCATTTTTTTTCATTTCAATATATGTATATTGTATGTACAAGAAGTTGGTTGGAGAGGAAGGACTTTAGGGTAGTGAAGTATAAACAATGGCAAAATGTTATTTCTTTATTAAAACTAACATTGTGTAAAAAAATAACCAAAGTAATTCCAAAGTTAGCAATAAAATTACTTATAGTTACTTCATATTTAATTAATCAGTAATTTATATTTTGTGTAGCTTATATAACTTGTAAAAGATTTTGTTAAACTGATTCCAAATAAAACAATATTGAATATTTTTAAACTTTATTACTAACAATGTGACATACACAATCTTAAGTCAAATTACATTCTATTATATTTCTACAATAATTTTCGAAATATTTACTCCAAGTAAAATTAAAATATTTACCCCTGAAAGACTGATTGTGAGTTTTCACACGCAATTGGGGTAAATTAGTGCCAAGGCTAATCAGAACCAGACACACTTGTTTGCTTTTTCATTGACTTTAATGCTCTTTCACGAAGCTTCTTCTCTAAGTCTTCATTGTTCACTCTTCCCTCTTCCTCTTCTTCAGGCTCTTCACTATCAGAAGAATCATCTTTTTTCTTTGAAGATTTCTTATGTTTTTTGTGCTTCTTGTGTTTCTTAGAATGTTTCTTGTGTTTTTTATTTTTTTTCGACTTTTTAGGTTCATCACTATCTGAATCTGACTCAGATTCGGAAACCTTCTTTTTTGTTTTCTTCTTAGACACTTGGTCACTGTCAGAAGAAGATTCTTCTTTTTCACGCTTTTTTGCTTTCTTTTCAGATTCATCACGAGATTTTGTTTTAATCTCTTCCTGGTGTTTAGATTTTACTACTTTCTCTTCTATTTTCCTTGACTTTACAAGGTCAGGAGAATTTACCTTTTCCTTAGATGATTCCACCTTCTTACTACGCTTAGTATCTTTTTCGGAACTAGAAGAATCTCGTTTTGTTAGTTTCTTCTTGCTAGATTTCTCATCACTGTCAGAACTATCATCTTGAGAGTCTTCAGAATTATCAATTTTCTTTGACTTAACTTGTTTCGCATCAACTTTTTCTGATCTTGGACGCTCAATACTAGCATCTTTATTGCGTTTTTTAGGTTTTTTCTCACTATCAGATTCTTCTGGAATGTTCTTCTGTTTAGATTTAGAACTCTTATGTTTAATTTCCTCCTCTGAACTTGACTCTGAGCTAGATGATCGAGCTCTCTTCTTCTTAGATTTTTTCGCCAATTTTTTCTTGGCATTCTTTTTACTTTTCTTCTTTCTATCTTCCTCTGAATCACTAGAAGAAGAATCTTCAGACTCACTTTCACTAGATGAAGTTTCCTTCTTAGGTTTTTTGGCTCTCTTTGAGGAAATCTTTTCCTTACGCTTGAGTTTTGATTTGCTCTTTGACTTTGAAACCTCCTCACTGCTTTCACTTTCAGATTCTGATTGGTGAGCTTTACGTTTTCCTTTTTTAGATTCTTTAATTTTATTCTCCATATCAACATGCTCTTTTCCAGAGGCATCATCGCCAGATCTATCAGATTTCTTATTATTCTCTATCTCATGTTTCCGTAAGAAAGGAGATGGCGTACGTGAAAGACTCTTAGAATATTCCCTTAATGTTGGTATAGGTATAAAATCATCCTTTTCATCATCAGACGATTGAACTTTTACTTGCGTTTCATTTTGTGTAGTCGATTTATCATGTGCTACTGATGATTCCCTACTTGAGCTTGAAATTACACGTTCCTTGGAAACTTCTTCACGCGATATGGATAGCCGTTCTGAAGACTTCTTCCGCATTTTTTCAATATTATCTAAAACAAAATTTTTTTATTCTAAATTAATTAAAACTTCAGTACACCTGTAGGGGATGTCTGCATGTAAGGTTTGTCATATCAGTTAGTCAAAGATACTTTTACCCATAAATCTAAGCGCTTGGCATTGCGACTGCTAGGTTGGCTAAGAATTACATTGACACTATCATTATATAAAGGCATATCACCCAGATTTCACTATTTCAGGTTGTAATTCTGACCACATGCCACCAACAAATGGAAAAGATCTATGATTTCATCATTGCTTAAATTTGTTGAGTGATAAAATTTGTTGAGTGGAACATGACTAAATCACAGCATAAATTGTATAACTATTTCAAAGGATAAACATATATTTGTAAACCAATTTTTTGCTCAACTCCTATTTTTATTACCTCAAGGCCATCTTTCATGTTATTTTGAAAAAAGATTATACAGACAGAAAATACAAAATTATTTACTAAATATGCTACATATAAAATACAGATTATACATATATACAGAAGTTGAGTATGACACTGAAAGAGCCTTTTATAAGTTTGAGAAACTCTGCGATAAATACGAAATTTTAATATATTGTAGCACAGAGTGAGATACTAACCTTTTCTGGGAATGGAGACTGACTTCTCCAATCGTTCTTTAATAAGTTCACTAGATCTTTTATCGCGCGACCTCCTATCTCTTGATCTTCTATCCTTGGTACTGCGTTCTTTAGATTTTTTATCCCTGTTAATATAAAATATAACAAAAGTACAGACCATGTTATAATGGCTAGATATGAATACAGATATACTAATAAAATACATGTGGCAAGCTGCATTTGAGTTAAGTTGGAATATACTAAACTAAGTGCAGATGTCTACATAGAAAGAATGTATGTTACGAGTCATCATATACTACTGTCTTTATTAAAATTCAAAGGTAGGTACGTAGTTACACGGTAATAGAATAGTTGAATAATTGATACGGTAAAGAACTATATTTTAATATAAGCATAGAAAACACAATGATATATTAAACAAATACTTAGAAATTCTTATTTTGAAAATATTTATTATGGAAATGATTCTTCATTTCTTCTTTATGCTTTAAGGACTCAACCATTTTTCATAAATTTGGTATACAAGTAACATTTGGACTGAAGATGCCATGAGGGGTTCAGTATATTCTATTACCTCCAAAATACTGTTATTGTCTACAGACAATGATTACCATAAATTATTTCACTGAGCATAAAATTTTGCAATCCTTATTTACATTAATTTTTATACCATTTGATAAATATCTATTAATCTAACTCTATGAATATGACACTTAAAGCATGAAAAACCTATATCATATAAAACTGATTTTTTTAAAGATCTTTAAAGTTTTTAATGTATCTCTGATTTGTTCGTATATTTAGACATAACCAATATTGAGGTACAATATAATGTGACGAAAAATTAACTATACCTACAGTTAACACGTTCGGTGCGGCACTGTATTTGCCGGGGTCTTCCGAAATGCGAGCACTTTTTTTTTCTTAAAATATTCCTTCTGCACCCAAATACACATATAAAATATTTAAAAAAATTATAATTACGTTTTTCAATTAAAAAAAGCTTTGTCGAGGCGTAGTCGGCACACGCGCCAGCAAAGGAATTTCCTTGGCGGGATTTGAAATGAAAAACCCAGCGTCGAGGCACCCTCGGCGGTAGGCCGGGGGAAGGGATAAGCTCCGTCGAGGCATACTCGACACTCGCACCGAACGTGTTAATTAAGCCGTAAGCATCTTAGGATCATTATTATACGAACCTAAATTATTGTATGCGCTCGAGGTAATTGTCAGTTAAGTCTCGAAAATTTTTGTATTAACATTTTACCTGGATCTATCCCTGGAGCGTCTATCACGGGAACGCCGATCCCTAGAACGACGGTCACGAGATCGCCTGCCCGAGCGACGCCTCGAACGCGAGCGCCTGCGAGACCTCGACCGGCGTCGGTCGCGAGATCTGATCAATAATATTTAATAATTATTCATCAGTTTACTATAAAACCACATAAAAAATAGAATTGGTGACAATTAGATGAAACAAAACCAATAATAATTTTATCCTCCTTGCTATTATATGAATATCATAATTAAGAAAATTTTAACACATGGTTCGATGTTTGTTTGGTCACACAGATAGCCCCCATTCATCATATCAGCCATTAAATGCCCACTGCTGAACATAAGCCACCCCATAAGGGAGGTTCTGCTCGAAGTTGCAACACTTGGCGGGCGGGTAGACAACCACAGTTAGGCTTAGATGATGTCTTGAGAGGAATCCTGCTGCCAATCCCCTCGACTATTAAGTTCTTTTAGTTGCCCCTTACGACACCCACGGAAAAGGAAGGGATGGCATATTCTATGCCGGGATCACACGGCAAATAGACAAACTAAAAACAAACAGAAATTACATTTTACATTTTATTACACAGAATTATTTGCCCCTGTGAATTAGGATAAAAATATTCTATGTGGTAATCTAAAACATGCTCCTGCTGTTATAATACTAGATATTACAATCTTTATTGACATCTCGAGAACACTATTACTTAAGAACACATTTCTATGGATTTAAACAAAAAAATATTCCAGTAAAGCATTCATTGTGTGCTCAAATGGGTTGTTTTATTCATTGTTCTTATCTTTTGTAGTAAAAATCTAATTACATATTCTAGCTGTTTTATACTTTTATTCATGATCATCATCATCTCAACCATTCTTTTTTTTAATGGGTGATAATGGAATGGTATTCCCGCCTGCGTTATCGATATACGCAGGCGGAGCACCAGTGAGGGATGATAGATGAGGATGAAAGCGGGTCAGTTAGCTCATCATGACAAACTCCACAAGAAAAAACTACGATGGTTTCCAGGAGGAACCGCGTGGAGGTCGCTTTGATAGGATGTATTGCTGGTAATAGGTCAATTAGACAGCATTACTAACAATCCCTATCCCCGCTCTCAACCAGTGCTGAACATCTATCCACTGCGGAACATGAGTCTCCATCAAAGTCCTGAGCCGCCTGCAATCTATTTGAGGTTGTCACTCCATCTAGAGGGTAGTTCGTCCTACATTGTATTTGTACCTTATTCTTTTAACTAAATCCATTATATAACAAACAATAATTTCTAAAAAAAACAAATTCATGCAATTAAATTTTATATTTTTAATAATCTCGACATTTACCAGTTGATGGTACAGACAGAGAAAATTAAACAAAAAAACTGTCAATTCCAAACGAGTTTGTCTAAAGACAAACTAAATGTGATAAATCACAGTATTTAATTTTAATTCAGAAGGTGACAGTTATCAATTCAATATTAGTAGCAAGCATGTAAAATCTACCACAAATTAAAATTCCAATATTTCAGCCACAAATTTCGTAATTACACGTTCTTTTTGAAATCGAGGTAACGACAAAATAATGTTTCGATTGCAAAAAAAAATACCATAAAGCATCCGAAATATCGATATTGCATCAATTTAACCACATTTCTTTTGCCATTTTAATAACAATTTCGTGTTTCATTTGTCTCTGAAATCTTGGATAGATTTTCATGGTAGATAAGACACAGATGTGTTAAAACATACTAACTTTCAAACAAATACTATGCAAGCGCAACATAAAATTGTATACAATTTACCTGTCCCTTGAACGTCGTCGAGAGCGTGAACGCGATCGTCTACGTCTTTCAAGCGATCGTCGACGTTCTCGCGACCTTTAATAATAAATGATGTTACTAAGTAACCTCAAAACTAAAAAGAAAATATAAAAATTTAGCATAACTCTAAACTCAATAAAAGATACAAGTGAAAAAATATGTTTAAATAAATTTCTTTATCTAGCCTGTATTTTTTTTTTTATATTCTCAATTACACAAATTCATTAAAGTTTTATTTTTTCTCAATACTTGTATTTTTTTGATAATTGTCATTTTCTCGCATCAAGAAATTAAGAAGTAGAATAAAAAGTACTATGATAAAAAAAAATATCCAATAAGTAAAAAGTCAACTCACCTCTCTCTCCTCTCCCTCTCTCGACGCCGACGTTCTCTCTCTCGCTCGCGTTCGCGTTCTCTTTCTCGTTCTCTCTCCCGGTCACGACGATCGACTGACCGGCGGCGGCTGCTACGTCTTCGTGACTTACTCCTGTTTAATATTTCATCAAAACGTTAATTAACATTGAAACAAACCATAAATAATTTAATAAGCATATGTAATGCTACACGAGCCAACTATCAATAAATATTGAACTCGATCGAACATTTAAATTATCTATTATCAACTTTACAAAGCACAACAATTTTTTTCTTTAAAATTTGACAAACAATGCTGTCATGTTGTCAGTCATACATGCAACACCCTTTTAAATTCACAGCAAACAAATAGTAATTTCAAAGTTAAAAAACTAAAATATGTGATTGTTTTGCAGTATCCATTTATCCCATTACAAAGAAAATAGTCTTGAAAATTACCTTTCTCTGCGCGAACTACGCCTTGGGCTTACACTTGTAGAGGAATCGCGATTGGAGCGATACTGACGTTTTTTATGTGATGATCTCTTCTTAGCACTACCGCCTATAGAGAAACATTTTATAAGTACATAAATTGATTACAGAATTTAGGCAAACTTTATTTTTAATATAAAATAAAAACTTACGAGATGAAGCTGAGGAAGAACGCCTCTCACTAGATGAATGTCGAGTTTTATCAGCAGGCTTGTTGTCCTCTGCCTCCTTTTCACCAGTGGACCTATATGAAAGCAGTGTTTAGCTGTTAAATACGCTTTATCTTATATACACTATTATGTATTTTTGTGTACAGAAATATATAAAAGAACAGGAGTTACAGATATCATACGAGGTTTGTCCGGAAAGTACGTATAAAAGTTTTTTAAAAATTTTATTTTACAATTATTCAGGTAAATCAATTTTATCCCCTTCAAAGTACTCCCCCTGTGACATAATGCACTTGTGCCAACGCCGTTTCCACTGTGAGAAGGCTCCTTGAAAGTCCTCTGGTTGTAGGTTTCTCAGCTGCCCCGTCGTAGCTTTTTTTATCTCATTTATGTCCCCCAAATGCCGCCCCCGAAGTACCAATTTGGTTTTTGGGAACAAGAAGAAGTCACACGGGGCCAAATCCGGCGAATAGGGGGGGTGTTCGGTCACCGTAATGGAATTTTTACTCAAAAACTCACGGACAACAAGAGAGGTGTGGGCAGGGGCATTGTCGTGGTGAAGAATCCAACGCCCCTCTCGCGCCAATTCTGGACGAACTCGTGCCACACGAGCTTTGAGGCGTCTGAGCACATCGACGTAGAATTTTCCATCAACTGTCTGGCCTAGAGGGACGAATTCTTGATGGACAATCCCCCGAACATCGAAAAAAACAATCAACATTGTCTTGACATTTGAGCGGGATTTTCTTGATTTTTTTGTTCGTGGTTCCCCGGATGTCTTCCACTCTTTGCTTTGGGATTTTAATTCGACATCAAATTCGTAGAACCAAGACTCATCTCCAGTGATGACTCGGTTCAAAAAGTCACCATTCTCTTCGGCTTCCAACCAGTCCTCACAGCAAGCAACTCTTCGTGATTTTTGATCCGGGGACAAAAGCTTGGGAACGATCTTGGCGCAAATTTTTTTCATTTGAAGTTCGTTTCTTAGAATTTCGTGGACCACGGTTTTGCCCAAATTAAGCTCTTCAGCCACCTGTCTGACCGTTAAACGACGGTCCCCATTAACACAAGTTCGAATTCTTTCCACGTTTTCGTCGGAATGTGAAGTGGAAGGACGTCCTGAACGTGGGTCATCTTGAACGCTTTCTCGGCCCTCTCTGAATCTTTTTAGCCACTTGTGGACGGTTGGTTCCTTCACAGCATCATCCCCATAAACTGTTCTGAGATCGGCAAAAATTTCACGGCCATTCTTGCCGAGTTTCGAGAGAAACTTGATTACGACGCGCTGCTCTTCAACGGAAGCGGGCTCCATGCCGACGGGGTTTCGTTAAGAGGTAACTTCACAGATGGCGTGACAAGCCAGTTCGCACCGCACGGCGGTCAGACCAGAACTGAAGCATTGTTAGGGACATAAGGAAGGGGTCCTGCGCTTACCTGGCCTCCCCACTCCTCTTTCTCGCATTCCAGAACACTTTTATACGAACTTTCCGGACAGACGTCGTACATAGAATCATTCTTAATTTTGTTTTATATTAAAAAAAAATTATTCAAAAGTGCATATAAATATAATAATAACGTATACTTAAATAAAAAATATTTTATTTTGTAATTAGATAGCTGAAATAGAAATAGACCAGACACCTTTGTAGAATGAACAATGATAAGTTTACAAATGATGTGATGGAATGGATACACTGTTAAAGAAAGCAAGGTGGACCGTGAACAAATGGTGTGCAGTATCTGTTCACGGTAGTGACAAAAAGTGGTCCAATGTGAATGACAACTGACCAAAATAGAAATATTTATTATTTAAAATTTTCTTTTACACCACTAGAATACAATCTAGATATATAATAATATAATATATCTATCTACAATAGAATACTCAACACTGGTGTAATGCATTAAGACTCACTTTGCAGGTGATGCAGATCTAGACTTTTGACCATCACCCTCTGTATTTTCTTCCTTTACAGTAGTATCATTATTTTCTTCTTTTACAGTATCAGAGTTTGATGTGTGGTTCAAGTCTTCCTTTGTTTCTTCCTCTTCTTTCTTCTCTGGAGACTTGCCATTTTCTATAAATAATATTAGGTAAATTCTGTTAATATGATAATTGATTAAACTTTAAATACATTACAATATACAAAAAATATTTCATAATATATTTAATGCTTCTAAATATATATTTGCATACAGTACATGGTATGTGTGAACTTTAGTTAAAACATTGTGTTAAACAAATTAAATTATTTCCATATATTATACAACTAGCCATCTGCCCTGATTTCTCATTGAAGCAAATTTTTAATACTTGTGTAAGAAAATATCTAAACTACAATGAATCCTGTATCTATATCAAATGCCAGCCAGTAACTTCGTTTTATACTATCTGAGATTTAAAAGTTCTTTGACTTTACAAATTCAGAAGAATTAACCTCTTCCTTAGACGATTCCACCTCATCACTGTCAAAACTATTCAGTCTTCAAAATTATCAACTTTCTTTGACTATGTTATTTTTTTATAAAGTTAGAATGTATGAAAATAATGATATAACTTTGTGAAGCTATGACTAAACCACAAATAAATACTTTACCTTTGGGTTCAGGTAGCTTAATCTCATCAACAAGGGACTGCTTCACCGGGCTGCTCTTTTCGCGACTGCGTCGTCTTGAACGCCGAGGACTTCCCCCATTGCGATGCCTAAATAAATATATATTTAAAAATATAGGGCGCTGTCAAAAGTAAACAATAATTTTGGATGATTAATTAATTGGATGAATTATTAATGTCACAGTATACTCTGTGATATCCAAGGAACTGTTTAAGTCTTCTTTTGAGTGCCGACGAGCGCCATCGCGCTCGTGCGCATTGCAACTAAAAGTGCCACGTGCGCCTTGGCGCTCGTGAAATCAATCGCTGATTAGCTTGCTTTAAAAAAATATTAAAATTGGATAATTTTTGGAGGATATACAGTTTTTTTAGGGACAAGGGTAAATGACATCAACACAACAAAGATTTCTTTGGCATTTTTAAGTAGATATGAGTAAAAATCAAAGGCACTAAAAGGGATAAGCAACGATTACCACCTTCCCTCAGGTGGGCCGTTAGTTTTATATGCTATTCTAAATTTCATAAAAAATACCCGCGTTAACAACAAATTTAATAACATATAACATAAAAGTTGTTGCTCTATATTCTAATACAAAGAAATAACTTTAAAAATAAAAGAAATCCAATTTCAGTTTGAATTCAATTAATTTATATTTTGTTACTTGTTATTAAGACTTTAAAAATTAATCTACACGTCATAAAATCTAAAAGCAACGATCTCCTTCCTTGAATTCCTTCATCAGACCTAGACTTTAAATTCAGATATAGTCTGAATATCCGAATACATTATATGAAAGTTTGTAATGATATTTGGCTGTTTATCATTAAACCTCGATTAAAGGGCTTATATATGGCTCATATCGCTCAGTATTGTAAGAACAGACTAAAGGAACCTAATGGTCGAGGGATCACCACCAAAAGCCAAACTACAGTCGTGAACCCACCTGCCAAGCATGGCAACTACTGGCAAAATCTACCAATGTTAAACTGTCATAGAGAACAACCGCATTCCTTATGACAGTCTGTGGAAGGCATATATTTACATCATTTAGTGCATGACATGCAAATCAATCATCAAGTGGACAGATAACGGCTGATATGATAATGATGAAATGGTTGTGTAGATGTGAATAAAATTCATGACACTCAGATAAATCATATTCTATATAGTTTTATTCTAATTTTCACAGGTAAACTTAGAATATGATTTATAATTGTAATTATGAAAATTGCGTAATTTCTTAAATTGGTCAAAGAATGAAGGAAAATAAAATGTCAAAACTCACTTCCTGTCAGAAGATCGATCGCGAGACCTGGAGCGTGATGAACGACGACGCTCCCGGGACCGCCGACGAGACCGCGAGCGCGACCGCGATCTACGACGTTCCTTATCCTTGTCCTTTTGTTCTTCCTGTATAACAACTCTACTTATGAATATACAAGTACATTTTAAGATTTGCTTTAAAACGAAAATTGGTGGCTTCAGTAGGTACAAAATGAGAACTCATTGATACCTTTTTTTTTAAGGTATTGAAGGCACTAATTTCGATTGTAAAAATCGGCTCGAAATGGACGACAGATTCGCATAACACAAAATTTCAGACAAATTAATAACCTTCTATTGGAAGATGATTAAAATTAAAATTTATTAATTCATAAACATTCATTACATACCATTCTCTTCTTTATTTCTTCTTTCTTCTGTTGCGTGAAGGACTCCGGTATCCCGTTTTCACTGGCTTGAGCGCTCAGCAACAGTTCCCACAACTCGCCCATGAAGAGACGAGCATTTTTTCCATTCAAAAATCCAGTCAGGTTGATCTGCATTTTCTTAGGGCAAGGAAACTGATACGGGAACCGAGGGTACGGGATCGGGAAAGAAAACATTCTCATATTATTACTTATTTTACATCAATCAAAACACACCCTATACTTATTTACATTCCCATATAGATAAGACATTTTGTTATATTCATTTATTTTACTTTCATAATTCTCTTTTACAAAGAACTAATGGAAGAAAAAATAAAATAAATTTAAAAGCCGTTAAGAGCGCTAAATCTCTAAAATTCGGTAATAAAATTCGTACAGCACAGAAGTGACTCTGGTAGGGAAGTAAATATTGTGTACATCGTACAACATGACATGATGAATTAGTTTTCGTGTAGTGAAGTCAGGCGCCGGAGACGACGCCACGACGGCCGCGAGACGAGGCCGCGTCGCCGACGGCCGCAATGACGCCCAGCAAACGGTGCAACAGCAAATCACGACACTGATGACGTTTCATTTTTCTTTCTTCAATCTCTTGCATCTGTAAGGGTTTTGCGAACACAACCATTATGCTGAACGCAAAGCCTACGCACGGAACTTCCCTACCTCGAGTCAGATCAATCTCTTAACGGCTTTCACAAATTCAGTTATCCATTTAGTGTTTTCAAGCTAGGGAACTCCACTGCTGACATTCACTTATAATGAGTTAGCATTGTAAGTATTTAATTTCCCCGTAAATACCGATTTAGTATGCTAAGGGCCTCCGAAAGAGTGGAGCGCGCGGGCGGCGACGGCTAGCAGGCAGCGGCGGGCGGGGGGCAGCGACGGCGCGCTAACCGGTGAAGACCATAAAAATATCCATACGCAATCAATATACATATGACACCATCCTTCAATTGCAGTTTCTTTAGTACAGTAAATATTTTTGGTAGTCGATAAAAAAATATATATATATATCCAACATACTACTGTAAAGAAACTGCAATGATTACATTAATATTAATATGTATAATAAAAGGAAGGTATATTATAATCACCTTTTCCTCAAGTTGATTGTTGACATAGTCGATGACAACATCATCTTCCATCTTCAGTATTTCAGTAATTTTCTGGGTGATCCATGGCTTCAAGACATCCAGCTTCACCTTGGACATGTCCACCTAAATAAAAATTATTATTATTTTTGATTAGGTCCTTCATCCTTTTAAAATCATAACATAAGCATCTTATGGCATATTTAGATAAATATTAGAATTATCATAAAAATAAATTGTTCATTGATATTATTTAGTGTAAAAAAATAAACATGGTTAATATGGATACAAATGGGTAATATATTGGATTCCTCTGGACATTGAAAAAGTTGTAAAGATCACCCATTATATATCAGTCAGTTATAGATCAGATATCTATTTTCGAATATGTTGTCTGTTTTTCAATATTATTTTTTGGATAACAGACTTTTAACATATTCATTATTGGACCAGTAGACACTACAGCTCGAAAGTACTTGGCCACCTGCATTTTGTTCAAGTTACACACAGTAAATTTTAAAGAGATTATTTATTAGGTTTCATTGCTTGTATGACACTGCAAAATACATTCAGTCATAAACAGCTTATCATTATTTGTGAACTCCTGTAAATTAGTTATCTGATATCATTTGACCAGAAAACATGCTCTTCATAGATCAGTACTTCAAGTCTACCAATACTTTTATAAGTTAAGTAATTTATAAGTTCATTACTAGCAATATGGTTACATGGTAAAACATACTGTTAAGTGAACAAGTATGTAATGGGGTGAAAATTAATAATTTCATCAGTTTAGAGAAAAAAATATATAGAGATATAGACATTCAAAAATTTAATTTAGAAACACTGCATAATACTTTATTTCTTGTTGTTCTCAAATATTACCCACAATAAATTCTATACCTGTTGGGTCAAACAATCTCCAAACTTCATTTGCTTCATTAATTTCTTCTCCTTGTCGCTGAAGCGGGTATCTTGTTCAGTACTAGTTCCCTAAAAACAAATTTATACAATTAAAAAAGAAACAAAAATCCCTAAGTGTAGTGTAGACCACATATTATAAAATAGTAACGTAAAATTGATATATGCTATTAAAAACAAATTATTAATATATAGTAAAGAATAATTTACAAAGACATCCTTATGTTATTAGTTTTTTAAACTAATATATATGTGCAAATTAGATGAAGAAAAAAAAGGTGGAAAGGAAATAGGATCTGGTGAGATCATAAGTACAGAAACTTCCTTAATCCAACCCACTTAACATATGGTGGGGGGGGGGGGGGGGATTACAGATTGATATTAATGTGGACTACCACTCCTATTGCTAGCACCATAGACTATGCCATGTCAGGATGACCTCCACATGGTTCCCTGGAAACTATCATACTGAATTTTAGGCGAATTCATCATGATAAGCTAAATGACCTGCCTTTTCATTCTCACCTATCATCCCTCACTGGTGTCCCGTCAGCGTATGCCCTTAGTGCAGGCGAGATTAATATTTCATTATCATCTATTAAAAACACACACATAACAAAACCCATTCCAACAGAAGTTATTGGGGGGGAGGGATAGTTAATAATGAAGACTAAGGACCCTATTGCTAGCAATATTGGGTATATTGCTAGCAATAGGGTCCTTAGTCTTCAGGTCAACAGGTCAACCTCCATGTGGTCCTCCCTGGAAACCATCATGCTGAATTCCAAGTGTATTCAACACGATGGGCTAACTGACATGTCTTTTCATTCTCAACTATCATTACTCACTGGTACCCCGCTAGTGTATACCGATAGCGCAGACAGGGCTACTCTTCCATCATCAACAATTAAAAAAAAAACAGAAGTTACTAATGCTGATGCAAATGGACAATATTTATTTAGGAAGCAATCCACACATTTTTTTAATATGGCAACTTTATTAGTCTATGTTGGATGTATGTAGAGTGATGCTCTCTGGTAGCTGTCTCTCCGGTAATTGTAAGAAAAATGACGCCTCTAATAAATTGTATAACTTAAAAATATTAATAAATATATAAATATAAATAATGTGTCTAAATATTACAATAAATACTCTGCTAAATTAATTCAAAATAAAAATATTAAACTGTCAATTTATTAAGGTAAAAGAGAATGTAATTTTGATATGTATTAAATAAAAAATGGAAAAAAAATATTTTATTGACACATTTCCACGAATTAAAAAATTGTATCGTACCAAAGCATGGAATATATATGTAGATAATAAATTTGTATTAGAGACTAACATGGACTGCAAAAATCAATCGCCCGGCTCACTAGACTTTAACAAAAGGAATGGTCTTTTTACTATTAAAACAATTTAGGAAAAACTATATTTTAAAAATAGAAGTTTAATTTAAGGAAACATTCGATATATTACACATTAATTTCCATCTTACCGTGTACATCATCATCTTGGTGAATTATAAAATCAATACATTCACGTTTAAGCCGATCAATGGATGCCCCGCCGTAAAGAACCACTTTCAGCTCACTTACAATAAGACGAATGAAAATTGTTTGCTACGCATTAATATTAAAACCACATGTGTAATAATCCATTACATTAACAAAACATCATGGCATAAAGAAGTATAAAGACAAATTTACACAAAAATATTAAAAGCACACCATTATACTTAGAGAAGCCATATTGAAAATGAACAAACGCACGCACGAGCCACAGATTAAAAAATATAGCTTGTTCTTCGCAACATGTCCACAGATTAGAGAGACTATGTCTCTCAAAAGCAACATTATAGAATGGTTTACTCTAAGAACAAAAAATTACTTAGAAGGAATAATAAATAAAAACTGTAAATCATGTAGTTACCTTCTTTCTTCTTATGCAAATATAATAAGTAAAAAGAGGACAAAAGATACACCATCAGTTGCTATTTTTCTCAATTCATAGCAGGCTAGTGTATAAAAAATGTGTTACATACACATTTTTGTTCATTTACATTACTAGATTATATTTATGTAGAAAGTGATGTGGAGTTTTACGGGAGACCTATAATGTTATTTTATATTTAAATATTTTATTATGTACGATGTTACAGAGATTATTTTAGTGACAAGACAAAAGTATTTATTTTTCTATTTAATTGAGCTGTAAGTATATGGACATGCACGACCTCTTTCTTACACTCCTCCTCACGGCATAGTATCTACCTACTGTAAGAGTCCCAGATCTTGGCGACAGTATTCATATTTAGGACGAGGCAAAGCTTTTGTAAAGATGTCCGCTATCATATCCCTTGTTCCTAGGTATGAAAATTGCACCACATTTTATTGCACCATATCTGTTATAAAATGTTGGCGTATATCGATATATTTGGATTTGGCGCTAAGATAAAGTTTATTGCTAACTGTTGTACGGCTTGCTTGTCGTCGTGAATAGTAATTCCTTTTTGTTTAAAATAATCTAAATCAGAATATTTTTGAAATGAACAGCCTCTTTTGTACATTCGCTTTAAACCATATACTCGGCTTCCGCCGTTCAAAGTATTACAGTCCTTTGTTTTCTTGACTCTTCATTCTCGTGAAATGTTAATTTTAAATCTATTGTACCTTTTAAGTATCTAATTACGCGCTTTGCAGCTGCCCAGTGTTATTTTTCATAATAGGCATTGAATATATCATATAGGCATAGCATGAATTATGTCTGGTCGCGTGGCAACTGATAGATACATGAGGGCTCCAATCAAATTTCTATAGGGTAAGTTCGAATCTGGATGTTCTTTTTTCTTGAATTTTAAAGCTGTCTCTATAGGAGTTGCCACAGGTTTTGCATCTTGCGTAGAGAATTTCTTAAGGATATCTTTAATGTATATCTTTTGACTCATAGTAATTTTTTTTCTTTATCCTGTTTAAATTTTATACCTAAACAGTATTTCAACGCTGATGGTGTATCTTTCGTCCTCTTCTTACTAATTGTATTTGCATAAGAAGTAAGGAGGCAACCATATGATTTACAGTTTTTATTTTATCAGTCGTTCTATATAATTCCTTGTTCTTAGGGCGACACATTAAAAAACGATAAAGCTTTGTGATGTGGTAAAAAATCCTAAATTCATGTAATTTGGACATAAAAAAATTTTCATTTGAGTAAAAATTAAAACTCACATATGGCAATCTTATTTCATTTTTTATTAAAAACTTTATTATCTATATAAAATTCTTTCGACATAGTGTTTGTAATCTGTTCTGTGATATAATTTCTTAAATTAATAAACTTAATATTTTTCCTAAATATATTAGGAATTAGTTGTATTTTAGTGCTTACTTATAATTTCACATATGTTATTAAATTAACTTTAGTCAATAATATAATAATGACATATTTTCAGTATCCTCAACTTATACAACGAGTAATATTAAGTGTTGGGTTATGTGACAACCAAAATAACACATTAAACTTACTAAAAGAAGTCTATAGAAATGTCATCAATTCCCCAAGAAGGTGTGAAAATATTATTACAGTTGGCCAACTATTGAAAGTTTTAGAAATCAGAGATGTCCTATCAGAGAATAATATTGAACCTCTCAAGGATATTGCTCAAATAATAAACGACAAAGGCGAAATTCTGAGACATATTGTTGCTTATGAGAATGCATGTAGTAAAAGAGAATATAATTTCTATGGTAGGTGATATTTATATTTTGAAAACTATTGATTTGTACCATGTTATATATAATATTTTTACTTATTTTAACTAATACACAGTGAAACTATATATGGCGGATTTAATAGCTATATATGTACGTAGATATTTATTTTGTATTTAAATAGGTGTATATAGTTTAAAATTTAATAATTTATGTTTGGTAATAATATGAGATACCTTAGCTTGTGTGGAAATTTTGTTTATCATGTGTTTATTTCAGCTTCTGAACCTGTTTCGCCACAGAATGTATCAAAAGCAGAACAAAAAAATGAAGCATTTGAAAATGCACCAAATGGCAATCCATATATTCATGTGAATAATCAAAAGAAACAAAGAATTTTTGAAACTGTTATTGAACAGATTGGTACTTTCTGGCGTGATCTAGCCAGAAACTTGAAAATTAGAGAATGTATTATTGATGAAATTGATAAAGAAAGTGATTCACTTTATTCAAAAGCATCAAAATTATTGGAAATATATGAAAAAAGAGCAGACACACAAAAATGGTTAATTGTCCTTTGTGATGCATTAGAACGTGCACGACGAAGAGATTTGGCAAGAAGTATACAAGATATTGTAATGATGAATATTTAATATACATAACATTTCAAAATGTTTTTTACTTATTTATGTGAGCTATAATATTTGTTACATCCAAATTGAATAACCTGGGTTATTCAATTTAATTATAACCCTTCCTACACTAATGTTATATGCTGATGGTGCACCAGTGAGGGATGATAGGTGACAATGAAAAGAGAGATCAGTTAGCCTATTATGATGAATATCAGGTATATTTCAGCACTATGGTTTTCAAGCGATACCATGTGAAAGTTGATATATGATACTAATTATGTTGTTATTTAGGAAATATTTTTATTATTCACTAACTTTAGTTTTGCAATAAAATTGATAAACATAATCTAAGAGGCATGCTCATTATATTAAGAGTATATCATGGAAATACTTTCCACAGACAGAATTATAACATCTAGAGAAATATTTGTTCTTAGTACATAGCTTTATTTTCCATACTTGATAGTACCAATTTTTTAATATTAATGATTTTTTTTGTGTTTTGGTGTATGGTCTGCCATGGGTAAGTCTTCTTCGTCATATTCTATTGATTTTGATCCACAGCAACATGCATCCAATTATTTCCTGCTATTTACATGATATTTAAGTATTATTACTTAAGTTATAGATCAAAAAACCAACAACTGATGGGAAGAAAGATTATTGAGTGGCAAACCTGTACAGCCAAATGCAGTGTAGGATAACCTCCACTATACTAGATGGAGTGACGACCTCAAGTGCATTGGGAGTCAGTGGGTGCAGGTGGTTCAGAACCCATCACTATGGCAGTCTATGGGGGAGGCCTATTATGCTAGCGGTAGGCAGTGATGATGACTTAAATATTAAAACATATTTTGCTAATTACCCTAGTCAGTGTTGTTACTATATAGATCCTTAGTTGGTACAATGAAAGTTGGAAAGTTTTATTGTGTTTTATATACATGCATATATATGTACACATCTATTCTTAATTTGTAATTAGAAAAAGTATGAAATCAGAGTAAAACTCTTTTGGAAACTTCAGAAAAACAAGTTCTTTGTGTTAATAATTTTATTTTTGATGATGCAATGTAAAATTGTCTTTTATATTTGTCAATACAAAAATAAAAATCTTCAATGTAGTTTAAAATAAAAGAAAATAATAGGAACCTAATTTTCAGGTATTTATTAACTAAATTACTTTTTTATGGAATGTTTTGCATTTAATATAATTTTATGTTATATATACGTAACGTGTAACATTAATAGTCATATAAAAATATTTTCATTAAAATGCACTTTCATATATAACGAAACAGTATATGTAATACAATTCAAGAAAATAGATCTCTGAAGATCAGTCACACGAGCAAAATTACAATACAGATCATTAATATAAATTTAATAAAATTATTTCTTTTTAAAACAATAGAACACAGTGTTCTGAAATGAAATTTAAAATGTAAACAGGAGTTATGACGAAAAAAAAATATAATGTAGTTGGTCCGTTTTTGTCCTATAATATTTCGAAATTATAATCATATAATATTTCGAAATTCTATGCGTATGTCAAATATATGAATTTCTTAAAAGAGTATATACACAAAAATATGATCCAAAATAACTAAAACTTTAGTAAAAATTGTAACAACTTATGACACGCAATAACGTAGTCACTTTAAAGATTTTCCATATACTTTTTGTTTTGCACCCGTGAGGTCACAATTTTGTTTACTTGGTTTCTTGGGGACGTTCATAATGAGACCAGAGTTAGAACAATGAGTACATTTCGTGATGTTGAAAATTGTATATTTAGGTGAATAAAATTCAAATATAGGTTAAAACTAATAAGCCTATAAAAAATCTAAAATCCGTTAATAAATGGCTCCGTTAAGAAATTTTAATTTTTAGCGAGAACTGACAGCCGAACTTGGTGTCCGCTGACGTCACCTCAATTACTTAAATAAAAATCTCCCAAATTGGCAACCTTTTTCATTTATATTTTACGGGGAATCCCACAGTATTATAAGTAATTTCTATTTTTGTTTTCGTTGTCAGAATTCGTTAGTGTTATGCATGGCACTGTCATACTTAATCTAAAAAGCTAGTTTTTATCAAAGATACTGGCGCACTGTTTTATAATATCCGAACAAACTTTTGCAAGTTAATAATACCATATAGTACGACAGAGGGCACTGTTTTTAATATAGTAGTCAATTATAGAAAATTCTCAACAAACATGGTATCTGATGCTTGTTACTCTCGTGAAAAATCATTGCCAGTAAATATTTATTTTATTCGCCCCTTACTTCACTTTGAAGGGTGTTTACTGTGTTTTATAATTTACCTATTTTTCCCGTTTGCAGGGGAAAAAAAGTAACAAAATATTTTAATACATTCTCAATTTCCTCCAATATGTATATATATATATATATATATATATATATATATATATATACACTATACAACTCCAATGAAGTTTCCTTTCTAAGAAACTAATGTGTGAAGGAGTTATTGGATGTGCTAGAGATTTAGATCTATTTAACATAATTTGATGTATGAACTGCATTCCTGAATGACAAGCTTAAGTGGGTAATGTATATGAAGCTACCAGACGGATTTGATGATGGCTCTTCAAATGTATGTTGGTTAAATAGAAGTCTTTATGCCCTTAAACAAGCACCTCGATAATGGAACTCATATTTTGAAGAAATTTTACTACACAAAGATTTTACGCGGAATAATACTGGCGTCTGTCTGTTACTAAAGAATATGGGAAACAAGATCCTATTTACTCTGTACATAGATAATAGGCATACTGCCATTACAGATGAAGCCTTGGTAAATCGACTCCTCACAGAGTTTGAGCAGACGCTAAAAATAACAAGCAAAAGAGCAAGCTATTATCTGGGATTAGAGATTGCAAGATTGAAAAACGGTTCAATATTCATTAATCAGGAATATTGATTTGAATGTTAAAAGATTTTGAAACGATACCAGATACCGTTAAGATTCTGAATGAAACTTCGGTATTATATTTTAAATCATTTCATAATTCGAGGAACCACGGAATGAAGCTTCATTAAAACCTGTATAATGAATACAGTTGCAGCAATATAAGCCGTATACGAGTTAGGAAGATAAGTTAGGGAAGTTTAAAATTACGTTATGTACTAACATGGTAGTAAGAAATATCATATACTCCTGGAAGTAGTAAAAAGAATACAGCGTTAGCAATCAGCCTAGTGTCGTGCACTTGATAATTATATTACAAAATTTGGGGAAATAGAAAATCCGTCCTGCCACGTTTTGAACTTATTCGATGAATTTTCGGAAAATACTGTTGATTTTTCTAGGATGGCATAAAATGCACTATTATTCTAGATTATATATTTGTCTGTCTGATATTGAATAAGACGTCATGTCTAATTTTAAATAACACGTCATTGTTTACAAAATATGTTGGGTATGAAAAAGTAGATTAAACAATATTGTAACAGTTATTTAACTATTATGTTGTGATGCCCATACATAAGCATTTTGGAATATTCGAAGCCAAGGTGAAGCGAGGGAGTTGGGGTCTTGTGTAGTGTGATATGTGGGGGATGGTGTGGGGCATTGCCACTGTAGTACACATCGCTCTGGATGCGGCATCATAGCCAAGTGCCGCCCGTCGCGTGACATCAAGCCAGCTACGCCCTCTGTGAAAATATCGAAATAATTCAGTCAGCTTCGAGCAGGGTCAATTGTTCAGAGGAACGTATTAAGCATGAATAGACGAGAACATGCTTTGCCCTCTCCCTATCAGATTATCTATATATACTACACGGAAGCGATGGGAATGCTGATTACGAATTTGACTATGGACTTTCAAATACATGCATAATAATATATCTAAGTAAAAAAATTGTTCAGTCTAATCGATAAAATTTGTATACGGTTGATCGTATTGTAGTCTACATGTGAAGGAATTATTATACATATAATTTAAGATTAAAAATTTTAATAAGAATTACTAGAATTGAACAACTAACCTGGAAATGAAAATTGAAGACTAGCTATTGTTTCTATTTGTATGAGGTATTTCCCCAAATTTACTTTTCAAATTATATTTACCTGGACTTCCATTTGGATTCATCGGATACGCCTCTGTAGGGACGCCATCATCATCAACGTATTGTATCGCAATTTGTCCATTTCTTCGTATTTTATCTAGCAAAGAAGATTCAGAAAACGAGAATCGTCCTTCTCCGTGTGCAACCCATACGCCCAATATACTGCCGCCCATACCACGGAACCATATATTGGTATTATTTGTATCTTCAGGAATCTTCACTGCACTCCAACGGCATTCAAACCTGGTAGTTAACATAACAACTATGTACAATTGGAGGATATTTAAAATAATCATCGACAGATCTGGCATACTAAAAATCAATATTATATAATCAGTAGTATAAAACAATATCGCTGTAATTTAGATATTTTTTTACAGAAGGTTTGTATGAGGTATAATTTGCATACGTGTGAAGACGGGGTTACTTTTAAAATAAATTCCAATAAATCAATATTAGAATTGAAACGTTTCACAATTGCAATACTCGCGCCATAGTGGTTCTATACTGTTTTGATAGATGTATGTTAGCGCAATTTGCCAATTCAAACTATTGCAAACTGATCCCCATTTAAATTTAATTCCTAATTGTTATCATGAATGCTTCACAATATTGTCACTGACATTAGTTTGGATTGATTTCGATATTAAATTCAAGAAAGGCCTGCTAATTATAGAACTTATATACGAAAATATTTGCACAAAACTCTGTAAGCTACATATACAAATACCTCTCTGATAGATTATGATCAAGGAATATCTGTGTCTTGTCGGCTGCATCTGTTGAATCCTGCGGAGCAATCCAACCCAAAAGAGCCATTAATTGGCATCCATTGCAAACACCAAGTGAAAATGTATCCGATCGGTTTTTAAAGTGTGAGAATTGTGAATTCAGGGACTCTGAGAAGAGGATTCCCGCCGCCCAACCTTTAGCTGATCCCAGTGTATCTGAAATAAAAAAAATCACAATTTAATTTTATATTTTGAGGATTACAAATTTGTAATATCTTCATGAATAGAAGGAGTTTATAACTTTATACTAAATATGTCAAATTTAAATGATGTATGTCATTAAGAGTCATCTATCTGTATAAGAAGAGTATTAAAAGATGGGCACTATCTTCGTATTTATTAAATTTGAATAAGTAATACATTGAGTAATGTCTTTTTACCCGCGTAACTAAAGCCTCCGGGGAATATTAAGCCTTGGAAAACATCAAGTGTGATCTTTTTGTTCTGCAAATCACTCATTGTCACATCATACACATCAAAATTGGCCATAACCAAGGATGCTATCATCTCGCGGTCACCATTTGTTCCTGTAATGTAAACATCAATTTCATGACCTAGTAAAATATACGAACATCGTGGCGTAGTAATTCGAATAAAAAAACATTCATTCCAGCCTCAAATTTACACCAAAACTTTTTATCATCATACAACTGTAATTGTAAATTAATTGATGTTAAGTAATTATGTTATTCGATCAATGGATGTAGGTTTAATATTAAGTTAAATAAGATCTGTCACCGTTACTAATATGAACTTAAAACTCTGTCAAAATGATAATCTTAATAACAAATTAAATTGATTCGCGAGACGGTGGCGATATTTGAATATTATGTTAGGAAAAATACCGAATGAAAATACGGTGTATATATTACATCAGCAATAGTCGAAAATTCAAGTGATTAATAGTCTAGGATGCATAATGTTACAGGTAAAAAATATGATAAGTCCAGTTGACTAACTAAGATTATAGTCGAAATCATTTTCCTAAATTAAAATTATAAATAACATAACTTGCCTTCTTCACGAAGAACCGCTACTTTCACTGGATTGGTTTTGATCACTGCCACTGAAGGATCAAAAGTGACCTTGTATGTTGCTCCTTTACGCTTTTCAAGTTCTGGAAATATTTAATGGAAATATATAAATCTTACTGCTCCTTCCCCCTGTCACATTATGATCACCTATTGTTGGAGTTTTAATACTGGCTGTTGACACTGAGTTTTTTTTTAGAACAATATATTATTTTTAAATTTGTTCTGTCAGATTTTTATGATATGTTATGTACTGATTTACTCAGGAACAGCCATAGTATACAGCTACTAAGAAATATATTTATGATTGACTTTAGATTTTTATCCGCAACTTCAATCGTGTAATTGGCATAAAAATAACCTGTCTTTTTACACCCCAAATACTATATGTATACCAAATATTATGACGATTTATTTCAGTGATTAAGGCGCCAAGGTGTACCAAACAAACTTACGTCAACATTTATATTAGTAAGGATTATTTTTTACTTTTGGATTAAAATTAAGTCATTTACAATATCACATAAAACTCACATCATTTCATTTTACAATGTGCTAAATATCAATACAAGCTTACCTCTCCATTCTTGTGTCACACAATCAGAGTTAGCTTGAAGGCATTCTAATTGATAACTAGTCTCTTCCCACATTCTATAAATATCTATAAGTTTAGTGTCCAGTACTTTTTCTCCGTTTACTTTTATAATCACCTATAAAATCATAAAAAGTTTAAATAATTTAAAGACAAGTATATTTTATAATAAATATGAATCAATAAAAAATGGTACCTGTGAATTCATGCCATATTTCCCTGTGTTACCGATAAATTGAGCATTTACGTGATTTTTCTTATATTCATCAAGAACATAGGATAAATCATTTTGATCAACTTCAACCACAATACCGAGTTCCTCATTGAAAAGTGCCTCAATCGCAGATATTTTACTGTCTACTTGTAGATCTAAATTTAACCCACGAATGCCTCCTATACCTAACTCGAGGACTGTTGTAATAAAGCCTCCTTCACTGATGTCATGGCCAGATAATAACTTATTTTCTGTAAATAAAATAATTAATATGGTAAAATAGGAAAATTGTCATAATTATTTAATATCGATTTGCGTTTCACTATTTTAACACAATATGTATTTTACCTTTTATTAATTTTTGTGTAGTTTTGAATAAAGACTGAAGAATTCTTGGATCATCTAAATCTGGAGGAGTGTCGCCCAATTGTTTATAGCACTGTGCAAGAGAGGATCCTCCAAGTCTAAAAAGGTAATTTTTTTTGCATTATATCACTATTTCAAAATACTATATTAAATGTTTGATAATAACTTAAAATATGTGTATCATATTATGGATCTCAGTAAATTTTTGTACAAATATTGCACTAAATAGGCAATATGAACAACGATTATTATCAATAGTGAAATTAACTGATAATGAATAATTAATATATAGCTCCATATTTTTTATTAAAAGACTGTATCTAATGACAATTTGAACTACAGCGTTCGTATTTTTTACAATACAAATGTGTCTCTTGTATAGGTAATACTTAAACGTTTTGGTGTAAAAAATACTAAATTAACAAGTATTGAAATTAAATAAGCTGTAGCCACAAACCTATATTTTCCTGGTGTGACAGGCACATGAACCAATGCAGAGCCTTCTTTTTGTAAAACTGGTTCTATTTTCACTCTAATATCAGGACACGGTGCATATGTAGACACCACCAGTGTTCCGGGAGATTTCACTATTGAACATAATTAATAACTTATATTTTACAGTTTTAATGTATACAAATATATGCATTCCGCTATCTTATGGTGGCAGTCATTTTGAAAATATTATAATATTGAGTATTGTCATCATAATTAAATGTGTATGAAAAAGTTCAGTAAAATCGGGTTACGAAGAACTGACTCGAACTCAGTAAAGAAGATATGATCTAAACAAACTAACATACATTTAAAGTTAAACAAAAATTTGTAATAGTAAACACCCTAATAACATCTCAATAGGTGACATTTTCATACAAATAATACTAAGAGTGTTCATCTCAGATGAAAATGCATTCCGAAGCGACTGATAGATTTATAAAAAAATACCATTTAAAAATGCTTGTAATTAAGTTCACTTGAACAAAAAATATTTATTATTTACATCGTACCGATACGTAAAGAAAACCATTGGAAATAGGCTTTCGTTACTTTGGATTACTTTTAATAGATGACGTTATAGGTGACGCAAAGTTCACCGGGTCATCTACATATATAAATAAATACAAGTTTATTTTATTAGTAAGATTTAAGTAATAAACACTAGCATACCTCTTTCAGAGGCAACCTGCGCGGTCATAGAGAGCGAGTCCTTGCCGCCGTCGACTGCGACCCCAAGTGCGGCCATAGCCTTGCACAGTGCTAGACACGCTTCGACCAGCGTCCCACCCTCTGTTCCAGTTTTGCCAGGCCACATCCAGTTACCGGAACACTTCACATCCTCCAGTTCGGAAATGACGACGAACACCTGGAATATATACATGTCACATTGATAGGGATGAGAATTGTTAATAATAGGTGTAATATACCCTGTCAGGTCGACCAGTCTGTCCCTCCTGGAAATCATCGTAAATAATTTGTCACCGTAGGTTAATTGACCTAACATCACTTGCATGGGGAGAAGGAATTGTTGGTAATGCAGATTATCAGTCCCATTGCTAGTAATATCAGGTCGACCTCCACGTGATTCCCCCTGGAAACCATCGTGCTGAATTCCAGGTGTATTCATCACGGTGGGCTAACTGACCTGCTCTTTTATCGTCAGCTATCATCCCTCACTGGTGCCCCGCCAGCGAATACTGTAAGTACAGGCGGGATTAGAATTTCATTATCATCCATTGGAAAAAAAAAAACATCACTTGCACCTACATTCATTCATTTATATCCCGCTAGTGTACAGCATAAGCGCAAGAAGGATTTTTATTTCATTTTAATCCTTTCCCATCAATAAAAAAAAATAGCTTACGTTTGGTAAAGCAAGGCAAGCTGCTACAAGTAGAAACATCGACATGGCATTTAACTTGGTTTACGAAAGTTTGTTTAAGTTTGTCACAAGTATTTACTTCTCAGACATTGAAACTATATATGACTTTATTAAGAGCTCTTGCATATTAGCGGTATAAAGAATACTTAATGCTCTCCCTCTGTTTAATCCCTCATATAATTTTATTCGCAATTTTAAATAGCAATTTAAACAGAATAATTTCTAAAAAATAAAATTTAAGTGAGTTAACACAAGTCAAAATTGATCGCCTTGGACTCTTGTTGAATATTGTTAAACATGTTAGTTTTTTAACAAATTTCAAAACGAACCTCATAACTCCGTTAGTTCTATACCGATTTGGGAAATTCTTTGTTTATCTAAATTGGTTACTTACATATTGGTTCTATATAAATTTTATCAATATCGGTTCAGTAGTTTAGTTTTTATAATAAAATAACTGGTTTTGTCACAATTGAAGTAAGTTTTTTTATGGGTCACAATCTAATTATTTTTCTAAAGATACCAAGGAGAAATGTAGATAAAGTATAATATGACTGACCGGGGAAAAGGATTGTTAGTAATAGTCTGAAAATCCCATTGCTAATAATATACCCAATCAGGTCGACCTCCACTCGGTACCCTCTGGAAACTTTCTTGGTTAATTCTTTTTGAATTCGTCACGATGGGCCAACTAACCTGCTGTCATTCTCACCTATCATCCCTCACTGGTGTCCTACCAGCGTATACCGTTACCGCAGTCAGGATCGCCATTCCATTATCACCCATTGAAAAAAAAAACATGACTGACCAGGTTGGTGAGTGCTTCGCCGAGCGAGAGCCGGGCGCCGGCAGCAGGGCTGAGCAGGCCCTTGATATTCTGCGTGCCGAGCGAGGTGGCGGCGCCGGTGGTGTTCGCGTACGACAGCGCCACCACGCCGCAGTCCGCCAGCGGCGCGTGCAGCGGCCCCACGCACTGCTGTTGCGCCACCAGCCCCGTCACGCACCGGTCCACCTGTACATCGCATTCGCTTGTACATGGTATAGTATAGTGGGGGGAAGGGATTGTTAGTAATGCAGTCCCATTGCTAGCAATATACCGTCATATTGATCTCCATGTAGTCCCTCTTGCAAACCATAGTGCTGAATTTCTGGTTTTTAATTATTTATCACGATAGGCTAACTGACCTGCAATTTCATTCTCACCTATCAACCCTCACTGGTACCTCGCCAGCGTATACCGTTAGCGGAGGTAGGTTACCATTCCATAATCATCCATTAAAAAAACCCATAGACTTATTATAAAGTAAGAACGAAAGTGTTTATTGTGTTCTTTTATTCCCTATTTTTGGCATTATGCATAGTACCTTAGTTTAACAATTTAGCACAAAAAATACTTATGTTTTTGACATTTGCTCTAATATTTATGCTGTATGCATTCTGACATGGTTTCATATACGATTTGATTGATGTGTATATATAGAAAAAAAAAAGATAAAAAAAATGGAAGTTTAAGTACATACAACAATAATGATTAATAGTAACTGATACATTGATTACCTTGTTAGTTAAGTATCGTTTGCTAGATACATTAACGAGCCTCAAAACCCTATCCAGTGCACTCTTTACGGTTATATCAGCGGGCAGTGATAAGGGTAATTTGGTTCTCTTATCTCTTTTCAGATCAAACGTTTTTCTTGGCATATTCCCTAAAAATAGTAAAGTTTAGATGATGCCACATACATGGTTTTCTTGTGTGTTTAAACTATTGTTGCCTCTCTTTTAACCAAAATGTCATTAAAAAACAAATATATAATAAATTTCTTTATAATAACATAATATTTGGTTATTTACTAATGTTACCAATAATTTACTAATATTTTTCTGCCTGTCCCAATGAAAGACAGGGTAAATAAAATGTAATTAATTTACAAGTTACAAAATAAACACACAAGCTTTTCTTTATGTAGAACCCAAATCCTAATTATATACGGTATAATTAGGATTTGGATTCTATATAAAAAAAATTACTTCAATTATGTCATAATTATATTGATAAACCAATTATTTTGATTTAAAACCTAAAACAACTTAACTGAACTGAATCAATTTCGATAAAATTCCTATGGAGCCAAGATTGGCCCCAATTCTGTACTATTCTTTTGTACAAAAGAATATTCCAAATTTGTTTAGAGCTGATGGAGTTATGACGTAACAAACATATAAAAATACAACAAATTGAAAACCGCCTTCATTTCGAAATAGGTTGAAAAAATAGTTCAAAGGAACACAATTGGAATAATGTTAATGATCAGAAAATATATTGAAATAATAATATTATAAAATAAATACCTAATACTGCTTCTAAATGTAAATCATATGGCATCTTAGATTTAATTTCTGGTTTTAGTCTGTCATTTCTATTAAGATACTTGTTAGAGAAAGAGTCTTCAATTAGACTCATATATCCATCTCCTGTGACCTCACCCACAAATGAAACTGGGCAACGTTCTCGGCGACAGATTTCTGAAAGATTTTTATTTTTATTTTTTTTATTTATTTATTTCTGAAAGATTTTTATTTATATATTTTATTTATAGATTTTTATAATAATAATTAAATAACGCAATAAAATATGCTAAAAAGAAGAAACTTTTAGAACAATGGCAGTAGTTATGAAAATGGTCATGATTTATCTGAAAATACAACAAATAATATCCAATACTGATATGTACGTAGTTGATGGTTAGCAATCAAGTTGTAACTTTGTAACAGCTTGCATTGTACTAATTCCCTTTAGACAAACACAACATAATTTAGTTGGTATAAAATAAAAAAAAAATGGTACAGGTTAATATAAAGTACAAAATAGAACTACAAAAAAATTACAAGTATATATTATTTACCTTCTAGTAGGGGCCTATTCTCTTTAGTACATAACAGGGCATCGTTTTCCTGATACTCGGCACCCCACAACTCAAGGGTAGTTATAGTAGGATCACCCAGTTGGAACTCCTTAGTATACACTACTGCACCCTCTGGCTCAACCAGTTCTTTTAAAACATTGCCATTACCACCTGCTCCTTGGTCATGGATTGCTACAATGTGATTAATAATTATAATAATATATTTATAGTATTTTTATAATTATAAAATAAGTTGCTTGTTTCGAGTGATATGATCTTAGATTAATTACACTTGCAGATCGTTATATCCATACAGACTTCTTTTAAAATACTACATGTATAGACTGAAATATTATCATACATTTAATGCACAGTCTTTATAGGTCTTTATTTCGTCATATATATTTAACTGATCATATTTTGTTAAGTTTAATAAATAGAATATTAATAGAATAAAAAATACTTACATTCAACAGGATTGTTATCTGCTTCAAGACAAGCACGCACAACACGATTAAGACGATTTCCCATCTCTGCATCACCTGTTTATAAAAGACAAAATACTGAGGTAGAATACCACTAAAACCTTTTTTGGACTTATAGATTATCTTTAAAACAACCCATTAAGGTACAAGTGCCTGACGCAGTATCATTCAGTTATTATTTCACTACATAATTACACATAGTCTAATTATTGGTTTCAGTGAGGATTTTAAAAAGTTTGCGAATAGAATTTGACAGGTACTACCAAAAAAATAATATTGTCTCAACTTGATTACAAAGTAATTATAAAATCTGTAATTAAAAGTAAATTACGCAGTTTACCTCTTTGTACAGCGCCAAAGTCTAGGGCATGATTTCTGCTATCGCCGCCTTGCACTGCAACCGATGAGGCAGCACCGCCGCCCACTCCAATACGGTACACTGGCCCACCTATCTTTACCAGCAACATGCCTATAATAATATAAAAATTGAGTACAACAGATGAATAAAGTACTATAAATCATATAAAGTTGTTATGATCATTTTTATAAATAATATATTTATACAGAAAAAAATTGAATTACCTTTTTCTGGATTGTTCTTTTTTATCATGGAATGAGGCATGTATCCAATGCCACCACTAAACATTATAGGTTTGATAAATTCTTCTCTCACTTTATCAGCATTTTTTAATCCATAGGATTGTACAAAACCTGTTGTGGTAAAAGTATTGTATTTTATGTTAATTTGTATTTTATATAATTAATAACAATTACAATATTGAAAAATGTTACCTAATATTACTGGTTCTCCAAACTTATTGCCATAGTCAGAAGCACCATTGCTGGCATCAATGATAATTTGTAATGGACTTGCAAAGTTGTTAGGATATTCCCAGCCTTTCTCCTCCCATGGGAGATCATATCCTGCAATAGATAATTATTATATGTTACCCTTGACTGATTATGATAACTAAAAATAAATTATCATTATTTCAATTTACCCAGATAGGATATAAACATAAATTATTACATTTTAATATGTTATTATATTTAGAACTATTCTGAATAATTTGTAAATCTATTTTGTGACAATATTGATTCATACACATTCTTCATTTGGGAGATTGAAATAGTATTAAAATGTAGTAAGAGAATGTCATGTTACAGATGAATAATACACGACATACCTGGTATGTACAAATTACCAACACTATACCCAGCTGTACCAGCTACTGTGTGACCACCACGGCCCACACCTTGCACATCTCTTATACGACCCCCAGTGCCAGTGGTGGCACCACTAAATGGAGCTACTGCCGTAGGCATATTATGGGTTTCTGCTGTAAATATTATATCAGACTCAGTTATTTCTTCTACCACTTGTGAAGGAGCTTTTACATCTCTGGGTCGTAGTTTTGTATGTTTAAAACCTTTAATTGCACTGTAACAAATGTAAACAAACTTCATTGAGTTCTTCTTTGTTTCTCTTAAGACATTTCAATCTATTACTAATTATACTATAGCTTTCTTAAATTTTACATGAAGATTTATTGTGTCATTCACCTGCTGTTATCACCGAATTTGATAACATTATTGTTATTTGATGTTTTTTGGGTATCTGCAACCATTTCAATAAGAGATTCATTTATATCTTGACCATCTAAGATTAATTTACCCTGAAAAATGTAAAAGTATTTATCAATAATGATATTATAAAAAGAAAATTAAACAAAAATTAAATATTAAATACCTTAAAAAACCAATGTCGCGAGTGTTCACTGTTACTTTGAGCAAGATCAAACAGCTCCACACTTGTCGGATCCCTTTTTAATTTATTAACGAACAGATCCATATAAAAATCTATATCCCATGCATCAAATGCAAGACCTGAGAAATTTACATACAGATAAAATCAATAATGACAAATATTTTTTCAATAGAACGTTGACCTACAAAATGGTATGAGATCTATAAATTTATAATCCCATGCTTCAAGCATGTGATTATGATACTGATTTATGTGGAATAAATCTTGATTATTATGTGGTTATGCTACATATATAAAAAAAATAATGTATTAGAACAGACTGCAAATGATATAATATTATCTAAGATATATATATATATATATATATATATATATATATATATATATATATATATATATATATATATATATATATATATATATATATATATATATTTCATGTACAATATTTTTTTATATATTAATGTACTAAATTTTGATATTCATTCTAGTAGTCTTATTATATATTTAATTGATAACTAACCAAGTTTCTGATTTACTCTCTCCATTGCCACCTTCCCTTCTTTCTGCAAAGGCACTACATACCAAGACTCCAAGTTTTTGGGTAATCCTTCATTGAAACTCTTTCGTGGAAGGTTCTCATTTGTATATATACATTGTGTCATCCTGTCATGTAAGGGAGCAGCAAGATTTTCAAATAAGCTTTCAGTGACATTTTTGATTTTTGCAAATGTAATGAGATACCTAGTGGAAACTTCAACACGAACAACATTACGGAGTCCAACACTTTCACAGATCTGAACGGAATTACTAGAGTCAGCTGTAGAGAAATTGAATCTAAAACATAAATATAATTTAATCAAGTACTCCATGTATTTAAAAAGTCTTCTTTTTTAAATTTAGTGAAGTTACTACCTACCTAGGTCCAATTTCAATTACAATTTGCCTCTCATTAACATCCTTGTAAACAGTTTCATTCCTTAATGCCTGAGGATGAAGAGGTGAGCTAAGGAGCCATTTTAAAATTTTTATCTGTTCAATGTTGAGATAATCACAACCTTCAGCAAGTTCCACGTGATAACAAAGTTCAGTTGACAATTCTAGAACGTCTGACTCTACCAATTTTAATTTTTTAAAAATTTCTTTTGTTCTATGAACACTAAACGCTTCTGGCGAAAAAAATCTAATAATGCACATGTTGCTATCTCAATGTACAACTCAATTGAAGGCCTGTACTAGACTGCTAATAACAATAATGTAATTTATTGTAGATAGTACATAAATGGCTCTCTTACATCAATGTCAAAGATCAAATAGTATCAATGAGTATATCTGAAACAGAAAAACAACTTATGCAATAATAACAATTGAGTTTCTTGCGGGATGTTCTCAACAGATAACGACTTTCTGAACCCTGCAGTAGATTCTTAAAAATGTCTATTTAAAAGTGCTTATAAACAAACCTATTTGAATAACGATGATTTGAATAATTACAAGAGACGTTTTTGATTGATTGTTATAGGTATAAATTATCTTAATATATAATAGGGTTGTGGAACCAATAAATGAACACTTAAGCGACTTTAGTTACTTGAAATTACTTTTTCGTAGGTTTTAGTTGTAACTTAGGTCGGTCTACATTTTCTTTCTATTATCAGATATATTCAAGAGTTGACTCATATAAATTAAAACTCAATAAATCGTAGTTTTCTATAAGGAAATTATTTCTAAAATAAAGTGCGATTTAGTCCTATAAATGAACAGTGTGCTCTAATTATGAATAATTTGTACCATATTTGTTGAAGGAAGATTATAATTAGGAAATAAATTTATTTAATAAATTGTAAACTTTCAAAACAATTTCAATTTCATAACAATTTACATGTCCAAATATTTACAATTGCATTTACGAATGAAAACACAACTATTACATAAGTATATTTGCTTTTTATAATTTTGGAGTAAGGAAATAAACTAATAATATAATTTGAGTTAAATATAATTAATTTTAATAATAATGATCTGACTATTTTTATCCTATTTATAAGACTACAGGAGACAAAATAAAAAAAAAGCCACCCATGTAATAATTTTAATTCATATTTCTTTTTGTCATTGTAAATCTAAACAAAATTTATAATTTTGTTACTTTTTTTAGATAGTAGCATCTAACAAATAAACCTATAACATTATTCATGTTCAACTTTAGGACTTTTGTATTAAAATTTAGATTACACAAAAGTTTAATCAACAGTTTTATAAGTTCAACTTCTAGATCCTACCTGACCTATGTCTTGGAGTTGAACTAAGAAAATTTAGTTAACAAGCTAAACTACTGCAAATCTATATTTATAATATTAAGGTAAATATAATAAAAATTTAAATTTAATTAAAATATCTATGATAATATATGTAAGTGTATAATCTATTATTTGATTATAAGTTTAAGTTTCGAGTGCCCCTACTTTAAGTAGACCATATTGAAAACATTTTTGGCACTAACTGCAGAAACAGTAGTTTATTGTGAACCTGTTTGGGACATAATTATAGTTTTCTTTTTATGTCAAATGTGTAAAGTAAGTGTTGAATTTATAGAAAAATACAGCGCACTATAATTCTTATTATTTTTTATTTTCATTAATTTCTTCAACTAATTTGGGGTGTTCATCTTTTAGTTCCAATATCCTACATAAAAAGGTCACTGATGTTCATTCCTAATCTCCAAAACTGCTCAACCAATTTTAATGAAATTTTAGAAATGTGTATATACTTGCTTTCAACTTTAGTTTTTACCCCAGACTTCATCTGCATGACAGAATGTGTTTACTGATCAGGTTACAAAATAGCCTACATCCTTTTCCATCCCAAATCTTAAAGTGATTGGTTAAGTTCTTAAGGCGCTATAAGGTAACATACAAAAACTCACATTTACAAGTATAATATTAGTAAGGATAAGAAGAAATTGAGCCAGTAGATAGTGGCAGGGAGTAAAAAAATGTTTGTTGAGTCTGATTTTTTTAAGGGATGATAATGAAATAGCCTAGTCAGTTCCCTAACCTGTTATCCCTCATTAAGGGATCACCATCTGTTAATCCTCAGGATGAAAAGAGGTCAGTTGACCTATCTTGGCAAATTCAAGAATTAACCATCCTGGTTAAGGGTTATTTTATTTTATTATATGTGATGTTATTACCTGACTACAAGCAAAAGTCAGGTAACAAGGAGTTACATTGAATGTGTACTTAGTAGCTCGAAATATTTTTTAATGGATGATAATGGAATGGTAACTCCACCTGTGCTATTGGTATATGCTGTCTAGGGACCAGTGAAAGATGATAGGTGAGGATGAAAACAGATCAATTGGCCTATTAACTATGCAAACCATGAGCAGGCTGATCTGATGGAGTATATTGCTAGGTGTTAATAATTTCTTCTTCCTTCAGGCCAAGATAATGTAACAGTATATACTCCTACCTTATAAGACATTTAGTAGAAAATGTCATAGGCAGAAATAATGTGTTTAGTATTTTTCATAGTACCTATATAGTGCCTGTATCTCATTAAAAACTCGAGATTCGTCTATATCTTCATAATTATTTATTTAAATGCTTTTGTACATTCACTTTTAATACAGATATCAGGATATAACAAAAATATTTACAGACGGACTTACGCCTTAAAGAGATCATTCAGTAAATCTCAACATGAAGCACAAAAGATCCGTATGGGTCGACGTGCATCTGCTTAGCTGACCCCATATGCGAAAAATAAGATAAGAAAAATAAATCTCAACATGAAAGGAAAAAGTTTGTATATAAAGCATAACTAATATGGTGCAAAAATAATATGGTAAATAATACACTAAGTATTATTTTCTGTTAGCTCAAAGAACATTATTATGTTTCATACGTAAGTTTGATAGGTTTTGAAATTTTATTCACTATATAATTAATAGTTTCCATGTTTTTATTAAAATACTCATTTATATAGCGGTTTCATATGTTAAAGAGTCAGTAGGTATGGTTATTAAAAATATGTTTTTGTAATATCAAAAGATAGGTAGGTACTTACAAGTTATTAAACTTCATCCTCCTTATAATATAACCTAAAAAACATTTAAAAGTAAATAAACAGTAAAAGTAGAACAGATTAAAGAAACTATGTCTAAAGACAGGAAACAGTGTGACCATTTCATTAATAGCAAATCTACCACAGACTGGGTAAAAAAATCTGCAAAAATCTGCTACGTTTTCCGTCAAAAATGGCAAAAATATGTCTACACGACATGGAAAAACAATACAAAATTAATTCAATGAAATTTCATTAGTCAACAAAAATATTTACTCTACGTATCAATATTTGCTTCCAAATTTTCATTTACATTTTTAAAGTACATATACATACATTTTGAAGACATCTTTATGATCATGTTTTTAGTTGGTTTATAGGAAACACAGTCTCCGTGTTCCTTTGGCCCTCTCTTGTGGTAATTCGTGTTCTGGATTTTTTCAATAGCTGCCCAAAATTTATCTACACTCAGAATTGTGTTGATGGTGCTACTTCCTCCTGATTCTAACAAATCTCTTATACATTTATCAAATTTAATTTATCGAAGTTCCTCGTCAACTTTTTGAATGTGGTTTTTGTCTACTATGTTGGGAAAATTATTCGCAGTTTAAAGTAGACGCAAAATTTTTATAAATCACATGTTGTAGATCTAGGAATTGTAAATCTTTGAAAATATTGCTCAGTGGCAAACATATCTTTAATTGAATACAAAGTTCAGTCAGAAATGTTTACATTCTTTGAACACATATGTATACACAGAAATGTCTTTGAATGCTGTGTGGACTGTTGTGTAATCTCCTTGAAATATAGTGTTTAGTTTGTTTTAGATAAGTATTTATGAGATTATGGAAACTATTACTTTGTCTATGGTAGTAATGTAACTATCTTGTTGATTTGAGACAGAAATAAAGTCGTTTTAATTTTATCTCTGTTTAATTATTAAATACGAATGCTGTAGACTGAATGTTCTCATAATTTACCACGTCTACCTTTGCAAATTTCTAGACTTTATATTCTTCGTTATATATACGATTTATATACGTCAAAACTGCACAAAAAATAATTTGAATTTTGCACAACGATTTTATTTTTAGGCAAATACTTTTCTAACAAATTTTTTACACAAAAATGGGGAAAATATCGAATTTCGTTTAAATATCGACTATAGACTATGGTTGACTGGTGATAATTTTATCGCTCATATCATCGTTCCTCTGTTCCACAGAGAAAGCTCTTATTACTTCGAACAAAAATGTTTGTATGATGTATATGTATATAACCAATTTATATAATTTTCGATAATTTTGTCAGAGGTGTGTTATAAATAGATGAAGGTTCATATCTTTCACTAAATAGATAATAGTATTAATTTTTTTGGTTGTGTTGGTGTTTTAAATCGGTACCGTAGATTCACTTTCCAGTTTTGTGAAAATAGGTAGTATAGGCTAGCGTCATCTTTTTAATAACATAGAATGATAAAATAAAAATTGTAAATCATATGGTTGCCTCCTTTCTTCTTAGGCAAATATAATTAGTAAAAAGAAGACGAAAGACACACCATCAGTTGTTATTTTTCTCAATTCATAGCAGGCTAGTGTATAGAAAATGTTTGATATGTCAATTATTTGTCAATGATAAATTTTACATTAGGTTGTATGTGAATTTGGTAGGGTTATACGGCCGTATAACATTTTCTATACACTAGCCTGCTATGAATTGACAATTTTATCATTCCTTCTATTTGAATTATATGATTACTTAGTAGAAAAGGCCAATGTTGCCAGATAAAATGGACCAGAATTCGCCAAAAAATGGTTGGCGATAATTTTTTGGTGAATTATCCTCAAAAATATCCTCTCACCCCGTAATACCTCTGTAAATAACAATAAAACTGGTCAAATGCGAATTGAACTCACATGTCAAGAGTTCCGTACATGTATATGAGACAAAATAACCTTTATTGTGTTTTAATACGGAATATTTTATACACCAAATAGTTATTATTGCTATTTTTTTAATGGATGATAGATAGATAGATACTCTTTATTGTTTCCTCCAAAAGTTTTTTTTTGATGGCTGAAAATGGAATGGATGCCTGCGCTAATGGATACACTGGCGGAGCACCAGTGAAGAGTGATCGATGAGAATGAAAACAAGCCAGTTAGCCCATCATGATGTATTGATCACAAATTAACCATGACAGTTTCCAGGGGCAACCACGAGGAGGTCGACCTGGTTGGGTATATTGCTAGTAATGGGATTTTTAGTCTCCATTACTAACGATCCTTTTCCCCTCCCTCCAAAAGATTATAATAGTAAACTTATTATAAATATAAACAATGATAATGAAATAGTAAGCCATTCTGCGCTATCGGTATACACCGGCGGGGCATCAGTGAAGGATTATTGGTGAGGATGAAAAGGCAGGTCAATTAGCCCATAGTGATAAATTCAACGATAAATTAATCATGATAGTTTCCAGGAGAGACATTATTGCTATTGTAATTCGTAAATTTGTGCCACATTTTTTTAACTCTGTAGTTAAAAACTGTACTGTAAAACTAAATTTGTTTTAGAGGTCTTTTGATAATTTCTGTGTCCTATTTGGAAATTTTGTTTTATTTTATTGTGTTATTCACATGTACCTTTATAAACTGTAATTATTTCACAGTTTTTGCTTCATAAATTTCAGAGATAAAGATGGGGAATTGAATCAAATTAAAGATTATTTTAAATGTACAAATAAACTCATTTCATGTTATACCTCAGTTGAACTAGTAGGAATATTTTGAAATTTAAGTCTAAAGGACCCAAAAGAGTAACTCAAAGTAAAGAAAGTAATTATATTTTGAAAATTATATTTTTTTTAAAAAACATATCTTTACAATATTTAAAATTATATTAAATTTTAAGTCAATAGCATTATTAGTCGCTGAGTTAAAGCGCTGTAACAGATGCGCAACCTTACTAGCATAATAGTGGTGTATAATCTTAGTACAGAACTAAAATTCGATTTCAGTACAAGTAAATCAACATGATATCAAAATATATCACTAGAACTGAAAGATCTATTTTGAAATTTTTAAGCACCCAATTTGGACTCCTTAGCAAAGAAAAAAAAATTTGTAATATCTGATGGGCAATATTATACAAAACTTTAAAATTTCAGTTGGATATCACTGGTAGTTGTTGTGATACAGTACTGTGACAGACGGATCACAGATACACGCACACAGATTGCTTTGCTTATCATACCATTTCTTTGTTCAATGCTATGATTGCTTAACAGCCAGACATTGAGATTTTCAATCACAAATTGGAGGGGAGAAGGGGTAATTAGTAATGGAGATTAGTGATACCTTTGTTAGCAGTATAACATGTCAGCTGGGGGGGAAAGGGATTGTTAGTAATGGGGTCAAATAGCCCTATTACTAGCAATATACCCTGTCAGGTCGACCTCCACGTGGTTCCCCCTGAAAACCATCGTGACTAATTCTAGTTTAATTCGTCAGGATGGGCAAACTGACCTACTTTCATCCTCATCTGTCATCCCTCACTAGTGCCCCGCCAGTGTATACCAATAGCGCAGACGGGGTTACCATACCATTATCACCCATTAAAAAAATATGTCAGCTGATTTCCACGTGGACACTAACACACCGTTATTTCTTGATGGATTCGTTACTATAAGCCAAATAACCTGCTTCTATCTTCTCTGGTATCCGGCTGGTATATACTAATAGTGCAGGCGGGGTTATCATTTCATTATTAAAAAAAAAATAACAAATTAGATTAATTTGCTAAATGTGTTAAAAAATTTAAGCTCGTCAAATAATAATACAAACAAAACAAAACAGCCCACAGTACAGGTGTATTAAAATATTTAAAAATTAGTTTAAAAATTACAGAGAAAGATAAGTCATCCCGGAATCTATTTCGCACTGTTTTATGTAAAGAAGGATAGGTACTACTCAGTATAGGAGTTCATCGTCGATAAATTGATGAGTACCTATTATTTTTTTCTTTTTTTAAACTTCGAAGTTTTAATGTAAAATTCAATATTTAAATAATTGTAATGTAATGTAATAAATGTAATATGCCTACCATTATTTGCAACGTCCAAATTAGGTTTATGTTATCTATATGACATGCAATAAATAAATAAATAATAAAAATAATAATTTCAACAGAAAAAAAAATGCTAAAAGCTAAAAATAAATAAGTTGATGGTTTCGATTTAAGACCTAAAATTATTACTTATAATTACTATAATAATGTTTACACTTATACTGTGATATTTTTTAAGATAAAAATAAAATAGTATTTAGACACACAGACATGGTCTTACTAAAAAAATATTTTAAGTTGGAATAGTAAGGATGTATACTATTTGCTCACAACACTCTTAAAGAGTAAATTATCTTTTTTATTTCTTATTTAAGAATAAAGACTTTTAATTATTTTAATTTTATGCTTATTCGATTGAAGAAATTCAGTGTTCTTTGTTGTTAAATGATAAAGCTTACAATAGATAAGTACTTTGTATGTTTACTTATTATTGATAGATATTTACAAAAGTTATCTTGAATAATGAATTCTTGACCCCTTTATCAATCAGTATACTGAAATCGCTTTCGTCCGACGGACAATAACATGATTATACTTTAAAAAAAAAAGGATATCAAATAATATAAAATTTCAATAATGCATAAATTCTTAAGGCATGGATTTTTGTCAAAAAGTGTTGTGGATTGTCACAAACAAATTAAAGGAACGAAACAAAACTTGTATAGAAAAAATGAAGTTCGTTGTGTTACTACACTTAGTTCAAAATCGGATAACTTATTTCCAGAAAGAGTTGATTTTCCAAGTCGGCATATAGGCCCGAGAGATCAAGACGTGGTGACTATGTTGGATTTATTAGGCTACAAGGTAAGTTAGTCTTGTTCATTCTACTTTAGTAAAAATGTATAGAATAGCTGTTATTAGAACACGTCCCAAGTTCATGAATATCTTACTCTTACTTAAAATTAGTTTGATGTCCGTGATTTCGTACGAGTGGATAACAGTTTTATACTTCTGCCGATATCATCGTTTTTCAATAATATTGTAACCAATGTTTTTGTTCCAAATAAAGAATTATTATTATTATTATTATTACCAGAAGCAGGAAAATTAATGAAATAGAGGGAGACTTTGTACAAAAGTCGATTGCTTGGGTACCTCTGTCCCATTCGTGTTTCTACCGTGAAGCAGTTGTGTTTGCATGGCTGTGTTTCAGTTTGAAGGGTGGGATATGGCGTGAATTTACTGGGTACAGAGAAATAACACTTGAGTCCTCAGGATTGGCAATGCATGGGGAGTATCATGTGCGAACTAGTATACTCTGTTATGTCCATGGTACTGGTACTGTACTATAAGCGACGATTACCACTTACCATCGGGTGGGCCTTCAGCTTGTTTGCCATTCTAAGTTGTATAAAAAAAATAGGCCACTTCTAGATGGAGTATGAAGATGAAACATACACCAGATTTTAAGTTAGATCTACAGCAACACAACTGTGGAATTTGCATTCCATTCGGTGCAGTAGATTTTGCGTGATGTTAAAATAAACATACAGACAGACAACATTTCTAAAAAACATTTTTCTCGTATTTATCAGCCTTATTAAGACTCATATTATTTTTTCTTAAATATCTACCATGTACAGACATTTTCTAGTTACAATTTTACTATATTAGTAAAATACCGATGTTAGACAGATAATTTAACATTTCAGAGTTTGGACCAATTGACTAATGATGCAGTTCCTAAAAAAATTCAACTACAAGAACTCATGAATATCGATGAACCGATAAGTAAGTAATTATAATGATACTGTGCTATACATTTTGTCGATACGTTACAAATTGAAATATACTTCTAAAATTATCCTCTCTTTAGGTGAATACGATCTTATCGAAAGAGTACGGGAAATTTCTGAAAAAAATCAAATATGGCGTTCTTATATTGGTATGGGATATCATAATTGCTGCGTACCTCACACTATTATGCGAAATATGTTCGAAAATCCTGGATGGTAATAATTATATATTTACATCTGAGTAGTTATATGTTTCTATAATTATTATTGAAGTAAATTATAAAAAATTTTAGGACGACGCAATACACGCCTTACCAACCAGAAATAGCACAAGGAAGACTAGAAGGCCTTCTTAATTATCAGACGATGGTTAGTGATCTCACTGGTTTAGATGTAGCAAATGCTTCTTTACTTGATGAAGGCACAGCGGCTGCTGAAGCTCTATCCTTATGTCATAGGTACGAGTACAAATAAAGATATAAACATCTTATGTCATTATATTTATAGTGAATAAAATTCTATATTCAATGTACTTATTTCTAAATATGTAATTATGCATTTAATTAAAGTATAAATTACCTTACAGACATAACAAAAGAACAAAATTTGTAGTTTCGGAACGAATTCATCCACAAACTTTGGCAGTAGTACAAACTCGGCTAGATGCATTTGGTTTGGATTTGATTGTTTTGCCAGATGTACGAGAAGCAGATTTTGCGCAAAGAGATATATCGGCTGTTCTTCTTCAGTGTCCTGATACAAGAGGATTGGTATATGATTATTCTGCGTTAGCTGCTGCAGCTCAAGAACATGGGGTTAGTTTTTATTTTTATTGTAATTGTTCACATACAAATTTGTTATACAAGTTGTTACCATAAATGACAATCTGAAATAATATCATTCAACAAACTAAAGAAAGAGGAGCCTTTTCATAAATTTTTAATATAAAATTATAATAAAATTTTACACAAGCGCATTCGCAAGTGATTTATTGCTATTTAAAGAAATACATATAAATGTATTGTATTAGCTTAAGTAATGAAATAAGTGTTAAATAATAACTATCGTAAGTCATACTGTATTGTAATTATTTATATCAATTTTACTAACGTTTAAAATTTGAGGTTTCTAACTAGAATCACGCTCATGAATAAGAGCTCCCATTGAGTTCGTCTTTTTTATTTGTTTTGATTATTATATAAAAATAAAAAGTAAAATGAATGTAAGTATAGAAAGTATAGATTAATATTCGTTGTTTCCATTTTATCAGACTTTAGTGGTAGTGGCTACAGATCTTTTGGCTCTTGCTTTGCTACGCCCTCCTGCAGAATGTGGCGCCGCTCTTGCGGTAGGGACATCGCAACGTTTAGGAGTACCTCTAGGTTATGGAGGTCCTCATGCTGGATTCTTCGCAGCTGAACATCCTCTTGTACGACTTATGCCTGGTCGTATGGTAGGCGTAACTCGAGATGCAGCTGGAAGAGATGCTTACAGGTAAAATATAGAAATCTTAAACAATTAGGATTAATAAAAGTAACTGTCAGTACCTTCTGTTTTAATATATTTGATATTAAAATAAGTATCTATTCTTTTCTAGATTAGCTCTTCAAACTAGAGAGCAACATATTCGTCGAGATAAGGCGACATCAAACATATGTACAGCTCAGGCTCTTCTTGCAAATATATCAGCTATGTATGCAGTATATCACGGTCCTCAGGGCTTACGTGATATTGCGACACGAGTTCATAATGCTACTCTGGTTCTTGACCATGGTGAGAATATAATAATATATGTCTATACTAAGACCTTAAAAAACAAGATCAAAGAGACTAATATAAATTAATTTCATAATATTATTCAATAGATATCGCTACAAGAAAATGAATTAATTAGATAACAGATTTTAATAAAAAAAAATATAGGAAATATCTTAATCTATATAAATATATATAAAATTAAACCAGTTAAAAAAATAAAACGCACAAAAAAGTGTTTGGTATACGTAACCTAAATGTTAATGTTGTAACTATATTTTTTTGTAATGACTGTTTATACCAAAATAAAATAAAAATAATTAATATCAGCTATTATTCGTCCACTGCTGGACATAATGAAATGTTAATTAATTAATGTTAATTACCTATAGGTATCCGATTACGGGGTCACAATCAATCAAACGATGTATATTTCGATACACTACATGTAGTGCCGCTACCAGAACATGATTCTAGTATTATCAAAGCACGGGCGCAAGAGAAGAAGATAAATTTAAGATATTTTGATGACGGAGCCGTAGGTGTAGCTCTTGATGAGACAACAACAATGCGAGATGTTGATGATCTTTTGTGGATTTTTGATTGTAAAAATGTAAAAGAAGTACGTATAATGATTTATAATATTTACTATTTCAATGGCAATAGTGAAAATTTATTTATATTTAATATTGTAGGTGATACAATCTGAAAATGTAAGATCACGAAGCGTTTTAAAAGGGCCATTTAGAAGAACCTCGCCATATTTAACTCACCCTGTATTCAATATGCATCATTCTGAGACTCGTATTGTGCGTTATATGAAGAGATTAGAAAATAAAGATATATCACTAGTGCATTCTATGATTCCTTTGGTAAGTAAATAAATTCAGCAAACATCAAGTTATTATAATTTGAGAAGAGTATATGTTTTTAAATTCACTCTTATTCTAAATTGAAATATACTCTTATTTTAAATTGAAATTTTAAGATCACGTTTACTTTTTCTTTTTTATAAATAGATACTATAAAATTATAAATTGTATTCGCTTTAGGGTTCCTGTACAATGAAACTCAATTCCACCACGGAGATGATGCCATGTTCTTTTAAGGAATTTACGGATATTCATCCTTTTGCACCATTAGAACAGTGTCAGGGTTACCATATATTATTTGAGGAGCTAGCAAAGGATCTTTGTGCTATTACAGGCTATGATCGAGTTTCTTTTCAACCTAACAGGTACGATAATAGAAAATCGTTATTATAATTCTATTAATTCTTATTAGCTGTTGTTGTTTTTATGTATGTAATTCGATCTTATAATTCATAATATCGTAAAATTATATATTCGTAATTCGATGGTTATTTTTTGAGTGTGTATGATAAGGAATATGATTTATTTCGGAATAGTTTTAGCATTCATTAGTATTTACTCCCATAATATTTTTTTTACAATTAAAGTCGCTTTTTTAATGGATCAAAATTGTGACTAGGTATAATTTTTCAGTGGAGCTCAAGGGGAATATGCTGGGTTACGAACTATAAAACGTTATCACGAGTTTCGAGGTGATACAGGACGTAATATCTGTTTGATACCTGTAAGTGCTCATGGTACAAATCCCGCATCTGCTCATATGGCTGGCATGCGTGTTTGTGCTATTCGAGTTACATCCTCTGGTGATATAGATATGGAACATCTTAAAGATAAGGTAAAAATCCTCTGAGATAAAAAATTCATAGTTAATAAGACTTTATATATATATATATATATATATATATATATATATATATATATATATATATATATATATATATATATATATATATATATATATACTCAGAATAAATTAAATGCAAATGGTATCTAATAAGAGTAATGATCTAAACACGAAACATCACAAAGTTTACAAAGACATAATTCTATCGCATATTGATTTTAATATATAAGTATTTTTTACAAGGAATGTTTTGATTTCCACAACATTATGGATGATATTATAATTCTAGGTAGAAGAACACAGCAAAAACCTGTCGTGTTTAATGTTAACATACCCTAGTACATTCGGCGTATTTGAAGAACGTGCAGCGGATATATGTGCTTTAGTCCATGCACATGGTGGTCAAGTTTATTTAGACGGTGCTAATATGAATGCACAGGTTAGAAATAATTTATTAAGTATGTTATTTACACAGTGTGTTTTTATTATATTCAGATATAATATAATTATTAAAATTACAAGAAAAGTTTAAATATTAATCATAAATTACTAATTTAATTTATTTATTTAGAAGACTTAATAATTAACAGATATAAAATTTTGATGAAACATATTTCAGGTGGGACTATGTCGTCCTGGTGATTACGGCAGTGATGTTTCACATCTAAATTTACATAAAACATTTTGTATTCCTCACGGTGGCGGCGGCCCTGGTATGGGACCTATCGGAGTGTAAGTTTAAAAACTGAGTTTCTATTGCCAGCTGATTATTTAGCAGATGATACATTATTATATATAATTATATTTATTATCTGCTAATTGATTTATTTTTATCTATAGCTTGATCTAACTTTAATAACTTTAAACATTTTGTAATTGATAGCAAAATGTAATACTGTGTTGAGTACTGAATTTTCTTACAGAAAAGCACATTTGGCGCCATTCTTACCTTCACATCCAGTAGTAGACCCGTTAGCAGATTTAGGTGATGCAGCACATAGCTTTGGATCCGTCAGTGCAGCACCTTTTGGATCTTCAGCAATTCTTCCCATTTCATGGGCATATATTAAAGTAATTTAAACTTGTTATTATTAAAATAAAATCTTAAAATAAATACAGTACAAATATTGCTCTTTAGGCTTGCTGCAATATACGATAACGATATAAGCACACACACACACACACACACACACACTCATATATATATATATATTTATATATAGTATGTACATAATTATTTTTATAGTCATACCTCTTTCTATATTAGTACCTATTTTAATGTATGCACCTATGTTTATTCATAGTTTAAAATAATCATAAATATAACATAAAACTGCTTATTAATATAAGAATAATATGAGAGAAAAACCTTACAATTAAATAAAACATATCATTAAAATTGGTTGAAAATCGACGAATATTATCACATTACAGTTCACGCAGAAATATAGAATCAAATTAAGAATGGTCTTTATTTTGGAATATTTTTTAGTTTTATTGATTATAATATTTATAATATTTTTAGATGATGGGACCAAAAGGTTTAAAACGTGCAACTCAAATAGCTATCCTTAACGCCAATTATATGTCAAAAAGATTAGAAGATTACTATAAGACCTTATATAAAGGTGAACGAGGGTTAGTTGCACATGAATTCATTATAGATGTGCGAGATCTCAAGAAAACAGCGAATATTGAACCTGGTGATATTGCTAAGAGACTTATGGATTTTGGTTAGTATATTCGACTTTGTGTTTTCTTCTGTTTTCAGTCATAAAAGACGTTTGTCCTATTCTTGATCAATTTACTTAAATAATCTTACTTTTGTAATGTTAAATATATTTTTTATTTACATTGTTATACAAATTTAAGTAGTGAGTATAAATGTATTATCGAAGTAAAAAGTACAGTTAAAAAAATTATAATTACGAGTATTTCATTATATTATTTTATAGGTTTCCATGCACCTACGATGTCATGGCCGGTGGCAGGTACTTTGATGATTGAACCTACAGAATCGGAAGATTTGCAGGAACTCGATAGGTTTTGTGAAGCGCTTATAACAATAAGAAAGGAAATTAAGGATATAGAGGATGGAGTAATTGATAAGCGTATAAATCCTTTAAAGGTAAATTTGCTGTCTTTGACTTTATTAATTTTCCTCTTTGGTAATGATATTTGGTATTGGAGAAAATGCAATATATGTAACTATTTTATTTTTATTCAGATGGCCCCTCATACTCAAGAAGAAGTCATGGCAGAAGATTGGAATCGGCCGTATTCGCGGGAACAGGCTGCATTTCCGGCTGTAAGAAATTAATTTTTAGCTTTGACGTATTATTTATTGTATTGATCAACAATTTGAAGTTATACATCCAATATTTAATTTTGTTTTCAGCCATTTGTAAAAGGCGAGTCAAAAATTTGGCCAACAGTGAGCAGAATCGACGATATGTACGGTGATAAACATTTAGTATGTACCTGTCCTCCGGTGATCGACGATTTCTAATTCTATATTAAGTTACATACTTAAATATTTCCATATATTATAATTATATACTCATAATAAAAAATCTGTTAGCAGTCGCATATTGTATATATTTCGTCAATATTGTCGTAGAATAAATAATTTTTTCTAACAACAAAATCTTTTCCAATTTGCACAGATAGAACTTTAAATCTATAGCGAAATTTATATTTATTTGCCATAACTTATATTGACTTCAAACAATTAGTATATCTATCTTATTACATAATTACATAGTATTGCGAAGGATTATTACATATCATGTTGGATTCAAGGCAACTTGTTTGTTTTGTTTCTAGACCAAACTACACTCTGGAATACGATATAGCTTCAAGTAGCATTTTATTTATATTGTAAATAAATAAATATTTCCATGGGTTTAGCTTAACGTATTCCATGAGCTAATGTAAAACAATAATATGAAATTATAATATTCTAAAGTTATCGACATCTGTATTTTATAATGTGTTTTCATATGTAATTTATTAACATAACATTTTTGTGTTATTGTAACACGAAAGTGATCGAAAATTACTTATTTAATTAAAATAACATTTGTAGTATTTTAATTGGATCACAAAACATACATCTAAAAAGAAAATTCACTTAGGAAAACTTAGAAAAATAAAACATTAACAATATCTCTCATTAAAACTATAATTTATTTTGGAGGGGAATTCATTGTATCTTTTGGATACATGCCTAATCTAATGCCGAGTTCCTTTGGCATACGCATAGCTGGGCGAGTAGGAAATGGATGGTACGAACCTGATGATGGACTACGTGGATAAGAAATGGACGATAGAGTATCTGTCTCTAAAAGCGAAGTAACACCACTACATGTATCATCTGATTCTATTTTTGTTTTATCGCTTTTTTCTATGGTATCTTTTGTGAGTATTGGCGTATCTCTAGGAAATATCTTAGGCGATATTGGAGTAGATATCTGATCAAGTGATGTAATTTGACATAAAGTATCACTAGAATTGCTTTTAACCTCTATCGGCGAGTCATCGTCTACTGAACGTTCGTAAGTGAAACTAATAGAAGAAGTTACTACATTAGTAAAATCACTAACTTGGCTATTTTCAGTCTTTAATAAATTCTCACATACTTTCGGGCCCTGGTCGACAGTTTTACTACATATATCACTTGCTTTAGACAGAATAAAATCATTATATTTGCTAGAAAGTGGATAATTATAATCTTCTGGTGTGAAATGTTTATCGTATGTAGAGAGATCTTTTGGCTCTGCTGATGGCAGAGAAACAGGACTTCTTGAGTCACCTGAGAAAGAATGTCGAGACCATTCGGATGTTGTTGCAAGTTTTAATTCATTATGAAGTAAGTTATCTTGTCTAGACTCACATAGTATTTTGTTTTTAATGTCATAATCGTAACTAGATTCAGGTTTGGTCGACGTATTTTTATAGTCACATTTTGCCAGAAATCCCTTATTTTCCCATCCATAAAAATCGGTTTTATTTCCTAAACATTCGGTACTGGGTGTTTTTGTTGTTTTTAAGGAGAAATCTTCATTTCGAGATGCAACATTGTGCACTTCTAATGAGAATGGGTCATCAATTGAAATAGGTCTAATTCTAACGAATTCACTTTTTTCTGTAGTTACATTATTTATGCTATTTTTTCTGTAACCTATCAACGAATCAGAGGTTGACTCTTTAAGTATCGGCGAATCGACTAGTTTGTTTTCAATAGATTTTTCTGTGATACATTCATCATTTTCTGTTCGTTGCATTTCTATTGATTTTTGTAAATTTTTAATATCTTCAAATTTTTTGGCTTTATTTGTGTCTGCTATGTTTTGCTTTGTTAGGATTCTACTTAATATTTTGGAATTTTCTTGTATAATTTGTAAAGCTCTTTCACTATTTTTTCGACCTGAACGTAAAATATAATCCTTAGGAGAAAAATAATCATCTTTTTTCATTTCTTGTACAGTCTTTGGAGATTTTGGAGTCAAAATCGTGGATTTTTCTATACAAACTTCCTTATGTTTGTCATCACTACCATTGTCTTGTTTTATGTTTGATATAGGATTATTTGAGAAACTATGACTTTGGGGCAAAGAAGAAGCTCTCTCTACATCACTTTTCATTAATTTTTCATTAGTGCTTACATGAAGAGTTAAGGAGTCTGGTTTTTTCGGTAATCTAGAATATCGCTTTGTCGGTCTTCTATTAGGTATATCGGAATTATTGGGATCCGTAACACGAGCTCCAAAAAATTCTGGACTATGTTCAAAATATTTGTCGATTTTTAACTGAATTGGTGGTTCATCTTCACTTACAATGATACTATCAGCACCAGGACTTCTTGGTGGACTTTCAACATCTGATATATTTTTGTCTGATAAGTCAATATCAGGAACAAAATTTGGGTACATTGTAAAACTGTCAATTAAATCTGGAGGTCTCGAAGATGTGCTTATTTTAGAAAAAGAGGTATGCTTAAAATTAGATTCAAAATCATAATCATATGGAGATTTACGCTCTACGCTACAGTTACATGGGGATAGATCAATAGGGCTTAATTCAGTAAAATTTTTTGAAGTTTTTATAAGATTCATAGGCTTCACAGTTTCACTATATTTTAAAGTATCGTCACATTTTATTCTGGTTAATTTTTGTAATATGTCACTTTTTTCCGGCGTTTTTAAAGGAGAATAAGGTGATATACTTTTATAAGGACTTAATGGTTTATATATTTCACTTTCACTGCTTAAAATTAGATTATTATCTTTTAATTTAGTTTCGAAACCGTCAATATAGGCGCGAAGAGGTTCACCAGCAGCAGAATCTAAGTAATCTGTGATATCTTTGACTGATTTCTCTGAGGATATTGTTTTAGATTCAACTTCAGGAGAATGTTTTATTTTTGTTTCTTTAATAACAGGAGATCTAATAAGTTTATTTTCTTTAAAAGTTGAACCAGGTGAAAGCTTTTTGTCATGATGCTTTTTGTACTTTTTTTCATTATCATCATCTACTAAATCAGATTCAGAATCACTAGCTTTTTCGTTATCGTCACAAAGACTAGTATCAGTACTAGATGCTGTGTGAGATGAATATGATGAAGTTTCACTTGAGCTACGAGATCTTAAAGATGCAATCATTTCATTAGCTTCCAATTCAGATACAATAATCCCGTCTCCAGCCTCATCTAAATCAATAGAAGCTTTTCTATTTTTTTCTTTGGGTTTTTCCTTTTTAATATCTTTCCACTTGAGGGAATTCCTTCTACTAAGTGATTTCCGTCTTTGTTCCTCTTTCCAACTGATAGTATCATTTGATCGGCCACGTGGACGTAATTCAGTATTCTCTCGAGGTGATAATGCTTGTCGAGAAGGTGGAACTGCTCCGGGAGGAGGACCAAGTCTACGACCTCGTGAACTAACTATTGCACTTTTTCCCAAAAGTAAATTATTGACCGTAAGTGAAGTTGGAGATGTCGGAACACCAACTGAAATTTTACAAACACTTTCTGTTTATATCAGACTTTTTTTATACAAGATATAGATAAGATAAACACAATTATTAAGGGTATTAAAATTTAACGTTTTTTTTTTTAATTTGAATATTGCATACAAAGTGTATGAGTAGTGTCCCCGAGTTAACCGATAGCGCTCAAGGATCTCTAAATAATTGAATGGGTAGATTGAGCACTCTACTGTGACGACTTATCAAGTTCACGATGAACGTTTTATTTTACTAAATAGAAGCCTTGTGTAAAGTCGTCTGAATGCAGCGGGAGTCTTACTTATTTTTACCGCCAAGGAATTGTAAGTAACTTAGTCATTCGTATTTCTAATTAGGAATAAAACCTGAGTCCTCAGAAATGACAACGCATGGGGAAATAGTATACTCTATTATGTCCATGGCTCTGCTCATGTCTAAAGGCGACGATTACCACTTTTCATCAAGTGGCCCGTCAGCTTGTTTGCCATTATAAGTGAAAAATTAATGAAAAAAACCTTAATCCACAGGAGTGGCAACATATAGGCGACACAATAGTGTATTTTGTGATATCCTTGGTGGTATATATGTCTACACATTTTCAGTTTTTATACTTGGTATGACCTAAATAATCGCTACAACATCACTTTAAAAATGTTATCCTTACTAATATTATAAATATGAAAGTGAATTTGTAACTTTTTATTGTTTCAGCAGCTTACTCAATTGTTATGAAATTATATATACACGCACTATACGAGATAGAGAAGGATATAGGTTACTTTTATCTTGATCAGTATATACGAGTATATCCAAGTCACGTAGACATAGCTGGCATAGCTGGTATAAAATAAATGTATAAACAATTTATTACCTGCTGCATGTCGTGCACAAGCAGCTGCTAAAATAACATGGGCTTGTCTTTGTCGTTCTCTCAGTCGAGCATATTGACGTTTTAAAGCTCCTATGTCTAATGAAAGTCTATCACCAGCTCCTACACGATTTTCTCGCCTCGGTATCACCTGTAATACATAAATAAAATTTATCAATATAATGTACATAATTCGTTTTAAAATAACAACAGTTGAAGAGCAGGTAGTCATTTGTATTAAATACCGACTATACATATTCGGTATGAATTGTAGATACAAACAGAATGCTACAATGATAGTGCTGCGGTTTACATTTGACTTGCATTACATTTCCTAGTACAATTTGAAATTTAAATTTGGGCATGGAAAATCCTACGGTCATCGATCAGATTTATCAAGTAGTGTTTATTATAAATGAAGAAATGAAAGTTTTTATGTCTGCTCAGGTCGAATTGACTACCGCAGTTGAGTCGTTGTTAATGGTTTATTAACAATAGTAATATTGATTATCTTTTATAAACTTTTAGCTTTATTACATGTGTTAGCTTAATTTAATATTATGATAAGAGATGTAATATCGATGTTTTTTCGTAGAGCAACTCTAAAACAGGTAGAAAAGGATATTGTAGAGAAAATATAGACTTTAATAAAATAATATACTATTCATGCTGTCATATCTATAAAAATTATATAGAAAGATAGAAATACATGTGGAAATTGGCAGGATTTTGTATTAATTAAAAAAATATATAGCTATTATAATTATCAACTTCAATCAAATACTACCTATTGTAGCTATAAAATAATTATAAATTAATTTTGAAGATTTTATTACCGTAGCTAATGCCATTTTGTTTCCATCATCACTTGAATCACCTTCATCTTCAGAATAAAATAAACGAAGTCCTCGTTTAGTCATTGATTGCATCTGAAAAATAGTATTTGTTATTAATTTTGGTGAATATAAAGGAAAAATTTAAAGTATCACGTATCGTATTTCTCTGTATTTGATTATTCTTAATGACAAATTGTTAATGAAATGCATGATTACAAAATTTAAAAAATCTAGATAATTTAATGGTATCTGAATTTATTAAAATTACAAAAAAAAAATACTGTTAAGTTTGCTGTTAAGTTTTAGTTATTTGCCTGCATGTTGCGATAAAGATCTGGACACATATACGTACGGGTACACCTGTAAACCCCTCTTAATAAATATTTACGTACCGCGGAATGTAGAGGCGGTTGGTATACTGGTGGTGCATTAGGCGGTGCTGGAGGTGTTACTCTATATCTATGCAGACTGCGAAGCCGTGGCAATTCTGGTACCGATCCAAACGTCACCACTTTTGCCACAAGGCCGTCACCAGCTGCCCACACTGCGCTAGCGCCACCACCCATGCAACTGTAGAATTCGTCCGCAGATCGCGCAGATAATATTCGACTGAAATTGAATGTTGCTATATAATATAAGAATCCATAATGTATTTTTTTTTATATTACGGCTAATATCATCAGATCACCATCAGAGTAATCACTCCCCACCTTATGGTAAGCAGGTAAAGTAGTTTGTATGTTTTACATAAGAGTCGCCATCAGAGCAGTTTATGCTATGTTGGCGATCGTCATCTCGACAGCCTGCAATTGTGTTTCAGAAGAAAACAAATTTTATTTGTATTTAAATAAATTTAAAAAAATTTAATATCAAAAATTTATATTTCGTATCGAAATACAGCCTCCTTAGCTTAAATTTAAGAATAAGTAATTTTGTTGAAAAAAAATCGTGGTTTCTTTTCCTGGCGAAAACATTTTGGTTAGTACTGATAAATTTTTATAATAAATATAGAGATTAAAAAACTAGAAATTGAACCATGTAACTAGTATATTTTTATACTAAAGTAACGTTAATACATACGACACTTACTCTTGTAACATGTCCCAAATAGCAAGTGCAGTGAGCAATAAGATCTCATTTCCATCGAGTAAAATGAGGTCCCAAATACGCAATAATGAGTCTCGAGGCAGCCATGTAGCGTACAGTGTGAGAAACCACTGCATGGTGAATACGTCTGGTAGTGGAGGCTCTACACCTCCACCTATAGGAAGAAATGAACAGTACAGAATAATTGCGCAAGTGATTATCAAATATAATTACCTACCTAAACTATAAATTAGTATTTTCTTACGTTTCGTAGAGTTGTATGAATCTAATTGTCAGTATCATGGTATACCAGGTACTATCTTAACTATTCCTGCTATGAAGCAACAATAAGAGCGTTGTTGTGTTCCGATGTGAAGGGTACAGATTACCAGTAAAATATCTAACACAATCATGGTATAATGTCTTTGTGGTCCTCAGGAGTAACGTATAAGATGAAGTCATCTGAACCTATTTGGAAGATTATAATACAATTCTTACTAATACTTCTATTATAAATGTGAAAATAAGTTTGTATATTAGTTTGGCTTCTCATAGCGCCTAAACGGTTTAACCAACAACTGGATAGAGATGGATATAAGTTACTTTTAATTCCGGTCATTAATCAGATCCCGATTATTGGACGAAATCGCGAATATAAGCTAGTATTATTATATAATAACAAGATTAATTATTGTTTTTGAATTGAACACGATCTCAAATCATTACTGTATTGCTTACCATCTGATATCCTTTGTAAATGATCCATATGATTCGCGAGTCGTGGCAAACGTAATCTTAATAAATCCCTGAATGCAGCCATATCTGCAGAGAGTCCGCGAAGATCATCTGCGAAATATCCTTCGGGCAACACTGCTTCTACTAAGTATATCATAACCTATGGCCAAATTAAACATTTAATTATAAGTTATGATTATACAATTTTTAAAAATTAACTAAAATTGGTAAAATTTTTTACCTTTAAAGAATCCGATTCAGATTTTTCCATAACTTCCAGTATTATTGCTGCTAACATATTAAAGCCTTGACAGTATCCAACGTCTTTGTTCCATCTGTAAGAATATACGAAAACAGTCTTTAAAGATGCATTCATTAAAATATAGATGTATGTAGCCAGTGAGGATTGGGATATAGGGAATCCTTTGGCCTTCATAAATACCTAACGTTACTATTTATGAAGGTGTAAAATATGAAACATAAGTATACGAGGTTTGTAAAGTACGTATAAAAGTTTTTTAAAAATTTTATTTTACAATTATTCAGGTAAATCAATTTTATCCCCTTCAAAGTACTCCCCCTGTGACATAATGCACTTGTGCCAACGCCGTTTCCACTGTGAGAAGGCTCCTTGAAAGTCCTCTGGTTGTAGGTTTCTCAGCTGCCCCGTCGTAGCTTTTTTTATCTCATTTATGTCCCCCAAATGCCGCCCCCGAAGTACCAATTTGGTTTTTGGGAACAAGAAGAAGTCACACGGGGCCAAATCCGGCGAATAGGGGGTGTTCGGTCACCGTAATGGAATTTTTACTCAAAAACTCACGGACAACAAGAGAGGTGTGGGCAGGGGCATTGTCGTGGTGAAGAATCCAACGCCCCTCTCGCGCCAATTCTGGACGAACTCGTGCCACACGAGCTTTGAGGCGTCTGAGCACATCGACGTAGAATTTTCCATCAACTGTCTGGCCTGGAGGGACGAATTCTTGATGGACAATCCCCCGAACATCGAAAAAAACAATCAACATTGTCTTGACATTTGAGCGGGATTTTCTTGATTTTTTTGTTCGTGGTTCCCCGGATGTCTTCCACTCTTTGCTTTGGGATTTTACTGTTCTGAGATCGGCAAAAATTTCACGGCCATTCTTGCCGAGTTTCGAGAGAAACTTGATTACGACGCGCTGCTCTTCAACGGAAGCGGGCTCCATGCCGACGGGGTTTCGTTAAGAGGTAACTTCACAGATGGCGTGACAAGCCAGTTCGCACCGCACGGCGGTCAGACCAGAACTGAAGCATTGTTAGGGACATAAGGAAGGGGTCCTGCGCTTACCTGGCCTCCCCACTCCTCTTTCTCGCATTCCAGAACACTTTTATACGAACTTTCCGGACAGACCTCGTACTTCATTTCTTTAAGCAATGTGAAATACTAACCTCGCGTAAGCTAATAACACTCTGCGGAGCATGGCTTGATTTTCTCGTCCTTCTGTACCACAGAATAAGGAACAACCTGTTCTATGTAAATCCTGAAAACATAAGTATTTATTTATTTTATTATACTTAGAATTGCAAAGAAGCTGACAGAACAGCACAATGAACATAGAATGCACTATGATGTTCAACCCCTGCATTGCCATTCTTAACGACTATAGTTTTATGCCATGTAATTTATCTGCTATACTTCACTCTTGAAACTGAAACACAGCAGGCTTCTATACAAATCAAGTTGACTACTAGAGTGACTTAACTAGAGTGTGAAATGATGAATACCTTAAGAATCTGAGCTCCCAGTTCAGTGTCATCGGGTTGAGCGGTGCCGCGAAAAGCAGCTCGCTCGGCTGTTGACCAGTCGACACCTCTTGCTGTTAAATGACGTTCTGCTAATGTCAGCCATAGCTGCAAATCATAGTATTTTTTATTAATAAAATACTTTCTAGTAATTATAATTTTATGAAATAAAAGTTATGTATAGTGAGTCTTCGCATAATTTCAGCATGAATAACTTCATTTACTATTTGGGGAGTATCTTAAATAGTAAATGAAGTTATTCACTTTGTTTAGTTATTTAATCAATGTGTTCATCCTCCAAGCAGTTTTTTCGATTTAATCTTCTCTGTTAAATTTATAAATTATATTTAAAATAAATTATGTTAACTATTGATAAAAATCATTTATATGAGTACCGTTTAAGTAATTGTTCAATATTATATTCTGGTTTTATTTTGAATATTTAATTTAATTCACGATCATTGGGAATGAAATTATAACTGTGTAAAATAAGTAGATAGGTAAAATTTCTAAATATAGTCCATTCTTGTAATTCCCTTTTTCTTACGCCTCCGCTGAATGACGTCAAACAAGAGTTTGATTTCGCTAACTTTCACAATCATATTTAAATTTATAAAAATTAAAAATCAAATAAAACATACTTCAAACCAATGTAAACATTTGGTCAATCACACAATTACCTAATATACTTTTAAGTATATACATTTAACGTCTCTGTACGAATGCATAATCATAAATAAAAATGAACTTCATATAATACGCGTATTTACGTTTTTATTTATTTGATCAACTGGGCGAGCTTTACAGTCTCCTAATACGCTCGCAGGAAATCATTAGTATTAATACACATAGTTTACAATTATAATTAAAATTATCATTATAGGTTTACATAAAATCTGCTTTAAATATTCTTTTTTATAATTATCTACTGCCATTTCGCAAGGTCTGCCATCTGTCAATAAAAAATTACAAGAAATTTTTCAAACCTTTCACTTTGTATACAGCCCAGTAGTGGATTGTTAAAGAGTTGGTATCAATATAGGTATGGGTATATAGTATATAACTTTGTTCCTAGCCCAAAATACTTAAGTAATTAGTCGCGCTGACCATGTTGTCGTCACAACTACAGCCTAACTAGCCTACTACTTAGATAGTAGTATACGTTTATAAGTAATGAGTACCTTTTTGCGAAAGTGTAGAGGCACTCCGGCGGGCAGACGGGCGACCAGCCTCATAGCATGTAGCCACTCGGCGTACCCGCCCTCGCCGGGGCCTTCGCCCTCGTCGCCTGGACTCACGCCAAATTTCGCGCCACTCTCGCCCGCTGTATCAAATACGACTTTTTATTATTATGACAAAACATTCCTAATGATTTTGGGATCTGGAGTAAAGAATTTTTGAGGACGAAAGTATGATTTTAAAATCACTTGAATTTATTTATTAACCATTTAGTCGGTAGTTCTTTCGCGAGTGCTGCAAATAGTCATCGTCTATACTGAAATGATACTTTGTATGACTGTAGAAGGTGAATTAGACTAAGCGTCAGAATCCTCATATTTCACCTAGTCTTAACATTTTTTTAATAGATGCTGTAATTCCATATCTACATGTGGTGTCATTCTTGAGGACTAAGATCCCATTCTCAGAATCAAAACATCACAAAAAACTACGTTTTTTTATTCTTTTGATACCTACTAAAAGACTTTTTAATAAATTTACATAACTTCTTTTTATAATTTTCTACTCTTGTATATCTTTTTCACTTTTATATTACCTTGTGCAGTAAGAATTACGTTTAAATGTAGCATTATACTCGTAACTTAATGTATATTAAAAGGTATCAATAACGACCGATGAAATTTACATAATAAATTACTCAGGATAGCTACTGAAGAAATAGGATCATTAACATATTAAATGAATATCATGGAATAAATTTAATTACGATGTTTGTTGAAAATGTGTTGAAAGAAGTAATTTTACAATAACAATAATAAGAGCAAATTGGTAGATTAACTTCGGATTGTGAAATAAGTTATACCTAGGTTCATGTACAAAATAAGAAAACGTATTTTACCTAAATTGTCGGCACTGAATAATATGTTATACATTAGTATAATTAGACTAAATAATATAATTACACACCTGAGCTGGCCCTGGACGACGCTGCTAAGTTTCGGAGGGAGTTTAAAATAGCGCTCATCTGTCCTGCACGTCGTACACATTTGATAATAAACGCATACCTTAAAAATTGCACCAGCCACTGTGCTAACGACCTAACAGTAACAAACTCGATGCAGTGTCACTGCGGGCTAGTATATGCGAGCATTCATGGGTTACGAGTGGATTCGGTTAATGATATATCGAGATGGCAAAACACTCAGAATCATTGAAAAATCAAAGTAGAAATATGAATTATTATATGCCATATTTCGATCGCATTTGAGACTGCGTAGTCGACCAGCTGATGCGATGTTTACTGGGATTGTCGCGAAAGGGAACGGTGGGTCCGTTTGGCTTTTACCAGCGTACTGTATAAAAATTCAAATCGCATCGACTTGTAGGCGCCTAACATAGAGAAAATAGCCTTTACTCACGATGAAATGTCGTTATACGTTTCGTAGTGAAAGTCTCCAGGCATGCGCAGGGCACAAATTTAAGGGTGTCTGTGTGCGTTATATATCGATTTAGCGCCATTGTGCACGTCAGTGTCGGATACAGATAAACAAGAATAGCATCCTGTGACTAGTTTCCTTTGACGCGTGTAAAGTTATTTTGAACTCCTATGAATGAAGTCGTTTGGTAATACTTTCTGATCCTATAATAAATTCGTCGACTTATTTAAACAAAAAAGTGTTTAAAATAGGTATAACGTATAATTATAATTACTTAAAAATGTTTTAGAAGGTACAGATAAGAAAAATCAAATGCTATGTGGTGGGAAAATACTGGGTTGAGAATGAAGAATATATTGAGGATGAAGTCATATCAGCTAGCCTATCTTGACGAATTTACCGAAAGTTAAAAATGATAGTTACATAGCTAAGAGCTCCAAAAATATATCCTGCCAAGTCGATCTCTATGCGGTTTTCCCTGGAAACCATATTAGAGGTTTATTTTTGAATTCGTCACGATGGCGTACTGGCTGGATTTTATTCACATCTATTATACCTCATTGGTGTTTTGGTATAATTATCTTTCATAAAAAAATAATATGTAAATCTCAATACATTTAAAGTACCTAAACACTAATAAAAGTAAATGCATCTTTTATATATCCTAACTTTTTTTTATTTATCATATTGCTATATGGTCACGGCATAGAATGGGCCACCCTTTCCTTTCTCGTGGGTGTCGTAAGTCAAGTAAGTCATTCATTAATGATCGAAGGAGGGGCAGCAGCGCTCCTCTTAAAACATCCCCAAAAGCCTTACTGCGGTTTCCAACCCGCTTGCCAAGCGTGTCAACTACTGGCGAAACCTCCCCATAGGGTCTATGTTCTGCAGTTAACGATTAAACTCTGATATGATAATAATAACTTTCCTTATTTATTTGACAAGAAAATGTAAACAGAAACAGTTATAATAAAACACACCTTATAAACTTAACTTACACCTTCAAAACTTTCTCTTTTTTCTTTTTTTAAGCTATCTTATTTTCGTCTAGAAAAATTAGTAACCACAATCTTATTCATTGCTTAATATTAATTTAACAATTTCTTACTAATATGTCGAAGCAAAACAGTGAAGGCAGCACATAGCCTCTTCTGCTGTCGGCGAAGTCGATCCCTAATTCGAACACTTCTTGCCAAACGTTCACCAGTTATTTTCAATCTATTTTCCCATTCGTTGGTTTGTTCTTTTAGTTCATATATATCTAAAATAAAATCAGAAAGTTCTATACGAGTGTTTGGATTAAGATTATTTTGTTTTATGGTGATCCCATTACTATCAGTGTCCACCATTATTATGAGTACGTGATTATAGGATAAATACACCATTGATCAAAATATAATATAAAATAAAAAAGAAATAACAATTTGAAAAATAATTTGCTAACTAATGTATTCTTATTTCTATTTTTTTTTCTAATGAAATGGACTAAACTCTGTATTATATCTGTACATAAATAAGGTCTTACATATAAGGATAAAACAGAATTATTAGCATAGTCGTATTAGTAAAACAGTGGGGCAATAAAATTTTGTGGCACCATATCTCTAAACTTATCTTTAAAATTTTAATTTGACATCACAAAGAAATCGTTATTCCAAGGATCAATACAAACTAAATTTCTAATAGATTTAAGTTAAAATTATTATTACAATTTAGTATATGATAATCTATAAAACAGTAATTTCGTGAAATTATTAAATTAAAATTATAGATTAGGATATTCTCTTAGTTTACTTATCACAAAATTTTATATTTATTAAAAACTATTTTGGAAATTCTATACAAGTTGTTAGTTGAATTATTTTACCTAAAGATTCTAAATAATTACGTTCTATCGCATCTGTTTGATCAGTACAAGAGGTTACTGATGCTGCCGAAGTAGACCTGAAATCAAGGATGTTTTGTTATAAAAAAAATCAAATAACTCTATATTAATATAATATTCTTATAATAATATTTATTTATTTAACTCTTTATTGCACCATAAATAAAAATATACAATGACAAATGAATAATTCAAATGAAATACAGTAACATAAATACAGATTGAAATATAAAAAATTATTAAAAGGCGGTCTTATCACTGAGTGATTGACTAAAATCTCTTAGATGACAACCTTTAGTTAAGGGAGAACAGATAGAAAAGGGCAGGTGGCGCAAGAGTGAAGTAATAATTTTCGTGCATAAAATACAAAAACATAATTATCGCAAATAATATTACCCCTGGCTATAATCAACGACGCTATCATTACTCCAGTTTTGTTGATCACCATACAGTTCATTTAATAGATTTTCCACTAGCTGTTTCACATTTTGTTTCTGTAAAGTTGTATGAAAATATTTATGTTAATAAATAAATATCAAAAATAAATAAAAATGAACTATTAGACTATTATAGTTTAACATTCGTAAGATCACCAGTGAGTGATTGACTAAAGTCCCTGTAGATGACGAGCATTGCGGTAGTGAAAAGGGCATGCACTAATCAAAATGGGCAATAGAGAGCATAACGTTAAACAATTCCTCAAAACGCTTAATACGATAAGTCTCAGAAAAGCTTATCCCATTCAGATTATGAAACTAGATCCCTGCCAAATTTTACCAAGCGTAAATAATAGTGTATGTCACAGTATAATAACTATATCTATATACATATTTCTGTGTATAACGGTGCTATATATTTTTGCTATTTCCATCAGACAGGCTGCTAGGTTGTTTGCATTAAAGAAATATAGGGTGCTGTTGGAGCATTATCATTCCTAGATAATAATTAAAGTACTGGTTAAAGTGGCTTCAATATAATATATATAAAAAAAAGTGTTCGTTTATTAGAGATTAGTCTCAAGAACTATTATAGGTACTGAACAAGAAAAAAATCCAAGTAGCCATGAGTAGGGCGACTTCTACAGTGATTAATTGAAATATGTATATTCCGGAGAGTTAGTAGATGCAAGTGGCTCAGGACTATTATTCTAGCAGTGGACAAATAACTGCTGAAATAATCTTTTTTACAAGGTTATGGTTCTTAAGTTGCACTTCCGTAACTCACACTTCTTGAATAACACACTTCTTGAATAACACAAAGATAACGATTGAAAGAGATAACGAGATCCGCGCAGGTGTGCCGATATTTTTTCTAGTATAAAATATCTTGCGTATTTTGTTACCTGTGAATAGTCCTTATTCAACGATGGTGGCGGCGGTGGTGGTACTTTAGATGGTAGCTTTGTATCTCTTAATTGAGGTACTTTTATTTTATTCTTCTTTTTTACAGGCTTAGGTTCAGAATTTAATGAAGTAAAATCCAGTTCGAATTTCACCACTTTCAAATTTATTGGCTGATTTATACTTATTGTTTCCATTTGAGATTCAGTTATGAATATATTGATAATATGAAAAATATGATAGGTAATCAGTTAAAAATCACAATTAAGAATATTTTAAAAATAGTAAATTTAAAAAATAATAATTGTTTGATCAGTAGATTGAAAACGATGATACAATTTCTGACACTCAATTTATTTTATTGATGAGATCTGTGAGTTTTACAAGTCACTAATTTTACCTATTTAAAGAGGTTTAACGCGGAATGTTTTAAAATAATAACGAATAGTCTTATAGTTGATGACGTACTATTTTCAACTGCCTTGACCGATTTATACAAACTAGTAAGGATTATGGACGAATGAAGTGAACTGCGTGGCGGTAGTAGCATGGGGCTTGCGATAGTCACCCACTCATTTGTTGCCGGTTGTCGTCCTGATACTGTTGATAACAACTAATATATTCACTCGAATGCATGCCCAATGAGCTAAGCTTCATCGGATATTGTAGTCAAGTGGAGTCATAATAATTTAATTTAATCCGACTACCTAAAAAGTATGATCCAGTCTGTGAGAAAATTGAAGTCTATTCGTTTGGTGAAGATCTTAACTCATTAAGACTTGACATAATACTGTGATTTTGCGTCAAGAAAACATACATTTGCATAATTCATAAGATGACCGTTCATATTATACATTTAATGTTATATTTATATTTTTATATGTAGAGAGTATATAAAATCTTTTGAATATTATGATGTTCAAAAGTGATAGATATAAAAGTTGATAAATTAAAATGCTTAATATTGTAGTTCTCTTTTATTACGTCTTCATCGGTAGGAAAACAAAGACTAATAAAGACAGAATTGTAAATACATAAGAACAATAGAAATATAAAATATGACAGACGGAATATGATGGCCAGTTATATAAAAGGCGTATTGTGATGGCCAGTAATACGCTACAGACCTGTTTGCTTAGTACTAGTATGCGACGATCCTAATATCAATATATCAACATAAATAGATAAAAGTTACAAGTTACTAAACTTAATTATTCCAAAGTGAGCCATAATGTTACTTTTACGTGCACCAAACGTTCATTTAATACTACTTACTTATTATTTTAACATATTGTGTATAGTAACAACTAGTGTTACAACATTCACCTATAATGTCCAGTAATTTTAAAATTTTAATTCACGAAACATTTAATTTATTCACGAAACATTTAATTTAAGTCTGTTGGTACATCGATATGAATTCGAAACAGTATACTCTGTTATGTCCATAGATATTGAAATAACTTTCCATCAGTGGGCCGTCAGCCTGTTTGCCATTCTAAGTTGTATAAAAAAAAAATCACTAGACATTGAAATAACTATAGTTTCCGGGGTAGACCGCGTAAAGACAACTTTACAAGTTCCATTTACAGCAGTGTATCCTCCACCCAACACAAAATGAGTTTACTATTTTATCGTATACGTTTTCTATTAGAAAATATCCTAGTCAATACAAACATATTTATGTGTATATCACATTTACGTTCATTAGAACACAAATATTTGCATGGTGCAAGAATCAAACCATCATGGGACGATAATATACCTAGTATGAGAACTCGCTACACAATCAAGGTTTTTGTGAACAATTTCATTACTATGCCACCTAACAATAATCTACAGGAAACTTTTTGAATAGATTTGTGACCTTAATTGACTGGACTGGGGGTAAGATAAAGCATTACGTAAATGTAAGGCAGGGCATTGGGTTATCTTGCATATTGAGTAGATGTGATTGACGATCGCGTGAATCGTTTTAAGTAAGTTCTATGTCAAACATATAGGTCAATAATATTTATTTATTAGAAATCAGGTTGATCATGAATATGGTCTCCTACGCATTTCTTTATATGGTTTCTTGTAGGTAAATCATAGATCACTTATAGGGATCGATTCTGAATTGCCTGAGTTTGCTGATGATTAAAAAAAAAAATCCGACTAATTATTACTAGTATTATTATTCGAACATTATCCGAAGAGATATAGTGTGAATGTATTAGGATTTAAATCAGGTTCTATAAATATAAATCCAATATTTATATCATAGGTCATTCCTAATTCATAAATGTGGACAATAATGAATAAATAAAAATAAATAGCAAGAAACTATACTAAGGAATATTTGCAATATCGATGTAATGGCAAATAGTAAATATTTCAATATTCATAGAAATTTTTATTGGTTTCTATAGTAACAATATCTGTAAAATATTAGTTGTCATCTATGGTTGTCATGGAGATATTGTATGTTTGATCGAACTGAGAGTCAGCGTATTATTATATTTTTAATTTTAATTTGTGACTTTTAATTAATGACCAACAATCAAGATTTAAAGGAACAACAAATGCACCCAGGATTTTGCTCCGCTACCTGTGTAGATAGAGCCAGCCTTCAGAATGAAATTCAGAAACCTGAACTGAAGACTTCAGATGTGTTCATTACCTGTAATTTACCGAAAAGATTTGATCATCCGCGTACGTTATTTTTCTATCTTTATTCAATTTACTAAAGCTTTTATTTAAATATACGATAGAAAGAAAAAAAAAACTGAGAATGAAGATAAGATTGATTAGCTCCACTGCAATATAATTTCATCCAAATGACAAACACTATCTCTCTAAAATTATTGACAAATTGTGAACCTATGTGTACTATCGGGGGTAAGGGATTGTAAGTATTGCAGCCTGCAGTCCACCCTATCAGCTTTACCTCCACGTGGTCCTCCCTAGAAATCATCGTGCTGAATTGATATTAACAGATATTCATCTCTGACTGGTGTCTAGTGTTTTATTCTATCATTCCATTATCATCTCTGACTGGTTTTAAAAAATCCCGCCAGTGTATATGTTTTTAATTAGAACTTCACGAAGATGCCAAACATAATCGTATTACGCTTTCTTAAATAAATAGTCTGAGAATAAATAAATAAATTTAACATAACATAAAATGTACCCAAATTACTGATAAACTTAATGAGGTTGATGACCTTTTGTTATGCGGGCTATATATACATAAGTACAATAGATTCAAATCAATAAACGAAGAGGTGAAGTTAAAAAATTAAACCGAATATGCAGTTATAAAATGAATAATGATATTGAAAAATGTCACATGCTGTACTATCATTATCAATAGCACAGAATATACTGTATTGCTCATGGTACTTTAGACAACTAAGATAATTATTTTTTTAAGTCAAACATTGCACTATGTGAGACATTTGCTCGATACATTATTTTCTTTTAAAAGAAATATGATCATGTTTGTGCTTATATATTTAAATGTACAAATAAGTATAGATGTTGTAATTAATCATACATTGCGTCATATGATGTTATCAGTATGCGGTGACGTAATTCTATAATTCGATTACAGATTGGTTCAATGGCTATGGATGTCAAGTGAGCAAACAACATCCATTTTATAGAACTTCTGCTAGCGTGTACGGATGGTATCCACCTGGTAAGTGTTTTATTATGAGATTATTTTATTGTAATCGTATTATGTATTTATAGGTGGGTATTACTGGGAAAAATAAATAAAGTTAGCGACCATCCTAGTAGGAAACTATCATTACAGATATCATTGTAGTGTAATCATTACACATTTTATTCATTAACGATCATGCTACCTCTAACTTACCATGCTTTAAGATACCTCAAGTTAACCTTATATTTATATTCATCCAAAGAATATTATAAATGTCAAAGGTCTGAATAACACAATGTTTTTATGCCGGTAATGTGTTTCTATGGCATAAGTCATAACCAAATATTTAAAAAATTGCTGTAATATAAAAATGTAGAATAATAACTTCTTACTAAAATTAATCAATGTATCTTCATTTGTTTTGTAAAAAATAAATCACGACAAACTTGGCATTATTTATTTGTGAAGACACAAGCATCAACAGTTTTTTAAATCATCCTTAGAAATATAAACATTTATTTGGGTAATCATATTGTACAATTATTTATTTATTTACATAATTTATTATTCATAAAAGACATAAGATCATAAAGTAACACTTTTTTTATGACTAGATAAGCTGTTGTCGAGAAAATATTGAAATGGGCAAGATAAAATATTTTTTTATGATTAAAAATTTTATTAATTCATTAAGAATCCCAAGTCAGCAATGATATCAATTTTATTAATTAGTCAATTATAATATAGTAAAAACTTTAGGTTTATAAAGATTTTTTTATTTATTATAAAAGTTATCTATATAATTCATAGACTTTGTGGTTCGTGGTTCGTGGTGAATTTTAATTAGTTTTTATGAATTTAAAACGTAAATAAATATTTATGGCAACATTATAGGCTTGCACTCGGTGCCAACAGTGTTTTTCCCCAAGAATCAAAGATTTTCCAATCATTTGTCGCAGTCAGGCATGTACCGAAATTACTCTCTCAACACCAAGTTGGACCCACAAACTTACAAATAAATATAAATATCTTAAAGGCTTGTTTAAATTTAAGAATTTTAACAATTTTTTGTATAATTTCTTGCAAATATGTATTTTTTTGTGTAACATAATTATCGTATATTTGTTGTATGAATTTTAATAATAAGACTACAAATAATTATATTCGTTTAAATAGGCAATTGTGTACATTTAATAATGATAATTTCGTAGTAACTAATATTTATTTTAATATTAAAAATAATTAATTTATAATAATTAATTTATCGATATACAATGTTAAGTACATTGTATATCGATAAAAAGGGGAAGTTTTTGGACTTTCAGAAAGAATTACCTATAATGAATTATAATTATTTAAGATTGTATTTATTAGTAGTATTGATTGTATTATAAAAAAAAAACCGACTTCAGTTGTGACAAAAGAATCTATTGTGATTTAAAAATTAGACAACTGAATCGATTATGATAAAACTTTTTTGGAACTAATCCATAAGTATTATCCGTATCCTTTTAGATAAAAAAGAATTTTCTAAATAAATTTATAACTTCAGAGGAGATAACAAACATTGACGAGATGTGAGTTATGAGTTTAGAGTAAGAAACATAAAAAAATAAATTAACAACCAAATTGAGAACTTCTTTCCTTTTGAAGTCGTTTGAAAATAGAGTTTTACATTGCCAATATTTGCTTTGCTCAACTGATTGTATTTTTTATTATAGGAATGAGTTTTAGCCTATTAGCTCGTATGTGTGTGTTTTGCGATGCAATTCCAGAAGGTCTTACTAGACATAAAGTACACCTCAGACCTTACCACGATTGTGTCTATATTTTATTTTTTTCTTCATTTCATTTTGTAGCACTATTATGAAAACCTAATAGTTTTCTGGCCCTGCTAATACTTCTTACTCAAGATTGTTGTCTTTTTGTTACAGTACCAAGGTGTAAGTACATATGATATTTTGTTTGAGATACATACGTGAAACATGTGACACCATCTCATTACACGAAATTTACGTTCCCAAGCTATCAATATTTATTATAAGTAGGTATCCCTGCTGAGTAATAAATTATTTAATTACCTATTACAATATTCAACTATCTCGTCTTGTTTGACACTTAGAACAAAAGTCACTTTTTTATCTATTAGGAATTTATTAGGAAGTTGTTCAACTTATTAGATATAGTTTAAGATTTTATTTTACTAGAAAGTTAAATTTAAAATTGACCACATTTGTATGGGTCTAATATATACACTTAAGTCGTAATAAGTCATTTAACCTAGTCGCATAAAATATAATCGAATCTTTTTGAAGTCAGCTGATAAAAATATATATCTGTCTGTGAAAGAGCTTAGAACTAAGTTACAAATAATTTCATCAATAAATATATACTTATAGTAGCTAAAAGTTGTGTAATTTCTTTCAAAATTTAATTCAGTTTAATGGGAATATATACCTACAATGTATATTGTATCTATATTGTATCAAGGATCTATTCTCGGTCCATTTTTATTCCTAGTTTACATTAATGATCTCCCATATGCCATGCAGGATAGATGCGGCATAGTATTATTTGCAGACGATACTTCATTGATTTTTAAAGTTAATAGAATGACTAATAATTATGACGATGTAAATAGTGCTTTGCGGCGTCTCCTGCACTAGTTTACAACTAACAATATTATGTTAAACGCTAAAAAAACAAAATGTGTTAATTTCTCTCTGTCTAAAAGTTTTAATACTAATTGCAATATTAAATTAAATGACGAATCTCTCGAATTTATAGAATCTACTGTCTTTCTAGGAATCACACTAGATAATAAAACACAATGGGGTGTACAAATTCAAAGCCTTGCAGCGAAACTAAGTTCAGCAGCTTTTGCCGTGCGTAAGGTTAGACAGTACACTAATACTGATACTGCTAGATTAGTCTATTTTAGTTATTTTCATAGTTTACTCTCTTATGGAATATTACTATGGGGAAAAGCGGCAGATATTAAGAATATATTCATATTACAAAAACGTGCCGTTCGAGCGATCTACTGTATGAAGAGTCGTGACTCATTAAGAGAGAAATTCAAAGAGGCAAATATTCTCACCGTTGCTTCTCAATTTATATATTCAAATATCCTATATGTTCATAAAAATCTTGACTTATTTCCAAAAAACAGCAATATTCATAATATTAATACTAGATTTAAAGACAAACTTACTGTCCCCAAGTATCGTTTAGAAAAAGTTAATAGGTCTTTTATGGGAATAGGTATAAAAATTTACAATAAGATACCAAAGGATATGTTGGAATTACCCTTAAATAAATTCAAAACATCTGTTAAATCATATTTACTGAGCAAAGCCTATTACTCACTAAACGATTACTTGAATGACGAGTGTGCATGGCAATAGTTGTTCATGCACTGAATTTTCATTTAATGTTAGACTAGACACCTATATAAATATACATTGTAAATAAACTGGCTTTAAAAAAAAAAAGTAATTCAATTGAGTTTCTTGCCAGTTCTTCTCAATTGGATCTATATACTGAACTGAACGGTAGGGAAAAAAATAAAATTATAATGTAAACATTTGACGTTCATAAGCGGCTAAAATGTCCTTACATGAATAAATGATTTTTGAATTTTGAATTTTTTGAATTTTATTATTTCTTTTTATTAAAACAACATTGTAATTTTTTGCTTTATACAATAATTGTTTAATAATTAGGAGAATAATGTTTAGTTTTAAAGTTACAATGCGAATGTAAGTTTATGTAAATGATTCACGTTTAATAAATTCTATCATTAAAATAATTAATTTTATTTCATATACAATCATCATTTCATTTAATTATCGTTTATTGTAGAATATTCCCATAGCCTGTTCTAGTTATTATGCAGTTTCCAAAAAATGATAATAATAAATAATAAAAATGAAATAATTAGGAGGTCATCAAAATAAAACTACATATATGTATATTATTTATATCAGATTACGTTATATGTTACGAACTTTGATATCCGTGTGGTGATGGAAAATACAATGTGTCATTACTCTTTTTCATACGCAAATAATAGTAAAAGTTAAATTATAGTATTTTGTAAGGGTAGTAACATATTTTTTTGTTGTATACAAGTATGGTGGCAAACAAGAAAACGGTCTGTCTAATGGTAAACGGGGTTACCGTAGCCTATGCACGCCTGTAACACTAGGGTCGTCGTGCGTACGTGGCCTACCCTTAAGAAATCTTAATACGCCCTGTTTGAAGAACCCCATGCTACAGTCTCTAACGAAAGCCTCGGCAGGAAAATCATTACATAATCTGAGAGTTCGCGGAAGAAAGCTTCTCTAAAATCGCATTGTACGTGATAATTTCTATTCCTAGGGTTGAGGATGGATTCCCTGCCAATGCCATGCGGTACGCTGGTGAAAGGTGACTGTAGGCATCGTATTGAATCATAATAAAATTCTATATCAAAAGTAGCTTAAAAACATAATAATAATAGCAAAATTTCCAATTGTTGTCAAATAAAAAATTGACGTGTGGTTCCGGCATAGAATAAGCCAATCCTTCCTTTCCCGTGGGTGGCGTAAGAGGTGACTAAGGGAGGGCGAGAGATGGGCAGAAGCGTCCCTATTAAACATCTCCAAAGCCTAACTGCGATTGTTAATCCGCCTGGCTAGCGTGGTAACTACTGCTAAAACTCCCAAGGTGGAGGCTTATTTTCAGCTGTGGAGAGTTAAAGGTTAATATAATGATGATGAATAGCCAAATATCCTCTTCTTATGGCGAACATAATCCAATCATGGGATAATAATAGGTTGTTATCGTTATGGTTACGAGTTTTGTGTGACACGCATTGACACATACTTACCATTATATTTATTCCTGAGGTAAAATAATACAATATGTGTGTTGTTGTACTACTGTCTTAAAAGTAAAAAGGGACAAAAATCAAAACACATTAGTCCTTAGGAGTTACTAGTTAGTTAATTTAAAATAGAATGATACATTCCAATATTATACAGACGAAATCGCTTTGGTTTATGCTGGCAAGGCACTAGTGCATCATTGATGATCAGTTAATCCATTGTGGCGTATTCGCCAGGAATTAATCGTGACAGCTACTAAAGGAAACTGCGTCGAGATTAAATTGAACAGAAATTGTATAGAATAGAATGTTTGTAGAATTTATGCAATGCTTTATAATAGTTACTTATATACGGCAAGTTATCTTTGACATATGATGTAAATCTTTTGCTGGATATTTTTACTGATTTTTGTTTTTTTAGAAATTAAATAACATCTATCATACTACATAATCCTTATAGTCACTATACGTGGCCAAAAAGAGTACCTAAGTCTAATCCAGTTATGCAAATTACTTTTAAGCGTGTTTCAAACATATTACCAAAAATACCTACTACTCCGAATTACAAGAAACTTACTTTTTTATTGCATTACTTAACCTATTTTGGCGTTACAGGAATCCATTCAGTTCCATCTGTATACTTCCCGGCCGGTCAATCATTTACAAATCGCCTCGCTGCAGCAGGGATGTACAGGAACTATAGTCTTAATACCGGTATGGATCCAACTGGGTACGCTTGAACAGTTTGTGAATTTCTGAAGTCTGCAATATTTTGTCTGTACTTTCCTATTACGAAAATAATAATATACTATCAAAATCAACCACGGAAAATTCCAATACAAATTTGTGTTTTCAATTGAGTATTAATTATTATTTAGATATTGTTATTTATGTATTGATAGAACTCGAAATTTTGTATTTTATTGATTATTTCATAATACGTAAATTTTCTTTACAACTTTTATATCATGTGATCTATTTAAACATGCAGCAATATATACGTAATTACTATCCGTGCATTATTATTTTGAATTTTCATGTCTATACGTTGGAGGTTAGATATAAATTTAAAAGACGGAAATAAATCAATTTGTCTCCAGAACTTTATATATTTAAAAAACGAGTTATGAAAGTGTACTAGTATAATACATAATGTAAGACTGTGTGCGAGACGTGTGTCTATACCTAAAGCTAGAAGTCTTTGGCACCCGTTCTAACTATTCCGTAAGGAATCTGGCGTATATGAAATAAAAGTTTTTTATTCGGTAGGTACTTACCAAAAGAGGTATTTATTATTATTATTATTAAATAGATTAACATGCATTCAAATTCCATTAACATATTCCATTCGTAGACATGGTTGTCACAGTTATTATATCATGATCCGCTTGAACTACAATTATTCATCATCAATAAAAAAGTGATTTTGAGATTAAAATGACGTAACTATGTATTTATGAATGACTACTTATTTTTATATCATCTGATAAAGATTATATTGTGCTTGGGCAAACATGGACAATAATTGTGATATACCATGTCAACTGTATTGCAAGAATAAACCACGATAAAAGGTCATCGATATAACGTAGGTACTTGTATGATACAATTATTATGATATTGTTTTATCGTGATATATCTTGAAAACACTTATTCTCCATTTATGAGTATATAATTGTATAACTCGTTTAGCAACAACAACAACAGCTTTATATTAACTTTAGTATTCATAATAATTATTATCTTAATAGTTAACAAACGGAATATTTTTTTATATTTACGTAAAATAAAGTTAACTGAAACAGTTAAACAATTCTGTATATATATATATATATATTATAAATTCCTCATTTGCTACACAGTTTGCAAAATTAAACTAAATAGTAAATATTATATTATATGTCAGTAGTAGTTTTTTAATTGCGCATTTTATAGACACTTATGTATCATAATAATTACACGTATATCATGGCTGTTAATACTAAGGTATTTCGTGTCAAAATCTAGCTACAAGTGCAATATATATGTATAATCTAAGCATTGCATACCATATTTCATTTAGAGGTATGACACGACGCCAAGGCCCCAACAACACAAGTTATTATATTTATCTAAAATTCAATGAGACTTCAGTCTCATCAACAGTCCTTTGTAACCGTTTTGTAGGTGATATTTGCACAAATTTATAGGTACTTAAACAAAATTTTCAGAGAATTCACATGAATAGCACAAAGAGTTTTATTATCTTAAATTATTATTACATATAGCTATTTTTCGTTGTAAAATCTACAATAAGTAACAAATGGGCTTTGGTAGACACCTATTGAATATTGTAGTATAAATGCAATCTCTTTTTAAAATAACCTTATACATATTATTAAGTTATTTATTCAACGAATTTATGCGTATATATTTTGACTACACATTTATAAAGTATCTACTTTGCATTAGCTAAAGAACGAGTCATTATTATAAATAGCTTAATTTAAAATTTGCTAAACAGATATGAAAGCGCAATTTACTTCACGAAATAGTTAACATTTATGTCTTCCTGATATGACAGATCATCAGACTTGTTGACTCCGATCTTTTACCATCCAACAATTTGTTAATTATAATTTTACTATAATAAATAGGTACGCGAAGTTTAATGCTCGAGATGCTTACTCTTATTTCGCGTTATATAAGTGAAAATATAATTAAATAAAATATGAAATGTGTAGCAATTGTAAAACAACTCACTACTCGAATACATGAGCATGAACGTGTAACAAGAAATTCTTAATACTATTACATACAACTACGTAATAAGGTATATAAAATGTGGATCAATTCTTGCATTTAACAATATTGTCTTAAATAGCATTGCTAACATCCCACATACCAACAATTTAGACAGGTATTAAATACACGACAGATTTAAATGAAAGATCAATAATCCTATAAAATAAATTCGTCAACTGTAATGATATTCTTAATACGTTCATATCTACTTATTGCCACAACATATTATTTGTCCTCGACAATAATAAATATCAATAATAAAAATGAGTCGATTTTACAATAAATAATGGAGTTTCCATCGTCAGTGACCTCATACGAAAGTGCAGCGAGTGTAGAAGGAGTCTGAGACTGTGAGACAGAAACACTACATTCACGGCGCGTGCGGCCGTGTGACCAACGGGTTCGATCACAATGCAGCTCAGTTGATTCGTATTTTCATATTTATAATAAACTTACTGTAAAAAATCTATAGTTATTTTACATTAAAACTATGCTTATCATTTTGTTTAAAAGTTTCGCTTCGTACACTCGGTTCGAGGGATGGTCCCTTCAAAACAGGTGCTATTGGAAACGTCACATTTCGGAATCGAGTATTATAATGCAAATTGCTTCACGAGCAAAAACAGAGTTTATTTGCATATGAACTATAAGTAATCAAATGTAAAATCTTGTATGAAGATGTTTACTTTTAGTTTAGGTTAAATAAATAAGCCATAGTTTGTTGTTGTTTCGGGCAAAAGACGTGCACATATACCACTTTTAATTATATTGATTGGTCTTAAATTTGTTTTCTCGACGACAGTATCTATAATGTTACGATAATACACTGTCTATTGTCCGAACAAAAACTATACAAAGTTATTACATGTCACCGAAAATGCCAGCGAAGGTTTTTCGCAGATTTTTCATTGTGTCCTCTGCATCCTCTGTAAGGGCAGCACTAAGGGAACCTTGACGAGCAAAACCTCCTCGTCCGGACGTAGGTCCTGAACCTGGAGCACCACCAGTGGCAGTGGCTGCTGGGTTGCTTGTAGTACTCGGTGCCGCCGATGCAGACGATACCGTTGATGACTGGGAAGCTAAACATTTAAAATTAAGTTTATACAAATGTTCAGTGGAAAAAAATAAAGAAGACTATCCGAGAACAGGAGAGTAATTATTAAAAGGAGCGGAATAGTCAAATGAGTACTTTTTCTTTTTTATACAGATCAGTCAAAGTGACCACACCCTATTGGAGGGTAAGTAGGTGATGTAATCCAAACGTGAAGGTCGTCGTCACTACAATTTATATTGTGTTGGTGATTGTCATTTTGACAGCCTGAAAATACATATATTCAGGGCCTGCTTAATTGCCGCAAGATTATCGGTAGGAGGAAACACATGACCGGGAAGTGAATTCCAAACTTTAATAACTTGAGGTGGTGTGTGTGATGGTGTGAGCCAAGCACGTGTTCTTTCCTTTAATAAGTCCACCAAGATATACCTATTAGTAACAAGATTGTAAGCTACAGGTATTTTCTTTAAGTAATGATGCAATTTCGGTGTATTCTATAAAAATAATAATTACATTAATACAAGAAAAGGAAATATGGTTTTCATGTAGTAGTTATAGGGGATGTCTGCACAGAAATGACCAGTTAAAGTGATGATGATGATGATGATAATTACAATTTTATTTTTTTATGTTACATAAGATTTATTGTATTCAATTTCCTAAATCTCATGGAACACAATACCCTTTGTACTTCACAAAAAACATACCCTGAGAGTCGCGTCTGGTGAGCGGTGGTGGTGGCGGCTGCGTGGGCTCAGCTGGTATGGGCGGCAGCGGACGGTCAATACTGGCTGCGGAGGCCAGCGGGGCAGGCGGCGGTGCGCTCGGTGGTCCAGCACCCGGTAGAGGCATCGACCGCTCCTCGGGTGACGTCGCCGCCGAGCTGCCCGACACCGATGATCGAGATGTCGTCTTCGTGATACCGGGCCGACATACCGACTAGAATTACATTATTATTATTTTAAAATTTAATAGGTACTTGATACAAATATAACTTATCGCACGCCTGATAAAAAAGATTTTTTAAAGAGGTGAAAATGGAATGGTAATGGTAAACAGATGAGAAGGAAATCTAAACTCAGGTCAATTTGCCCACCATCTACTAACTAGTAGAAAATTCACGATAGAGAATGGTAACTGTCGCCTCTAAACATGAACATCATTGGCTAAAAAGAATATATTGTGCTATTCATGCGTTGCCATTCTTGAGGACTAGATATTATGCCTCAGTAATTTCTCTGCCATACTCCAATCTTAAAAATGCGTGGTGGCGGGAACAAGAGTCGAACAAATGTACTACGTTATACTATGTTTATGAATGTACCAATGTAGACAACTAATAAATGATATCCGTGTCAGAGACTCCATCTTTTAATAAATTTTATTAAAAAATATTAATAAATTATTGTTTACGGTTTAAAAATATATCTTACTTTAGTTAGTTGTCTACGAGATTATCATAATGTTCAATATGTTAGTCATTTTTACTATTATACTTATATTGATTTTATTTATTTATTCTTTATTGATCACATTACAAAAAAAATGTCTGGTAAACAAGGCGGACTTAATACTATATAGCATTCTTTCCCAGTCAACCTTTGGCAAAACAAATTTAATTATGCGATGAAAAAAATTAATTTAAAATTGTTGCAAATAAATATTTACACGTATATGATAATAAAATAATTGATATATATATATATATATATATATATATATATATATATATATATATATATATATATATATATATATATAAAGAGTCACTCAAGAGTCATTTATCTTGATTCTTCTCAGCAAATTACATAAATTACAACAACAATTGACATCTGTAGTCAAATTATAACATAATATGAGATTATAAAAAATTCATACAAGTCCAGAATATTCTTTAATTAAAACGAAACTGGAACAAACCTATCAGATTTAAATAGGTTCATTATACGGCCAATGTTTACCTGCATACGCTGCAGTACAAGCTCAGCGAGATGTCGTCTATCTTCTTCTTGAGAATCACCCATGAACGATGTAGCCGAATCGTTCAATTCTATGATGTGTTCACGGCCATCTTTGCCCACTACGAGTTCCAGGGCACAAACTTCCAATCCACCAAAGATTTCACTCACCTAACGAAATATGTACAAGTATATTAAGTGATAGTTCACAGATGCTTAGAAAACACGATTACTTGACTCATAGGTGGATATTTATTATTATAACTCTGTGTTGTGAAAACACTTTTCTCTATGATTGAGAAAGTAGAAAAACTGGTCGTCTTTGGTTAATAATAAAATTAGGTTCCTACTTAATTTAAATACCTTGATTAATAATACAAAAAAAAAACAAGTTAGTAAATAATTATAGTATCCATCAAAAATAAATAAATATTAGTTCAATCCTATTTCATACCTCGTCTATCCACATCTTATATCTGTCGTTCATGCCGATAGCTTCTAACATGGCAGAACCTTGATTGGTCTTCCAATTTCCCGATATAGATTTACGCCTGAAAAAAAAGTTTAAAAAAAATACGTAATTACTATAATTTACTGTGAATTTGTAATCTTCTTCTATAACGCCTGCCCTATACAAATTATTGAGATTGAATGTTATTAATTATTAACTTAGTTATTCTTGTAGGCGTTTTATTGCAAGCACAGAATTTTTAACCGAAAATTATTATTTATTGTCTGTATTATGACTTGTTAATGAGACTATATTTATAAGTAACAATTATGGTTTTATTATTTCCAATAGCTGCTATTATGTAACTACATACTAACATAGATATTTCTATGTAAGTACTAACATATTTAGATATATTTACATCGACCTCAATTAAAAGAAGCTCTACTATTCATGTACTTTTATTGTACTTACATGAAAGCTTTGTAGTTAGTGCCAATTTTTTGTATGTGAATATCATACTTTGCGTCTATATAAGGTTCAACAGTACAATAAGTACCCAACATAGCCACTACTCCAGCAATATCCTGAAAAAAAAATGGCGAGGTTATTAAAGTTTGTAAATATATTAAAAAAAACTATATTATAAAAGCAGCAACATGTAACTGTTCTTCACCCATTATAATGGTGTATGTTGTTCTATGCCTCTACCATCGTCCAATGAGATAAAGAATTTTTACTTAGACATATAAAGTATTTATAAGTTGTTGTAAACTACGTTTATTTACAATAACTATATACTGGTACGTACTATAATCTCAGATTTTTATAGTTACATACATACATACATATCTGTCACGCCTGTCTCCCATTAGGGTAGGCAGAAACAATGGAACGCCAAATGCTTCAATTCAAACAAACCTCTTCCGCTACTTCCACATTCATCAATCTTTTCATACACTCTCGTCGGTTAGGGGTACTTTTAATTTGGCCCATCTTCAGCACGTCACCTATTTGGTCAATATACGTCGTACGTATAATGGTCCGTCTAGGGCGGCCCCTACCGACATCTCCATTCATTCTAGCTCGATAAATCTGTTTCGTAATTCTTCTTTCTTTTTATAGTTATATTAATCATAAATTATCAATGACAGTATCATTGCAATATTGATATCCTACCATTACGTTAACAAGTATTACTTTTAAGTAGTTACAAAAAGGACGAAATAATTCGCTTGTATTTTCTTATCTATATGTTTGTTACGCGATAGCCTCATTAATTATAAACCGATTTTCATGTTTTTTTTTTAATTATATTTGCAATCTAGTCTATATAATTTACTTACCGGAATGCAGGATTACATATTAAAGAATATTTCCAAATAATCTATTAATGTAGATTATTTGAAATCAGGTGAAGATAATTCTTCACCTGACAATCGAATAAACATAGGGAATAACATTCTACTAGTTGTATTACGAGTATTTATTCTGTTGTGTGTACTCATACCTCAAGTGTAATGCAATAGGTGTTCTGAGAAGACTGCACCATCTAATAGTTTACTTATTGCTTTGGCAAGCAGTAATAGTAGGCACATAAGTGTGAATATCCATTATTTTATAAGCGATGAAATTAAACAGATAAATTTAATAATTCAACTGAATTGATTCGAGTTGTTACCTGGAAGTCGGCCAAAGAGTCCACTTTCACCTTGGCTACGCCACTATGTGCGTGACCTATCTTGATCACAACAGGAAACTTCGGTGCTGTTACCTGTAACAAGAGTTATGTATGGTTATTACACTATTAAATAATATAAACAGCACTAGATGTATTACGCAGCATCATCTAATTTGAAATTTAGCAGGGCTTTGACTTGTACTACGAGTACTACCTGTAATTTTTTTTTAAATATAAATGTACCTACATAATATTTTTGGTATATTAAACGGATTCGTTAATTTGGAGCCATTTTTTTTTTATTATTATTTAAATTTAATTGTAAGTATTAATATAATATTCTTGTGGCTGAAGTAATTGTTTTTTGCGAAACTAAATCTATTTGTTATTATGGGATTGAAAATAATAGGCACGTGAAGAATTTCTGAAATTTTTATACGTATGTACTTGAGTAAGTATAGATAACCCACAAACCGATACATATAACCATTTTCGCTCGTACCACGTTAGCAATTCATATTTGTTAAACCATTCATACAAAACTTTGAAAATAATCAAATTGGTCTCTTTTCGCGTTACGCAACTAACAAACAATGAAGCAGGGCAAACATTCATTCAGAATAGAATATAAACGGCGCATTATGTAGTTCATTTAATAGGTCCATGTAGATTCATCATAATTGCTTAATAATTCCAGCTCTTCAAAAATAGGTCATCTGCGTACCTACGTAGATATCTTATATATCTACCTAGATACATAAATAAATTATACGAAACGTAGGTTTAACTATATTGAAAACGAGAAACAAATGGCTAACAATACAAGGTAGGTCAAGAGGCAGATAACTATCAAGGTGCATAATGCAGAGAGTTCTACTACGGTTAGAATAAAAGGGCCTAACTAATCCAACGGAAGATTATAGTGAAGTTTATTTAAGTTTTAAAAAAAGATTTTGCTAATTTAATGCAATCAGATGTTACATTTTTATATAAACCATAAATTTAAAAACCGAGAAAAAATAATGTGTGGAAATTTAAGGCCAATAAAATTTTAGATTTTATTGGTCTCAATTCTCAATTGTTTTAGAATTTGATATGTTACTTATAAAGTATAGATTTGTTCCTTTTCAACCGACTTCATAAAATAGGATATTCGGTTGTATTTTATTTTTATGTTTGATACCTCATATATCCGTCACTTCTAAACCAATTTGAAATTTTTTTTTTATCTGAAAGAATTACTTGCTTATAGATTGGTGTCATATGAATTTTATCAAAATCGGTTCATTAGTTTTTAACTTATAATAACTAGTTTTGTTAGAAGGAAAGTAGGTTTTGTGGGGCACAATCTTTATTACTAAAGAGGGCGTTTGAAGTTAGTAACGCGTTTATAACATTATTGGCGTTACATTGGTCTATATACAAATACATATATTCGTATATAATTATTTTTGTCCATTTTAATTGTAGTGTACCTCCCTACTTTACAAACTAGCTGTAAAAATACATAATAAAGTTTCTTTTTGTACAACTTAGAATGGCAAACAAGCTAACGGCCCACCTGATGGAAAGTGGAACCGTCGCCAATAAACATGAGCAGTACCATGGGCATAACAGAGTAAAGTACAAATAAATAGTATTTAGATAATTTTTTTCAGCAAAGAAATACTATTATTCTATTGAAAAACAATTTACGTCACTATAACATGTTAATTCACTCGAAAATGTACGTATGTTTAATTTTCTAATATTGTTACATAGCTTAACAATAACTTTCCGTTTTCTATCAGGTAGATATGTAATTAGTTTAACATTATACATGTTTAAATAACCTTGAAATATATTTTCAAGTTGTAAAGAACAAATAAATGGATGAATATCGTCTGTTTTTAATGATTCCTTGTGTTTTCATCGCAGAACCTTGTTAATTTTATAGTTTCTTCTCGTAAGTACTTCCACACAAGCAAGTCTATTTATAAGGAAGATATTGAGTAAACTATGTACGTAATCACAGGTCTGTTATTAGAAAACATATACTAATATTTAAACACGTGAAGCGTTTGTATTTCATTGGCTTTAGTTAATTTTATGGAGGCGATAACTATCTTATTGTTGTTTAGCACGATATTACATGATTTTTATTACCACAGTTACACTATGTATCTATTATGTTTGTTACATATTTCTAACACGTCCAATAATTGTTTTGAATGAATCTAATAAAAAAAAACATATTATTTGACTGACCTTTATTTAATTTGAAGGTTTTCATTATATGTTTTATTGTCCATAGAATTACTGGAAACTATGATATCATAGACAAACAGCCACATAATTCGAGTTAAATAAATACAACTGCTAAATAGGTACAACCAACAAAGTAAGTACAATATATAGTAGACACTTATCTATATATCTATTCCAATACTGTCCTAACATAGATTAAATACAAATTCTTTGAAAGTAAAATGTTTGTTAAAAACAAACGTAAGATAAAAATAGTTTATTCGTTTGGATCTTTTAAATTTTCATCAAGTATAATTATAAAACTATCTATTAATTTTTTAATAATAGAATAAGTGGAGACAATATTTATAGTTTAAACAAATTAAGATATTTGATTAATTTATTAATGAAGTCTTGCAATATATTGGTTTTTATTCATAAAAATTGTAGATTTTTTGAAGTTAAAATTGTAGAAGACTGGAAAGTAATTAAAAAAACCACTAGAAATGTCACAAAATTAATTTATACACATATTAAGTACCACAATATGTTAACCTCTTAAAATATCAAGAGACATTGAATTTTTAGTATACCCCAAATCAATTACATATATTAACGTAACTACATATATATGTAATACTTAAGACAGCTGAAAAAGAAATACATGCATGAAGCGTATTTAATTATTTTAGGGGCTATTGTATTATGTATATAGAACAATCTAAACCATTATCACCTACGATTTCTTTAAAGTAAAAACCTTCTACGTTTACTTCAGAAGTTTAGTAGAAATTGGCACGCTTTCAGTAAACAATTGTTTCCTAAATTTGGATCATTCGTAAATATGATGACGACACGTGTGATGCAAATATGATTGATTAGATTAGAATGGTGTAATGTTCATTAAATGACATTATTTAATGATAAAATGATGAATGAATGAAAAACTAGTAATAACATTAATATATTTAAGTAATAGAATTTTATATCATTTTGCAAGATTCGTCTGGTTAGATAGCTTTGTCTATCGTGCTTATTTTTGCTATGAAACAGAAGTGCGCGCGTTGTTTTCTTTTAGTCTGAAAAGTAACACCTTAGCACTAAATTATATTGTTTATCTAAAGTTTTTACGAGTAGCTGAGTGTGATGTAGGGGCATGGGTAGCACGGGCCATAAGTAACCCATGTATTCTGTCCATGATGTATAAGTGCAGGATACCATTTTCCATTAGGTTAGCTATCACTAGCTTGTAAGCTTTTCCTAGTAGGTGTCTAGTGGGGGGAAAGGGATTGTTAGCAATGAAGTTTGACACCCCCATTGCTAGCAATGTACCCTATTAGGTCGACCTCCACGTGGTTCCTTCTGGAAACCATCATGAACAATTCTTGTTGAATTCGTCACGATTATATATATATATATATATATATATATAGCGCGGATGGGGTTACCATTACTAAAAAGGTGTCTATATATATATATATATATATATATATATATATATATATATATATATATATATATACTTTGGTTTGGTAAGTAAAAATCGAATCGGAAATTCTGACAATATATAACAAAAACAGTTATAACCATCATATAACTACAGTAAGTATTTACTACAATAAAATCCATGGACTTCAACATTTTACATAAAAATGTGGATATTACCAATAAAATGGTTCTCTTTGACGTTATTATCGATTATGTGTCAGTCATGAGTGACGTATTTCTTTGAAACTCGATGCGCCGGCGCCGACGGTTGCGTTGGAGGCGGCAGCGTCGTCGTAGGCGGCTCCGAAATTCCGAATCAAGTGTTTACTATCTACCATAAAGACTCCGCGCGCATGTTCATGACGCAGAATTGTTAAAAAGACCATCTTGTATTTGTGTTTCTATTTATGGTTTTCGTAGTGATATGACAAACTGTGGTTTGAGTACAAACATATTCGCATTCTTATGAGTTTCGTCATGTCACGGAGTGCAGTTTGTGTTACAAAACTTCGTCTGTTTGGCTACGGTCCCTTTGACTCATAAATGTATGAAGTGACATCATTTCGCTGCTATCAGGGTGAAATTACGTGTTCGGAAAATAGGATAAACATTTACCCGATATTTTTACTTATCGCACATAATGAGTCTAAGTAATGTGTGTATTTTACTTAAATGTTTATTATTGAAATTGTAATGTGCCCATTTTAACATTTCATTTAACACAACACAAGCATCAAGGGAATATCGTTTAAGGGAGTGTTTGCACTATAACACTACTAGTTATCTACAGATTAATCGGAAAGATATGGTAGTGGAAACTACAGGAGCATTCAATTCAAATATCAATGCAGTTGCTGACAATAGGTCTTAATGATTATAAACAAGAAATAATATCGCACCAGTCTCGATGGTGTATTTATTGTTCTCAAAGGACATGACAATTGCCGTTTATCACTTTAATTGCCGCCTTTGTAGTACGATGTTATCTGTGCTGGTCCGTAAGTGATAATAAATCAATGCTCGCGGCTCTAAAGATCTACTTTAAATTATTCAATTAACCTGTATGATAGTCAATCATAATCGATGAGTTATTAGCATAAAGTAAATTATATTCAATAGAATTATATTATATTTACTAATACAAGAATTGACTATGAACTTATTGACATTATTATATTAATTATTTTATTTAACTGTAAATATCAATCCAAATATTATCTCTCTCTTCAGTCGTACACTCTTGGCAGAGTGGTCGTGGTTTTCACAATGACGGTGGATGAGGCTCTTAAATTGATCGCAATATGTCTCCATCTACTTCTGTTCGCCGCCGAGCGAGAGCATTCCACAATAGATTTCTGTGTGGCCGTTTTGATGAGGTC